GCAGCAGCGTCCCTCTTAAAACATCACCAAAGCCCTAACTGCGGTTCCCAACCCATCTGCCAATAGTGGCAACTGCTGGCAAACCCCTCCTTATGGGGGAATAGGCTTCCCCCATAAGGAGGGACAGTTAAGCAGTGGACAGTTTACATCTGATACGGTATGGTCTGTTTGTTCAAATATCACACAAAAACTACTGCATGAAATTGAATACAGTTTACACAGCTGTGTTCCTGAGGGTCAAACTTAAAATCTAATTTATGTTTTATCCCAAAATCCACAATTACGAAGTCGCAAGCAAAAGTTCTTAATACGAATTGTCTAAATTCCAACACAAAAGCGATTGCACAGTAAAGCTCGGACATTGGTCTTAATTATTTCTAAGAATAGCAGAATTAATTAATCTAATTTTACATGTATTTATACGGAAAGCCACGTCTATTAGTTTTTCCTAAAGAAAACGTAAACAAATTAACGAACTACGAGTACAAACACGATCTTCGAATTAAGAACATAATGATCCCAGACCACTTGGCGTACAGCCAGAAATAAAAAAGTGATCTAATCGTTATACCACGGTTGTTTTAATGAAAGACCAGTTAGAATTGACCGGAATAAAGGTAGCCTATGTCTTCTACATCCCCAGTAATACGTGTACCCCCAATATTTTTTTATTTTCGCCAATCAACAGGCGGATATACACTTTTCTTGAGAACTCAGAGTTAAGCTCACTTTTTTATTTGATTTACATTGTCATATTTCTATATCTAATATATTATTAGAGTATACAATGAAATATAAATAAAAATACATAAAATAGCCCATTTTTTTCCATTTATACCACAAAGGTGGCAAATAAGCATATAACCCATCTGATCGTAAATGGTCACTGTTATCCTATGGACACTAGAGGTATCACATGCGTGTCCCTAAAGAAACATTAATATATTCTTTATACTCAAGAAACTCAATACTGTAATCTCTAGGGAAAAACTCGGCAGGGAGCTCATTCTATAGTCTAAACTTTCGCTGGAGAAAATTCCTTTAAACCCCATTGTACGTGACCATTTAGGTGCAGGCGTGTGAAAATAAATTCCCCGTCGATGGCGAGGGGCGCGATGATAAAAGGTGGTTGTGGGCATCATTTCAAACAATTCCTTAGAACACAATCCGTCCTCCATCCATAATACTGCGTGTATACCTAATTTAGTAAGAAACTCTAAGAGGCAACAAAGAAACCTGATATTTATAATATTAGCGAACATGATAAAATGATGAGAAAATAGTTTGCATATTTGCTACAAAATGTACACCATTACGGTGTATCTAACGATCGTTCCCGTAAGTAGGGGATCACCCCGGGATAATATCATTTATTCAGCTCCGTATTTCATTGAATCAAGCGTTATTGCTCTGATTGTGATTTTATACCGAAGCACGTCCATTATGAGAATATGAAATGTTTATTATACTATTTTTAGTGTTCAAGTGAAAGCTTTATGTAATCTAGCTAGAGAAAGATTTAGTATAAATATCGCCAGCAATACGCAAATACGAGTGGGATAGAACTATCCATAGCTCTCGTATTTCTGTCCCAAAACAGCTGTTCGTGTCTGGCTCTGTTTCTGTTTGATTCTACCCAGATAAAATATGACAGTAAAATGACTAGTAACACCTTAGTAAAAATCGATAGATTCGTTTTCCACTAAAAGAGCTACTTTTCCATTTCAAGTAGCATCCGCATCATCATCATATCAGATATCTCTCTTGGCGAGTTTTGTCAGTAGTTTCCACGCTTGGCAGGCATTTCAAATAACATACATACATATCTGTCACGCCTGTCTCCCATTAGGGTAGGCAGAAACAATGGAACGTCAAATGCTTCGATTTAAACAAACCTCTTTCGCTTCTTCCACATTCATCAATCTTTTCATACACGCTCGCCGGTTACGGGTACTTTTAATTTAGCCCTTCTACAGCACGTTGCCTATTTGGTCGACATACGTCCGTCTAGGGCGGCCCCTACCGACATCTCCATTCATTCTTGCTCGATAAATCTCTTTCGTAATTCTTCTTTCATCCATCCTCTCCAAATGGCCAAACCAACGCAACGTTCCTTTTTCGATTTTTGTCAATACATCGTCTTTCAGTCCACACTTCTCTCTAATCACACTGTCAAATAACAGAAAACTATTAAAATTCCGAACATTAATCTATTAACATGTATACCTGTAACTATGAATAAACTATGTTAGTTTATCTCAAATTTGGATTTGCTGTAAGAATTCTCTTTTTGAGATAAGTTCGCCCTTATGCACTATTATGTTTAATTATTAATCTGATACCAACAAATTTATATTGCGTAGCAAAGAAATATGACTATTTCAATAAAGAATGCTTCCTTGTTTATGTTTTTCTTAATGATATAGGTATAGAAGGTGTATATATATATTTACGTGTGGTTAACTAGTAACCACTAGATATGTGAGGTTATCGCGCAGGCGCGTCGTCGCCTAACCACGAGCTCCTTGACTGCGCCCGTGATGACTCGTGTACATCGATTTATCTTACAAACCAACTTAGATTTACTCACCCGACGTGTTAATCTACGATATATTCTCTTTATCTCTACCAAATATCTTTAAAATCCATTTATAAATTTAAACTTTGGATAACAAACCTATATAAATACAGAAATATTCAAATTTACATGTTTGTAATTAGTGAGAACTTAAGAACATTTGAGATGGGTGTTAAACTGAGTTTGTTAACATTTAGCACTTTAACTACCAAACTAATCGCCATAATTTTTTTTTTATATACAACTTAGAATGGCAATCGAGCTGAAAGCCCATTTAATGGAAAGTGGTAACCGTCGTCTATAGACGTGAGCAGTACTATGTAACATACATAACAGAGTATACTGTTTCGCTCATGATACCCACCATGAGTTGCATATTATTTGGAATTTAAAATATAAGCTTTTCATCCCGATCAATATAGATATGTGCAGATCGTTCGGACGTAGTTGCGGGCTTAGTTCATCCTTACTAATATTATAAATGTGGATGTGAGTTTGTTTGTTTGTTACCTTGTTATAGCTCTTAGACGGTTTTACCGATCATTATGATATTTTGTATACACGTGCTGTATTGGATTAAAAAGGATATAGGCTATTTATCGCGGTCACGCAAACAAAGTCGCGGATAAAAACTAGTAATAAAATAATGGAGATAATTTTGAATTAGTGATAGACATTCGAAGTGTTTCGAAGAGATACCGCCATTTCTTCGATATACTATTTTACGATTTTCTGCCCCGTTTCTTGTAATATAACTTATCGAGTTGGAGAGGCGGTTGTTAGTAATGCGGACTACCAGTCCCACTGCTAGCAATATAATCTGTCAGGTCGACCTCCACATGGACTTCCCTGGAAACAATCGTACTGAATTCCAGATGTATGATGTATGGGCTAAGCTGCTTGCCTTTTCATTCAAACATATATTCTCTCACTGGTGCCCCGCCTGCGTATACAGTTAGCGCAGGCGGGTCATTTATTAAAAAAAACCTGCCAGGTCGACCTCCATACTGTCTTCACTGGTAAACACTTATTTCATTATCTAATAAAAGTTAGATTATTGTTAAAATGGGACTTTAAGCTTCTTAGTATTTAGCAAAATATTCGTACCAAACAATATTATCAAGAAGGAATTTCCGAATGAAGTATGACCTTCGATAACATTTTTATACACGATATCAGGGACTGGGGTGATAGTGAAAAATGTAAATTATTTAAATTTTAAAAATGCATTATGCACATTAATATAATTTCTCAATAAAAATTCTAAATTACGTTCTTGAATATTAATACCAAACTTCTATACTTATAATAAATCTGTAGCGAGGTCAATTCTGTACATGAAATATATTTCCAAAATAACTATCAGGGGCTGAATTTTTGTCTGTCTGTCTGTCTGTATGTTCGTTATAGAAACAAAAACTACTCGACGAATTTTAACGAAACTTGGTACAATTATTCTTCATACTCCTGGGCAGGTTATAGTATACTTTTCATCACGCTACGATCAATAGGAGTAGAGCAGTGAAGGGAAATATTGGAAAAATGGGAGAAGTTACTCCATTTTTAAGCTTCCGTCGCGTGTGCAACCCTATTGGCCACTTTTTAAAATGTAACAATGTCCACCCGTGCGATACCGGAACGGGCCACTAGTCCTGTATAAGAATTGAAACTTTCTGAATCGGTTATGCATACAGATAACAAATTAGTTTAAATCTGTTTCATATCCTATCAAAAACTGCAATATTACACATATAATATTATAAAAAAAAATCTACTCTACATGACATTGAAATTTTTAGGTAGATTGTTAGTTTAGTCGCTCAATTACTAGCCTGCAATACTTTGTTACCTTGCCTCTTCCTTTCACGTGGGTATCGTAAAAGACAACTAAGGCAACTTAATGGTCTATGGATGGATGGAAGGACGGCAGCGTCCCTCTTAAAACGTCACCAACGGTTCTACCTGGAAAGAGTCATGGTTAAGTCCTGGTGATTTCGTTACGATGGGCTAACTGACCTGTTTTCATCCTCGCTGATACCCCGCCAGCGTATTAGGAATAAAGTTTGATGAAATTTCTATGGGACCAGTCTATAATTATATCCCTACAAATAAGAAAAAAAAAATTACAAATCCAAATTCCACATTGACAGAGTCATGAGGTAACAAAACTAGAAAATACAACTGCATTGAAAACCTCCTTTTTTGAAGTCGGTTGAAAGTATAGGTTATGGAGTGATACTGCTTTAGTCCTTAGAAATAACACCGCAAGAAGTACACCATGGGCACACAGTGTATTCTATCTGTAGTAATGTTCATGGCTGTAGGTGACGGTTACCGCTTGTCATTTAATGGAGCGTCAACTTTTTTGTCATATTTTTTGAAAAAGATATCATAAAAAATGAATTATTCTCTTTAATTACAGTTGACGAGAAAATCTTCTGCTGCCACGGCGGACTGTCGCCCGATCTGCAGGCGATGGAACAGATCCGGCGGATCATGCGGCCCACAGACGTGCCGGACCAGGGGCTGCTCTGCGACCTGCTCTGGTCGGACCCCGACAAGGACACCGCCGGCTGGGGCGAGAACGACCGCGGAGTCAGTTTCACATTCGGCACCGAGGTGCGTTAAAGTTGATGTTATTAAAATTGATATTTTCAACCGATCTCAAATAGAAGGAGAGGTTCTGTAATTCAATTGTAATTTTTTTTTTCTTTTTATGTTTGTTACCTCTTAAAATAAAAATATATATATCCTCCTTGCACACATACACACAGCACATTTATTATCATAAATAGACACTTTCTTTTTTATGATATGTATTTTTTTTTAGTATTATTGTGTAAAAATAAAACAAAGAAAATAATTAATGCTGATTAAAAAAAAAAAGAAAATTGTAATGATTATGAAATTTCATTATTGTTATGAAAGAGCTATTTCTCCTAACACAAGCAATCTTTGCTTAACAGGAGATACCAAACCCTGTAATGTAACTAACTACCTTTGTATAAAGAAATAAATTTATTTATTATTATTATTATTATTATCTGTAATATTAGTTTAGATAATATATATTAACAATACACAAAACACATGGAATCGCAACCTATGAGGGGTACCATTGGCGTCACAGTGTAGTCTGTTATGTCCATGGTACTGCTCATGTCTATAGACGACGGTTACCACTTCCCATCAGATGTGCCGTCGACTTTTTTTTTTATACAACTTAGAATGGCAAACAAGCTGACGGCCCACCTGATGGAAAGTGGTAACCGTCGCCTATAGACATGATCAGTACCATGGACATAAGAGGGTATACTGTTTCGCCCATGATACCCCCCATGCGTTGCCATTCCTGAGGACTCAGGTGTTATTCCTCTGTACCCTGTAAATTCACGCCATATCCTACCCTTCAAACCGAAACACAGTCATGCAAACACAACTGCTTCACGGTTGAAACACGAATAGGACAGAGGTACCCAAGCAATCGACTTTTGTACAAAGTCTCCCTCTAGTTGTTTGCCATTTTGTTATGTATAAAAAATACCCACGCTATAAGCTGTGTAATATGTGGTTCGCAGGTGGTGGGCAAGTTCCTGTCGAAGCACGAGTTCGACTTGATCTGCCGCGCGCACCAGGTGGTCGAGGACGGCTACGAGTTCTTCGCTAAGCGGCAACTGGTCACGCTCTTCTCGGCGCCCAACTACTGCGGCGAGTTCGACAACGCTGGTCTGTAAACGCTCATATTAAAATTATATACGTTCCTCCTTTCATTTGGCTGGTCTTCTAACCTATGATAATCTTATGGAAATGGGCATTAAACGCTGTAATCTCAGATTATATAGATAGAGCATAAAGCCTCAAAAACAGGCCAATTTTTTGTCTTGTCACCTAATTATAAAATTAGCTGACTCTTTTATTTTATCAGAGTTCTATATACTTACGTATAAAATGTATCTTGACGTATTATTTAATGAATAAAATGAGTGTTTACGCATTAAAAAGATGCATAAATTATAAGACAGAATAAATATAGAAGTCATAAAGTAAATAGCTAAAGGAATCGCTTATTTATTACGCAAAATTGTATGAAAAAGTTGTCCCGTTTTTCTCGAAGTATTTTTATGGAGGCACTCTATCTATATAATCTTAGGCTATAATAAATAATGAAGGATAAATTTAGATCTATCATTAATAGTCATTATTAAACATTTATTACTAAATAAACATGCATGGTGTTAGTTGATTATGCACAAGCTTTAGTCACCATGTAATATTACTTACAATACATTTATATTAATGCTCACAATGGTAATAGAGATTTGAAACGTAACTGTCGAGCTTCTTGCAAGTTCTTCTCAACTAATAAAAATGACCTTAATCCAGTAGTATGATTTGATTTAAAATAGTTTGTAAAGAAGTCTATTTAAATGCTCTTTGCGTCCTACTCTAACTAGTAAAATTAATTAGTTGAATTTATAATTCAGACTCGATAATCCCTAATAAGGAATTTATCAATGTGGACTCATCCTAGTAACTTTACAAGTAGTGTTTACGCATAATTAACCCCTGTATAAATATAAATAAATAACTTTTTGTATGTGTGTGCGTTTTTTTTTTTATATTAAACAAGTGCCCTACACTAACAGAATGTAAACTTAAAAGCTGTCTACTGTCTATCTTCCAGGCGCCCTGATGTCCGTGGACGAGACACTCATGTGCTCGTTCCAGATTCTCAAGCCAGCGGACAAACGTAAGCTGTACTCCGGTCTCAACATGGGCCGGCCCAACACGCCGCCCAGGGCGCAGCCGAAGAACAAAAAGAAGTGAGTCCACGGTATAACTCTATCACGGGGGTGCTAAATCCATAGGGAGTTAATTTAGTTTATTGTACTCCCTTATTTTGATTTTGATGCGACGCCTTTACCTAATAGGATATTTATTTACCTAGCAGAATGTAATATTAGTTTAAAAATTAACCCTCCAGTGAGTGCATTTATAATTTACCGCAGTACGGTACGATATTAGCAAATATAATCACGTAAGAAACATGTGTATTCTAAATATCTCTAACAGCCCCGATCCTTACCAGTCACGTTCAATCTCGAAATATTTCTGCGTGTGATAATTTATTTATTTACTTCCACTCGATGAGCCTTACAGTCTTCCAATTCGCTCACCCAGGAAAGCACGAGTACAATAACATATGAAAAGGAATATTACACAAAAATAACAAAAAATAATATAAAAAGATTTAACTCAAACAAAAAAACTTCTAAACACAAATACTCTGTGGTCACTCGACGAAACTCCAGCAAGTTGGAGGCAAATACATCCAATTGCGGATACTGGCTCAAAATATTATTGAGTAGTTTCAATGCAAGAGATAGGGGTTTGCTTGCTTAGCCAACTCTGTTCTTCGTAATGAAACATCGAATAAGTGCCGTCTACGTGCTTGCACGTAGTTACTGGGCGCTCCTAATACTGGCATTATGTGAATCTAGACTTACAGTAAAATTACAGGATATAGAGGTAACATCTTGGTGCTTAGGGAATTGAAACGCATTAGGGTTTTTTTTATGGGTGAAAATGGTATGGTAACTTCGCCTGCGCTAACGAGATACTCTGGCGGAGCACCAGTGAAGGGTGATAGATGAGAATGAAAACAGGCCAGTTAGCCCATCATGATGAATTCATCAGGAATTAACCATGATAGTTTCTAGGGGGGACCGCGAGGAGGTCGACCTGGCTATATTGCTAGCAATGGGATCCTCAGTCTCCATTACTAACAATCCCTTCCCCCCCCCCCCACGCATTAGGGTTTATGGGACTTCACAATGTACTTTGCGATGTACACGATGCTATCTGTATGAATTAATGAATGAAAACTTTACTGCTCTCTTCAAAGAATAATATAGATGTTAAAGATTAACAATATATGTACACAAACAAAATTAATAATTAGTTACATAAAAGGAAGATGAAGAGGCTACAATGGATGGTCTATATCTAATTGCAGTAACTTTCAGACGACGGTTACCACTTTCTATCAGTTGGGACGTCAGCTTTTTTGCTAAGTATCATTGATCTTGCTGACAACCTATCTAATTTACTAATATCTAAATTACATTAAAAAACTGTCACAGCATAAAAAAAATAAAACAAAATAAATGCAATTGTATGGTGACAATACATTTTCCACAATTATCGTGTCGTCGTGTAAAAAATGAAAAAGCATTTCTATACAGTTGCGTACAGTTTAGTCATTTATTGTACCAGTACCGCTAATCGTATAACAGAGGGCCTACCATGAAGTATTTTCCGAAATTTCGGGGACGAACGAAACAGAAATTTGATGTTAAAATTGCATAATACATGCTGTTTAAAATTATTAAAAATGTTATAATATCGTTCCACGGGACTATTAGGATAGGATTTATGATGAACGAAATGTTAAGCTCCATTTACTGGGTCGATTTTTATACGAACAAAAACACGAAATTGAGCCGGAAATTTCGAAATTTCATTTCATGATAGACCACCAGTATTACCTACTGGTGTCAAAAGATGCCCAGTGTGACGGTAATATCGTATATTGTGTCTATTTTTTTTTAATGAATGGTAATGGAATGGTAACCCCACCCGCGCTATTAGTATACACCGGCGGGGCACCAGTGAAGGATGATAAGTGAGGATGAAGTAGGTCAGTTAGCGCATCGTGAAGAATTCAACAAGAATTGTTCACGATGGTTTCCATGGAGGTCGACCTAATAAGGCATATTGCTAGCAATGGGGCTGTCAAACTCCATTGCTAGCAATATGCTGACAATCCCTTTCCCCCATCCCGTATATTGTGTCGTACTACGGTAAATTATCAAGTCAAATCTTTTATGATATTAGTTTAAATTGATTATTTAAAAAGTACTCTGGTAAGGAATTGTTATTGAAAATTGCTAAACAATTCCGATATTACTTTGGTATGAACGCTTTTACTGTACCTTAACCTATCAGTATCCAGGGAGAATCGCGTGGAGGTCGACCTAATGGGGTATATTGATAGCAATGGGGACTAATCTCCCCTTTACTAACAATCCCTCCCCCCTGGGAGAAGGGGTTGGGGCTCGGTTCATGTTGGGCGCATTTATAACATAACCTTTTTTCTTTTATAACTTGGGGCCTTAACACGATGGAAAACTTTTGCAGGTAAATAGCCATATATCTTTTTCTTTAGTAGATACTATTTACCTACAAAAATTTTTTCATCGCTTTTTGTCCCAATAGTGTATTTAAAATATGTGTAAACAACGCGAAAGTTTAAAATTGATCGATCGATATAGCGTATATCCTTCCCCATCCTATATAGTATCTGTATACCAAACTACAGTAATTGGTAAAGGCGTAAAGAGGTAACAGACAAACTAAATTTCATATTTGGAGTATTAGTAAGGTTTTTTTTTAATTTCAAAGATAAAGTGAAGAAGAGCAAAGGTACTAGTGTGTTCTTACAATATTACTATCTCGACTGTCCACTAACAAAATGTATGAAATTAGACCGTGGTCACACAAAATTCACAGTGATGTAGTCAAATTACAACCTTAAAAAACCATTTTGAGAAATGGTCACCAAGCATGTATTATCTCTCTCATGTATTTTGTGATTTTTTTTAAACTACTCTGTGATTTTTTTTTAACTAGCTGTACCCGTGACGTCGTTCGCGCCCCGTATATAAAGTTATGAACATATATGAATAATATAAAGCAATAAATAATCTGTTTTGCTACTCTTATCATAATTGGTAGATAAAGTTGACACGCCTTAATGCTAAATGTTATCGTTTATCGACCTGGCCCTCTAGACAATTGGCAAGCGAATTCATCAATGGAATCTCGACATCGCTAACGAGTCCACGAGTCATCTAGAGGGCCACGGATCGATTCTGAAACGCTATTTCTCTAAATCTATCTTTAAAATAAATATTTTAATTTGTTCTCACAACGAAATCTTTATTGTATAGACCAATATAAATGAATTTTCTAATAGATTTATGTCACACTTATTATAAATTTAATTTATGATGGTCCATAAAGAGATAATACCACGAAATTATAAAATTAAAATATGAGATTAAGAAATAAACTTCAAAATCGGCCGCAATGATTTCTATTTCATCGTATGTTTACAAATCCAAACGAGCGGCGTCGCAGTATACAGCTACTAATCGATAAACTCCACCATATCACTCCACTAAACATGTGTTTGTTCTCCAGCTAATCGCCCGCCGCCGCCGACGACTTGCATGGATTCCCACTAAACCACCATCGTACGGACCGCCCGCCGTTGACAGTTGCACTCGTATCGCTTCGACATGCTTCCAAACTTGACGACCGCGTCGCTTCCACTGGGGCCTACGTTTGAGCGGCAACAGTGTAGCGATCAAACACTTTGTACAGTGTAAACGCACCCCGTGCGCGCACACTGCCCACAAATATGTGGCGCGAGTTTTAAAAATTCACAAGCATTTTATCTTTTTAATTTTGTGGCCATCTTGAATTTGTTCGCATTGTGCGCGCACTTAACAACGATGCCGTACTGTCAACGGTGTACGTTCAAACCTTAGATTTGTATGTAATTACATTCGCATTGTATTATTTTTAAAAATTATAAAAAATTCGCAATCAAGTATTATTGAATTAGCATTGTTTTGCCCGCTTTCTCCGAAACATTGGTCACATAATGAGTCTGTTCACTACGAAAGTCCGTTGCACGTTCCACAACAAATTGCAGGACAATTCGGCGGCAACACGGACTTGGAACTTGTCTCAAGTTAATTTACACATGGGTCCGTTGGCGCGACTAGCGGACGACGTTATAGTCGCCCGTGTGTAAAGCTATACTCAACTCTCCTACCCGCCATTGTACTGTGAAACTGCCTATGTCGCATGTAGTTATTATTTTTTTATTATTATTATTATACTTTTACTATTATTACTCTTTTTTTTTATTGGATAGGCAGTTAAGTGGCGCCGGGAACTCCCTGTGGGCGTTATAAATGTGGATGAATTTTTCGCGAGTGTTGCAGGAGTGTTTCTGTCTGTACGGATGTGTTGTATGGTTGCTGTCGTGTACGCTTGTGTTGCATTCAATATACAGTTTAATTAGGGTGAGCTCGGCGTGAACGCTGAAGGCGTATGAACGACATTTATTCCGCTAACGGCGACCACAGAGCGATTTTTAATCGCCAGTCTGCAAAAAGATTTACGACAATAACGCATCCGCGTTATTCTTATTTAACCTATTCGTCCGTCACGTTGACGCCGAGCGTAATTTCGGTAAATTGGATTTATGACCCAAAATGTATGAGACATTGATGAAAATGGTATAAAACTTACAATAAGTAGTAAGCGTAAATATTGTAAACAACGCGTAGATTATTATGAACAAAGTATATGAATAATTTAAATGAACACCGTCCTCATCTCGGACGCGGTAGAACGTAATGTACCCAATGCTTCAACGCTCTCATGTGACACGCAGAGTAGAGCGATTGTAATAGTGTTCAAAATAAGCTTGGTTATACCATTGTGAGTTGCGTAAAAATAAATAAATGGTGCACTGCATGTAATGTAAAAATGGCCGACAACAATTAATTAATAAATCGTCACAATTACTAAAGGATTATTTATTTAGTTTTTTTTTTTTTTATATGCTCGTACGTTGTGATGTGTAACCTTGAACTTGAATCGTATGTTAGTAGCGGAAACTGAGGATTGCTTCGTTTTTTACAATAAAAAGAAAAATTGTGGATAATTGTTATTGGCTTTAAACAGACTATGTAACACTGTTGTTGATATTTTTAAAACTACTGTAAAATAAATATTATATTACACTTAATTATCTATATAATTGTGTAATTCAGATTTAACCATAGTTATATAGTTGCTGAAACTGAAAGATTCCTTTGCTTTTTACAATAAAAAAAATGTCCTAGCAAACATATTTGTTCCACTGTGGATGAACTATACTGTTGCTGCATTTGTAAATGACGGCTCGCGTCACGGCCGCTCATGACTAAGGGTCCCTGATGATCCCGAAACTAGAGCATGCTCGACTAAAATACAATGTAGGTGAATCCGGGTGTACCTACATTTAAATACTTTGTCAATTGTTGTTTTATAAGGAAAAAAAAACAAGCAATAAGAATATGCAGTTATGTCTGTGAAAAAACAGCCAAGGAATAAAAATATGCAGTTATAATTCTGTGGAGTCACATGAGAGACGTTAATTGCAACCATATTGATTTGATCACTGCTGTAGACTGACAGCGGGCAGAGACCGTCGCGTCGCCCTTCTAATTGATGTACGAGCAAATATTGTATATTGGTTTCGTAAATAAATTAACTTTGAAGAAATTATTTTGTTCTGTTTATTTCACTATTCACCTACTTTTATTACCTACGGATTTTTCTTTTGATGGGTGAAAATAAGTATGGTAACCCCGCCTGCGCTAACGGGATACGCTGGCAGAGCACCAGTGAAGAATGATAGATGAGAATGAAAACAGGCCAGTTAGTTCATCATGATGAATTCATCAGGAATTAACCATGATAGTTTCCAGGGAGAACCGCGAGAAGGTCGACCTGGCTGGGTATTTTGCTAGCAATGGGATTCTCAGTCTCCATTACTAACAATCCCTTTCCCCCCACCTACGGATATTAGAATTTTTCTTTTGTGGATAATGTATGAACCAGCGGGGAAGGAATAAGAGGTACCGGTGATGTAAAAATCCCCTAACATGTTTAAGCGGAGGAGAGAGGGGAGATTAATGGTAAGAAGTAAAATGATATACGTTGGTGAAGCATCAGAGATAGATGAAGATGACAGCAGGTAAGTTGGTTCATCGTGAAGAATTCGATAAGAATTAAACACAATAGGGAGACTGTACAATAGTCGTTTGCTTGGGCACCTGTCCCATTCGTGTTTGTATCGTGAAACAATTGTGTTGCATGGCTGTGTTTCGGTTTGAAAGGTGGGGTATGGCAGTGAATTTACAGGGTACAGAGATACCTCTGTACCCTGTAAATTCACTGCCATACCCCAGGAGTGGTAACGCTCAGGAGGTATCATGGATGACACAGTATACTCTGTTATGTCCATGGTATTGCTCGTGTCCATAGGCGACGGTTACCACTTTCCATTAGGTGGGACGTTAGCTTGTTTGCCATTCTAAGTAGCATAAAAAAACCAGCTGAAAAGGAATGAGAGATGACAATAGTGATAAAATCCACTGGCATGTTAAAGCGTGTAAGGGGTATAAAAAACCATTAACCCCCCCCGTTAATGGTTTTTTTTATGGGTGAACATGGTATGGTAACCCCACCTGCGCTAACGGGATACGCTGGCGGAGCACCAGTAAAGGATGATAGATGAGAATGAAAACAAGCCAGTTAGCCCATCAGGAATTAATCATGATAGTATCCAGGGGGAACCGCGAAGAGGTCAACCAGGTTGGGTATATTGCTAGCAATGGGATTCTCAGTCTCCATTACTAACAATCCCTTTCTCCCCTGTGGGGTTAATGGTAGGAAGTAGAATGATATAGGCTGGTGGCACCAGAGAGGAATAGAACAGGTGATAGGTGAAGATGAAAGCAGGTCGATTCATCGTGAAGAATTCGATAAGTATTGACCATAATGCTATCCAAGGGTAACCACGTGGAGGTCGACTTGACAAGGTGAACTGCTAGCAATGGGGTTGTTAGACCCTATTATTGACAATTCCTTTCCCCTTAAGCGACAGACCAGGTGGCCCGTGACTATCTCAAGATCTGAACAAAGCTTCGCAAAGGTATGTCTGAAAGTACATTATAGCATTACAGCCCAGGCGGAAGCGATTGTTAGTGATAGGAATCGAACAGTCCTATTGCTAATCGATCTCCACGCGGTTACCCCTGGAAACCATCTTGGATAATTCTGTATGAATTCGCCACTATGGGTCAACGGACCTGTTTCATCCTCATTTATCATTACTCACTGGTGCCCCACCAGCGTATACTGATAGCGTAGGCGGGGTTACCATTCCATCATCACCTAATAAAAAAAAACATATCAGCCGTTAACTGGCCACTATTGAACATAGGCCTCCCCCATGTAGGGGGTTTTGCCAATAGTTGCCAAGCTTGGGAAGTTAGTTGGTTGGTTAACAGCAATCAGACATTAGTGATGTTCTTGCCATACCTCGACGATTAAGTTTTATTAATCGGCTTTTACAACAAACACGGAATGGAAAAGAGAACATATGCGCCTTTTATAAATGGGCTAGCTCACACTTTAAAATAAGCTAATATACAACAATGATAAAGACATTCCAGTTGTCCATCTGCGTCGAATTCACAATAATTGACCTTCACAAGGTCATAGATAGATAATTTATTTTCATTACTTACAGCACACAAATAATAATACTAAAAAAGATAAAAGAATGAAAAACAAATAAAGCAGCAAAGAAACAAAAAGCAAAATATCAAAACAACAATTTCCTTCTTTCATATGTGTGCCATAGCGACACAAAATGATCACAACTCAAGTTTATTACTTTGTCCTTAAAATAGTAAAACACTAATAAACTAAGCTTATTAATAATATAAATTAATAATTAAGTCTTCACTAATTGTATAATTGTTACTTCGTATACATTACCACTTATCTGTAAGAGCTGTATACGCTCTCTAATTGATATCTAGCCTTAAGCTTAGAAAGAAAGAAAAAAAATGTTTTTATTCAAATAAACTTAGATTTAAGCATTTTTTAACAGTTAATTTTTCATTACTTATAACATTGTACATTGTATGCTTAATTATTGTGAACATATTGTTGGTGTATCTTTTATAAATAAATAAATATTCTGTTGTGGCCAAGAACCTCCTTAATAAAATTAATAATAAAAAAGAAAGATAACAGGACAACGTCATCCTCGCATATTGTCACACATGCCATTTGGACGCTAAGAGGAAAAAGGAGGGAATAAGGATTGTTAGTAATATGATCTTGTTATGAATGTAATCTTTGTTTGTGTTTCGGAACGCAACTTACGACTTATGACTTATGTACAATAAAGATTTTTACAATACAATACAATACGAGCTGTCAGTTTAGAATCGTTAGAAAATGTGACATGTCGCTCATTCAGTGAAAAATAAAATTGAAACCTTAACAAATGAGATCCATTTCTTTAAACCTCAACAGGTCTAACAGCCCCATTGCTAGCAATATACTCTATCAGGTCTACCTCCACGCAGTTCCTCCAGAAAACCACTGTGGTTAATTCTTGTAAAATTCTTAACGATGGGCTAACTGATCTACTTTCATCCTCATCCCATCATCTTTCACTGGTGTCTCGCCAGTGTTTAGCAATAGTACAGGCGGAATTATCTTAAGATTATAAATTTTATTATAAATATCACTGCTAAACATAGGCCTCCCCCATAAGGAGAGTTCTGCCTGTAGTTACCACGCATGGCAGCCGGATTAGCAATCACAGGTTTTGATGTTTTAAGAGGGAAGCTACTGCCCATCCCTCGACCATTTAGTAATTCATTATATTATCTATTAAAAACAAATGTACGCGGTATATATATATATAGACAGGTAACAACGGAGAATTCAGGATAGCAGCAATCTATTTCATTAATACACTATAACCAAAAGAAATGTAATTTCATGGATTGTATGGCATTTCAGAAATAAATATACGAAGCGTTTTGATTGATTTATTATTAATAACATGGTGTCCGTCGAATAAGTTACAATAAATTTTATATATTATTTAGTACTTTACTAAAAATAAATTTATCTGTGCTTCCTTTAAATATAACAATAATAAAAAATTTATTTATTTATTTATTTATTTAACTCTTTATTGCACCATAAATAAAAATATACAATGACAAGTGAATAATTCAAATGAAATACAGTAACATAAACACAGATTGAAATATACACATAAAGGTACAAAAGGCGGTCTTATCGCAATCTCTTACAGACAACCTTTAGTTAAGGGAGAACAGATAGAAAAGGGCAGGTGGCGCAAGAGTGAATCAACAATTTTCGTGCACAAAATACAAAAACATGTAATGCACAAAAATATCAAATACATATAATTTATTAAACTACTTACTATAACAATATATATACATACATACATACACATACATATATATATATATATATATACATACATATACACATATAACATACATACAAAATACATAAACATACACATATAAATACATACATAGCACACACAAGGAAATATGACAAATCTAGTCCAAAAATTACAAAGGAGTGGAAAAGAGTAACTACAGTGAAAGAAAATGTGATTTGACTTGTCCTTTAAACGAAGCCAAGGATTGCGCACTCTGTATAGACGGTGGCAGTGAGTTCCATAGGCGCACTGCCTGAACGGAAAAGGATTTGGTGTAGTACACGGAGGTATGTGCTGGGGTTTTTAAACGGAGACTATTTGAGGTACGCGAAGCGTGACTCTGAACTTCACCGAGAAATATAAATCGCTCTTTAAGATAGTGAGGTGTAAGAGGATTGAATAGAATGGAATAAAGAAGAGATAATATATGCCAATCTCGGCGTCGACGTATTGGGAGCCACTTGAGCTGAGTGCGAAAATTAGAGATGTGGTCGTATTTACGAAGTCGAAATATAAATCTAATACACAGGTTTTGGAGACGCTCAAGTTTATTAAGTTGGTCTTCGGTGAGATCAATGTAGCAGGTATCAGCATAGTCAAGGACAGGAAGGACAAGGGAGTGAGCAAGCGCAACTCTAGTGGCCATAGGTAAAAAAATTACGTAATCTTCTGAGTGAGCCCACAATCGCAAAGACCCTCCTACTAATCTCTGTTATTTGGGTGCTCCAGGATAGCGTTCTGTCAAGATATATTCCGAGATCCTTTACAAAATCTTTATAGTCCACAGATATCCCGTCGAACATTATATTAGGCAGATTTTCCCAGCAAATTCTTGAAATATAGTTGGGGCTCCCGATAATAATAGCCTGCGTTTTATTAGGGTTTACAGTTAATCCAAATGACTTACACCAGCTCGAAATGTGTGCCAGATCTTTGTTTATTGAATATATTGCAGAGTCTAACTCATGAAATGGAGCGTGTGAGTAAATTTGAAGATCATCTGCATAAAGGTGGTAGGAAGAGCGAAGTTGAATAGTGATGGTGTTAATAAATAACGAAAAAAGTAAAGGAGATAAGACGCCACCCTGAGGTACACCAGCTAGCGTGCGACACCATGATGAAGAGCTATCTTCAGTATGAATGCGTTGCTGGCGCCCATTCAGGTAACTTTGAAACCACTCAATTACGGCTGGAGATATGTTGAGAGAACGCAATCTTCCTAATAATATATCAAAATCGACAGTATTAAAAGCATTACTTAGGTCTAACAATGTTAAAACCGTAAGCTGTGAGTTTTCCATACCATGACGGATATCGTCGGTGATTTTGACAAGAGCAGTAGTCGTACTATACCTGATTGGAAGGGATTAAAAAGATCATTCTTGGATAGGAATTCATTTAGTTGTTGATGGACAAGTCGCTCGAGAGCTTTAGAAAGAAATGGAAGAATGGAAATTGGACGGAAGTCTGAAAAAGATGTTGGATTGGGTTTTTTAGGGAGAGGAAGTATATGTGCGTTTTTCCAGACAGAAGGGAAAACTCCCGAGGACAAGGAATTATTGAAAACCAATGTAATAATGGGAAGGACAATGTCAAGAATGGGAAGGATCATAGTACGACTTATGTCATCTGACCCCACAGCATTAGAAGTAATAGCTAGCAGGCTCTTCTCAACATCACAGTCCGCAACTGGAGTAAAGAAAAAAGGCGAATAGTCAGGGATTGGAATAGAAAAAAGGTAATTAATCGTGTTTGTTTTATATAACAGCGGAAGAGCAGAAATGCCTATTAAGGCTGTTAATATCAATATTTTGGGAGCCATAACTTTGGTTCTTACCAATCCTCACCGACTTCAGAAATTTCCAAACTTTGGTTGGGTTGCCATTTTCGACAGATTTATGAAAGTGGCGTCGTTGAGCTTCTCTACACACCTTATTACAGTGATTTCTAACACGTATATACTGTTCACGATATTTTGTGGGATCAGATTTAAATTTAGACTTGGCTCTGTTCTTTTTCGCCTGAATGGAAAAAAATAAAAAAAAAAAAACAAAATTTACAATAAAAATAAAACAAAGCAGTACTAAAAAAATACTTCGTATTAAGTACACATTAACAACCCAGGGGAGTCTACCATGAAATGAATTTCCGAATTTTCGTACTCAACTTCGTGTTTTCAGTCATACCGTAATCAGCCCAGTAAATGGAGCTTATTTGTTTTGTTCGTCATATACCCTATCATAAAAGTCCAAAGAAACGATACTTCAATATTACCTCATAGTAAAAAATATTATCTATTTTCAAAAAATCTATTCAGATCTCATCTGGAACACTTTCTATATTTAACAGAATGCAAAATAATGATAATGTTATGGCAAAAAGTTCAGACATTAACATATTTGCAAATTTCAATACATTTAAATCTGCCGTTCTGAATCATTTTAATAAAAAATAAATAAATAATCACCTCTTTAATATGAAGTGAACAAGCATATATTTAAGCTTACCTACATATTTATGCATGATAGCTTTTTATGTTATTTTGGTTGGAATAAATAAATTATTTCTTTAGAAAAATTAATGTAAACCATGGTAACTGTATGGGGTCACAGTTAAAAGTAATATTCTTAAGAACAACAATATATATAATACGTGTAAATACAAGACGAGACAACCATTTGAATAGAAACAAAAACCATATAAAAAAATAATATCAACATTATATATGTGGCCAGACTTAAATTTACACTATGGCCACAAAGAAGTTTCAATAGTAACCAGTAATTAAGCCAACACTATATCCCTGAACTATTTGCGTGAGATAAAAATTTTAATGTGAATGTTTTGTTGAATAAATAAATAATAAAAATAATTTTAAACAGTGTGTATTATGTAATTTCAACATTAAACTTGTATTTCGTTTGGCTCTCAAATTTCGAAACACATTTCATGGTAGGCCCTCAGATAATACTAAAGTACTATTATTATATATTCTGGGTTGTTAGTATTATTACATTAATACACATAATACATTTTTTATAAAATAAATATTAAATTGAATAAATCTTTGGTATCCCTAATTCTCTCTTCAAATGTTGATTAATTATTTGTTAATGTCAAAATATAAACAAAAAAAAAAATTAAACAATAAATAATAATAAAACTCAGCACAGTCTTATAAAATTTCTTAATTTGTATAAAGTGATTTATAATTATATAATTTCCATTGTCGAATGTTAAACATTGTAAATATTTCTCTCTCTCTCTCTAATCCAATAAATTTAAGTCCATTATTTTAATTTGCTTACTACTATACATATATGTATATGTACTTGTTTCTATATATTTTTATTAAGTTAAGGACTATCTACGTATTAAAATATACTTCCTATTTTTTTTTTTTTTTATTTTGAATCTATTTAATGTAAAAATAATTCTGATTAAATTACAAAGTATACAAACTTAATAAAAAAGAGTATACAAAATTTGTAAAAATCAACTACAAATACCTTGTCGTTTCTTAATTGTTTTTTTTTTTATACCATTCAGGCGGCGAACAAACATACAACCCACCTGATGGTAAGCGATTACCGTAGCCTGCAATACTGTTGCTGACCCTGAAGAAACCTCTTTACCCCTCTTTTGTTTCCACAAGATACAGTCATGAAATTTAGAACTAAGTGTAACAATTTCATTAACAACAATATTTAAAGAAATTTTATCAATTAAGCTCATTCCATGTACATACAGTTGTACCATGGACATAACAGAGTATACTGTTCCGCCCATGATACCTCCCATGCGTTGCCATTCCTGAGGACTCAGGTGTTATTACTCCATATCATGTAAATTCACTACCATATTCCACCTTTCAGACCAAAACACAGCCACGCTTTACGGTAGAAACACGAATAGGACACATGTAGGCACCCAAGCAAACGACTTTTGTACAAAGTCTCCCTCTGGTAATTTCTTGATAGAATAGGCTTCAGTTCTTCCTCCATTATTCAATTCTTTTCATTCACGTTCACTAATAATGTATAATATGAGAATGAGGTCTTGATTATCTGAAATTAATATAAATACACATTGATAATCTTACGTCATACAAATTCACCAGAGTGACATTGTCACTTTGTACAAAAATCAAGTTCGTCGGTAAGTACCTTTTCAAGTGACTTCGAAATGAAGGAGACTCTTAATTCGATTGTATATATTTTTTTATATATATTTGTCACCTCACAACTCCGTTAGTTGTATCAGAAAGGATATACTCACAGATTGGTCCACCGGATTCAGTAGTTAAGTTTTCACATGAAAATAACTAGTTTTGCCACAGTTGAAGCAGTTTTTATGGACACACAATCTCATTCTCATTCGTGTTTCTGCTGTGTAGCAACTGTGCTTACATGGCTTTGTTTCAGTGAAGCGTGACAAGTTTTATTACAGGGTACGGAGGCGTAACATCGTAGTCTATAAGTTTTTATTTTATGCAACTTGATGGACAGTGGTAACCGTCGCCTATAGACATGAGCAGTACCAAGGACATAACAGAGTATACTGTTTCGTCCATAATACTTCCCATGCGTTGCCATTCCTGAGGACTCAGGTGTTATTCCTATGTACCCTGTAAATTCACGCCATATCCCACCCTTCAAACCGAAATACAGCCATTCAAACGCAACTGCTTCACGGTACAATCACGAATGGGACAGAGGTGCCAAGCAAACGACTTTTGTACAAAGTCTCCCTCTGGTAATATAAAAACTAAATATAACAACTCATGAGGGATACCATATTGTTACAGTGCAGCGAACATATCATCCATGTACAAATGTTGTCTAGTTTACAATTTTACTTATATTAGTAAGTTTATTGGACTAGTAATAAATATTTTAATGTAAAAAGTACCGGTTTAACTTACGTGGAATTAGATCGAGAAAGCTCGACTAGTTTCGGGGTCAATTCGTGCTCCTTAATCCTTAATAATAATCCTAAAACTAGCCGAGTTTTCTCGATTTAATTACACGTAAATGCTTACAAAATATTTAAGAATAATAAATAATAGCTCTACACTTATCTAGACTCGAGCTCTACTATTTACTGACGAAACCCTGTGCGATCTACCAATTATATACTTCTTGAAATCTCAAATGAAACAACATAGTTCAGTACATATTTATTTAGTATATTGTATTATTTTTTTATTTTATTAAGAGGGAAAACATAAAACTTAAAATTATTCTTAGTAACTATTTATTTATATTAGCATTATATACCAGAGGGAGACTTTGTACAAAAGTCGATTGCTTGGGTACCTCTGTCCCATTCGTGTTTCAACCGTGAAGCAGTTGTATCTGCATGGCTGTGTTTCGGTTTGAAGGGTGGGATATGGCGTGAATTTACTGGGTACAGAGGAATAACATGGGGGGTATCATGGGCGAAACAGTATACTCTGTTATGCCCATGGTACTGCTCATGTCTATAGGCAACGGTTACCACTTTCCATCAGGTGGGCCATCAGCTTGTTTGCCATTCTAAGTTGTATATTTACCACCCTTTGACCACCCCTGCTACTGCTGCTAACTAATATTAACAAAATGGCGTATTTAATATTCTTTTAAAGTGACATGTTGCAATTTTGACGACTACTATCTACTGTATTGTAAACCGAGAAATATTTTTTCATTATAGGATGCTTTATTATCAAGGAGTAACATTTATAAGAAAATTTAATACAACCCACCATTTTGTTAATAATGATCAGGGCCGTAGCTAGACGCAAATTTAATGCTTTTGGTAGGGCAGAAGCCATAATTAAGTGATTTCGAAAAAGAGAATCTGTCTACCGCAGCGGGCTCCCTTTTAAAGCGCTAGTTCATCAATACAGCTGTATATGTGAGCTTGTGTGTCGGTAAGTCAGTAGAAAAACGTCGAAAATGAGTTCCACGTGTCCACGGAAGGTGAAACGTAAGCGCAGGTATCGCTATTACTATTATTATTAGTATTCACTGCATCCTTCACTGGTGCCCCGCCGGCGTATACCGATAGCGCGGGTGGAGTTACCATTCCATTATCACCCATTAAAAAAAAAAAACCTAAAAACTGATGTACGTTTTATCTACTCCCTACTCCATCTAGAATGGTTAATTTAATTGATTTTCTTCGACTTCTAAAATCCACGGGTACGAAGGCAAAAACTAGTAATTAACGAAGTTAGACCAATGTTAGCCATACACCCTATCAGATCAACCTCCACGCGGTTTCCCCTGGAAAACATCGTGATTGATTCTACTGAATTCATCACGATGGGCTAACTGACCTGCTCTCATCATCGCCTATCATCCTTCACTAATGCCCCACCAGTGTATACCGATAACGCAGGCGGGGATACGATTTCATTATCACCCATAAAACCCCTTAGAATGAAACCATGTTAAAATCTGTGAATCCATCATTATCATTGAAGTTAAGATAGTTGTATTTAACAGAAAATAGAAGTACACGAAATCTTAACTCCCTTAATAAACACATCCAGATGATAATAGTTTTACTAATAAACAAAGAATGTATTTTCTAAAATAATACCATGTAAATATCACAAATTTTTAGAAGCATCAAACATCCAACCGATACATGTCATAACATGTATTTATTTGCCAAAAATAATTTCATACATACGTACATATCTGTCACGCCTGTCTCCCATTAGGGTAGGCAGAAACAATGGAACGCCAAATGCTTCGATTCAAACAAACCTCTCTCGCTTCTGCCACATTCATCAATCTTTTCATACACGCTCGCCGGTTACGGGCACTTTTAATTTGGCCCTTCTTCAGCACGTCGCCTATTTGGTCAACAGGCGGTCATTTTTGCTCGATAAATCTTTTCTTATAATATTATAATAAATAATTTCTTCAATCAAATAATCCTTAAGTTTACCTTTTGGAGATAGAAGAGTCACTATTATCGCTGTCATCATAGTTACGATCAATTGTCAATTCCATTTGTTCTTGTTTAACCTCATGCCGTCGGTTAAAATATTCAGTCCAATATTTTAACATTTTATTTATTAACCACATTGCAAATAATATAAAAAATCCCGTCACAGTAATAATTAGCGAATAACGAACTGATTTTTCTTTTAACAGCCGCTCGAATAAACTTTCCACGTAGTTTAGTACCGTAGTATCTTTAACTTCCATTGTAAAATTTTAACTCTAAAATAATAATGATGCAATAATAATGCACGACCGCGTGTTGTAAAGTCGAATCGGCTTACTCGATAGCGTAAAAAAATAACATATACGAATGCAGACTACTTCAGGGTTGCCAGCTGATTTTTTATTTTTACCCAAATATCAAATAATTTATTCTCCAAATCAATAATTTCACTCACTTTCATAGGCGTATTTAATAGGAGCTGGGTGGGCCATGCCCGCCCTAGAATTGTCTGGTGCCCATCCCAGGATGCGAGCAGAGTTTTTAACTATATCCGACAGTACATAATAAACTTTCTTATAAAGCCAAACCTCCCCTGAAAAATAATTTTAAATACACCAATGCTTACTTTTACCCAATCACAAACTGGTGTTGATTTTTCTTTTTTATATATATTGAGTACTGTTTAAAAAGATATAACCAAAAAAATTTACTTTTGCTACCTTTATTGCTTATTTTGTTATTTACCACTATACAAATTAAATTTCTGCTAGCCCATTTCACTTTTGTCCAATATTGCGAAACAAAATACCCAATCTGGCAACACCGCCCGCCGCGATCTAGCGCTTTATCGCATATCGCGCGAACTGTGACGTTTTCACACCAAACAACCACAATACTCACTTCATGTACAAAAGCTTATCATTTATCAAGAAATGATGCAGGAATAAACCCCTACACCTAATTTATTAAGTAGCAGTGAATGATGTAATTTGATCAGTTGGTCCATTATGATGGGGGAACCACGTAGAAATCGACCTTATAGGCTGTATAATTGCTAGTAGCGAGACAAATCCCCCCCCCCCCCCCCCCCTCTACCTACTAAGATATTTTTTTAACGGGTAAGAATGGAATAATAACCTCGCTTGCGTTATTAATATACGCTGACGGGAGGGAAAGGGATTGTTAGTAATGGAGACTAAGAATCCCATTGCTAGCAATATACCCAACCAGGTCGACCTCTTCGCGGTTTTCCCTGGAAACTATCATGGTTAATTCCTGATGAATTCATCATGACGGGCTAACTGGCCTGTTTTCATTCTCATCTATCACCCTTCACTGGTGCTCCGTCAGCGTAATATCCCGTTAGCGCGGGCGGAGTTACCAAACCATTTTCACCCATAAAAAAAAAATATACGCTGACGAAGCACCACTGAAACATAATAAAATTATGATAATTGACGATGAATTCAGGTCAATTGGGTCATCGTGATGAATTCGACAGGAGTAGCTATGATGATTTCCAGGGAAAACAATGTGGAAGTTCCTAAACCATACATCGTGAAAGTCTAAAAGCTAATTTTGACAACCTATGTAGCGCAGTGGTGATGTAATAAAGTCCCGGATTCTTTCTTAATTTGTTAATAGGCTATTTGATAATATAAATAATAATGCTTTATATAATTCCATCCGAATAGTCTAGGTGTTTTAAAACTGGTGTTTTTGCCAGCAAATTGTCAAATAAAAAAGTTGACCCGTTTTTAAGGTTCGATGCCGTATCTATATAATCTAAAACCCTATAGCATTAGAATATCTATAAGCAAATCCCAACCACTTTTTGTGTATTATATGGATTTTTTCAACATACTAATTAACAGTTTTTTTGACGTCTTTATAGATAAGATAAGATATAAGATATTTATTTATTTAACAAAGTATGTTTGTATTAGCACAGAATTTATCATTGCCTCCTACACTAGGCCGAGCCTGTCCTGTAGGAAGCAATACTCGTGTTATCATATACATGCATACAGATATTAAACATAGGCTTTTTAGCAGTACTTACAATTGTGTTACTAATCTGTATAATTATTTTTTTTTTCTTTCTCTCACCACCAATACACATGTATAAATAAGTATTATGAATGAGTGTGTGTGCATGCGTGTGTGTGTGGTGTACGTGGTGTGTGTCTGTGGTGTGTGTGTGTGTGTGTGTGTGTGTGTGTGTGTATGTGTGTGTATATGTGTGTGTGTGCGTTTTAGTATGTATGAAACCAGTATTTTCATTTATATGATTAACAAGAGCATGTTTTCAGTATCGTCATAATTCATAGATTTCAGATGTTCGCTTACTTTTGATTTTGTTTCTTTTAGGGTACAGTTCTTTAAATTGTAAATTTTGCAAAATTTATTATATATGAATGGGATCATGCAAGAAGAGAAGCGTCTGGCAAAACTAGTTCTAGTAGTAGGTGTAGGGAGAGTGTAAAAACGCTTGTTTGAAGCCTTAGGGTTATTCAGTGACTTTTGGATTATGCTGTGACCAATAGTTATAATTTTGAAAATATACAGTTTACGAACACTTAAAACCTTTGCGTCATTAAATAAAGAAGCTGTTGAATATCTAAAAGGCTTTTTGAACATGACCTTTAATATAGTAGACTTTATAGTAGTTGTTAAAGCGGTTCCCTGGGGATTTGTATCCCGAGAGATAGTTTCCTTCGACTAGACTGTCATCACAGATCACGATTCGGGCAAAGTAAGGAGTTACGAGCGTACCTGGATTCTGCTATGGCGGCTGCTGCAGGAAACGATTAACGAGTCACCATACCTCACGAGCGGCGGAATTAGTGTATATATACCTTGAATATCACACCACCGACATACACCTTGATAATTTGATACTTTATATTAAGCTTTAATGATTTAATTATTATGACACGTAATTATGTGCGAGCGGCGTTTCTCAGATACGAGCGGGAAAAACGAACAGAACCGCCATCTTTTTTCCCAGCAGCGGCGCGGGTGTATTCGGCTCCTTTCGGCCCTAGATGGTGAAGTATGTCTGTCCTTGTCTATTACACGAGATGTGCATTTAAACTAATTGTGGCGCAAACAGTAGTATTTGTGTACACTGGTACGACACAGCATTTGTACATTTTCTTTCTTGAAACGGTAAAAATTAAGAGAAATAAAAACTCGTGTATAACACTAGATGATTGTTTACTTCCTCATGACGTCACTGCCGCGCCGCCATGTTGCTCAAAAGTTACGTTTTGGTGGCCTATTGAAATTGTACTTTTTTATTTGTTATTTTTGGAAGAAATACTTTTGTGAATTAAAAATAACTACTTTTTAAGGAATTTATAAACATCACTAAATAATTGAAAAAATGAAATGATTTCCAGAAGTCAGTCATTGTTAATAATAATTAAAAATAATAATTAATTAATTATAATAATAATAAAAAATGATAGCCTATTATTGTTAATTATTATTACATAGATAGATAACTTCGACATGACTTAACTTCGATAAATGTCAGTTATAAGACCTCTTTTAACGCTTTTAAACCCTTCGTTGCATGTTTTTTTTTTTGTTTATTGGTGAAATAATTCAAGGTCATATAATTTATGTTCAAAGTTAAAGAGAAAATGGTTAAAAAAATAAATTTGACAGCTATGTTTTGTTTTTTGCACGATCAACTTAAAGTGAACTTGGTCTTTTATATAATTTTTGGGCATTCAATGTTATGATGGAAATTTCCACCATTATGCAAAGAAGGATTAAATCTTACATTGACATAGGTGTGGAGGTCCATGCGCAGGAATCTGCCGGCGCGGACGACAACGGCCCTCTGGGTGGCCAGTAGCATGTTGACGAGCATCCTTCGCGGCTGCACGCCCATCGTATGCCAAGCACATTGATAAGCCGCTGTAGGTACACGCTCCGCCTAATAATAATAGTATTATTCATCGGTAACTGTATCATTCATTTCTATTAAGCTTAAAATATCTGACTACCGTGCCCTTGATAGGAGACGATAACTGTCAACTATAAACATGACATAATATCACAATTTTTTTTTATATACCACTGAGGTGACAGACAAGCTTACAGCCCACCTGATGGTAAGCGGTTACCGCAACCTGTGAAGGCCTGCAATACCAAAGGCATACGCGCGCGTTGCCGACCCTGATATAACCTTTTTTTTATACAACTTAGAATGGCAAACAAACTGACGGCCCACCTGATGGAATGTGGTAACCGTTGGCAACTATTGACAAAACTCCCTTATAGGTCTATGTTCAACTGTGGATAGCAACAGCCGATATGATGATGACGAGATATCAACAAACCTGCGTTATAATTTGGTTTCCATAGTAACAATACACAAAAATATCCAACGCGGCAGCGGATAAATATTCCGCTGTTACCATATCGAACTTCTGTAAACATTAAATTAAAAAAAAAATATTAATATTTTTATTTTCCTTTTACTAATTAATATAATATAATCTATTTATTATTTAAATATAACTCATATATACACCCACTATCATAGATAAGATCCGAAAAGATACTCCGTATTCTAATTTACCGAGGAATCGAATCAAAATCTTTTTATTGCTGAATATGGGTGTATATAAAGACATAGAATACGACAGATTCTGCCATATTGTACCTTCTTGAGGTGTATACTATTTAGCAATATACATATATTGGGGGGAAAGGGATTGTTAATAATGGAGACTGAGAATCCCATTGCTAGCAATATACCCAACCAGGTCGACCTCCTCGTGGTTCCCCATGGAAACTATCATGGTTAATTCCTGATGAATTCATCATGATGGGCTAACTGGCCTGTTTTCATTCTCATCTATCACCCTCCACTGGTGCTCCGCCAGCGTATCCCGTTAGCGCAGGCGGGGTTACCATTTTCACCCATCAAAAAAAAAAATATACATATATAATTGTTCCATGTCAACAATAAAAATATATATATATATATATATATATATATATATATATATATATATATATATATATATATATATATATATATATATATATATATATATATATATATATATATACATATAAACTATTTTCTAAACTATTACATACGCAGTCCAGAAATACTTTAAATAATGTTCAATAAAAATTGGTGAAAAGACAATTTTTTATTACCTTACGATTACCTATTATATTAGCTTAGATTATATTGGTTTTAGCAAACATATATACAATGTTTGCTAAAACCAATAAAAACAGGATTCACAATGGTGTGACCATTGCCCCCAACAGCAATGTTGGGGGCAATGGTCAAACCGTCACATGACAAACCGTGTTCGCAAATAAACACATTTTATATGTCTACAGATAAAAAAACGTAAAGAAATTCTAGCTTTCATAAATAGGGGCGTGCGAGACATTGATTAGTCACAAATATAATAATCGCATATTTATCAGTCCAAAATACTATCTTACATATACGCTATTGACAAACGCAAGTTTATTCAGTTCTCACAGTAGACTATTTGTAAAAATTGTCTTGATAGGCAGGCTAAATATCATTTTGTGTAAATACCACCCATTTATTATATAAAATGATTGAAAAATTTACGTAATAATAAATTAATTAAGTTATAATGCATCCAAATTTAGCATTCTTTTGACATATAAACAATTCAAGTGAAATACAGTAGCATAAAATACAGATTAAGATATACACATAAAGGTAAAAAAGTTTTTTTTTATTCAACTTAGAATAGCAAACAAGCTAACGGCCCACCTAATGGAAAGTGGTAACCGTCGCATATAGATATGAACAGTACCTGGACATAACAGAGTATACTGTTTCGCCCATGAAACCCCCCATGCGTTGCCATTCCTGAAGACTCAGGTGTTAATTCTCTGTACCCTGTAAATTCACTGCCCATCGTTCAAACCGAAACACAGCCATTCAAACACAACTGCTTCACGGTAGAAGCACGAATGGGACAGAAGTGCCCAAACCAATTACTTTTGTACAAAGTCTCCCTCTGGTAGAAGGATACACTAGAGTTCAAATAAATATAAATATTATAACAGAGCAATTAATTCTTTACTTGGATTATAGTAGGTATTTATGTAAAAACTATGTCTAGATACCTACTTCTTATATACTTCTTTACATTCTCGTATCAATTTATCTTGAATAAATTAAAAAAAAATCAACTATCTATAAACCTATTACGCAAGGGGGAAAAGGATTATTAGTAATAGAGTCCAACAGCCCAATATACCCTATAAGGTCGATTTCCATGCGGTTCCTCCTAGAAACTATCGTTGTTAATCCTTATGGAATTCGTGATGTTGTGCTAACTAGCCTGCTGATGAGATGACCTGGTGAGGATGAACCTCGCCTATCATCTCTTGCTGGTGCCCCGCCAGCGTATATTGATAGTGCAGACGGGATTACATGAATGTTTGATTTCGGTTTGCCCAATGGTTGACTGGTAGAGAACACCGTCCGGTATTAAGTCCACCAAATGTACATAGAATTTTACTGTGTTTTTTGAAATTTAAATAAATAAATAATCATTTCAATTTCACCAATTAAAACATCCTATTCAAGCGCGTCACTAATCGATCACGATCGACTTCTAACAATGTCCCATCACTAACCTGTTACTTATCGTGTTTAAAAAGGTAAAAATTAATCTACGTTCTATTACCTTGTTTGATATAAAATTCAATAATAAAATCTTTTTTAATGGATGATAATGGAATGGTAACCCCACCCGCACTATCGGTATACACCGGCGGGGCACCAGTGAAGGATGATAGGTGAGGATGAAACAGGTCAGTTAGCCCATCGTGACGAATTCAACAAGAATTATTCACGATGGTTTCCAGGGGGAACCACGTGGAGGTCAACCTAATAAGGCATATTGCTAGCAATGGGGCTGTCAAACTCCATTGCTAACGATCCCTTTCCCCCCGATCAAAGGTCATTATAAATCAAGAACCAACATCCATCCCAAACTGGAACACATACAACGAAAATCCTTACCGAAGTTGCCTCGTATAATAAAGTACAAAGATATAGAGTCACTTGAACGACTCTCAGCACAAGCAGCGGAGATATGAATACCTCGAATTTTTCCTTAAAAGTATAAACAATCTGATAGACTCGGGCGCATTCACTGAGAGCGGCGCTCGTAGCTGTGTCGTATTCGCTGCTGTATATATCTGTGGAAATTTATTTATTTATTCTTTATTGCACAATAAAATTTGTACAAATGGCAAGCTTAAAGTCATATTAAGTCTACCAATTATTTTTTATCATGCGCAGATCTACAGAGACTTATGGCAGTACCATTAGTATCAGAAACTGACTTTGTAGTCAAGTTGTCAGCAAGAGTATTTGTCCCAATGTGTCTGTCACGAGTCAACTATATTTTGATGGCTGTGTTTCGGTTTTAAGATGGGCATATGGCAGTGAAATTACAGAGTACGAAGGCATTACACCACAATTTTCAGAAGTGACGAGGGCTACCGGTAATTTCTTGGTATATATACTTTATATAAGTACATATCAATTCCATTATTTCACTGTAGGTATGTTTATTGGAATAATTGTTGTTTATACAACTTAGAATGGCAAACAAGCCGATGGTCCACCTGATGGAAAGTGGTTACGGTCGCCTATAGACATGAGCAGTACCATGGACAGTACCAGTAATAGAGTAAACTGTTTCGCCCATGACACCACCCATAAATTAATTAATTAAATAATTAATAATAATTGATTAGTAAATTAATGGCTCAAAATTAATATTTTTCTTAGAAAAAGAAAAGAGAATCAGTAAAGGGATAAGTAACACTAATGCTACCATGAAACTCTACCACGTCGATCTCCTCGCAATTCCTCTTAGAAACCTTCGTGATTAATTAATAGTTGAATTCACCACGATGGGTAAACTGACCTACTTTTATCCTCGCTTATCATACCTCACTGGTGCCCCAACAGTGCATACTGATAGTGTAGACGGGGTTACCATTCCATTATTATCCATTAAATAATCCTATGTATGAAAAAATATTCAGCTTCAGTAATAAAACATTACCTTCAAAGAATACTGATGATTTTAGTTACTTACTACCTACCTATTTCTCTGTTTGCAAAATGGTTGACTAATAGAGAACAACATCCAATATTGGGGGGAAAGGGATTGTTAGCAATGGAGTTTGACAGCCCCATTGCTAGCAATATGCCTTATTAGGTCGACCTCCACGTGGTTCCCCCTGGAAACCATCGTGAACAATTCTTGTTGAATTCGTCACGATGGGCTAACTGACCTACTTCATCCTCACCTATCATCCTTCACTGGTGTCCTGCCGGTGTATAGTAATAGCGCGGGTGGGGTTACCATTCCATTATCATTCATTAAAAAAAAATCCGATATTTTTTTAATGGATGATAATGTAATGGTAACCCCGCCTGCGCTAACGGTATACACTGGCGGAGTACCAGTGAGAGATGATAGGTGAGAATGAAAAAGCAGGTCAATTAGCTCTACGTGATGAATATACCTGGAATTTAGCACGATGGTTTCCACAGGGAACCACGTGGAGGTCGACCTAATATAGTATATTGCTATCAATGGGACTGGTAGTTCACATTACTAACAATCCCTTCCCCCACCGTCAAATGTTAGGTCCACAAAATGTACATACAATAATTGTTAATTCACACTGTGTATTAAAATTTAAATAAATAATAAATACATACAAGCGTTGATTAGTGTCATACATACAACTAACATCTAGATCTAAACTCACCAAATCGTGTTGTTTTGTCCATGAAACTTGTATTCTGAAATTAGAAATGCGTGAAAGATGTTTTGTGAAAAAGAATCATAAAAAAAAACATTGTTAGTGCCTATACAGTTTTTTTGGTTTGGTTGCAAAACACGGATTACCAGAGAGAGACTGTCTGTACCAAAATCGTTTCCTTGGACACTTCTGTCCCATTCGTGTTTCTACTGTGAAGCAGTTGTTTACATGGCTGTGTTTCGGTTTGAAGGATTTTTTTACTTTGGACCGTTCTCATGTCCAACAGTGGACGGATAATGGCTGAAATGATGATGATGACGATGATCAATATTCAAATGCATACTCACTACTTTCTGGTCAAAATTGTACAATGATGGTTTCATCTCGGGTCTGTTATATATATAATTATATAATTCATCAGTCCTTATGTCCGAGTGAGCAGCCGCAAGTGCCGAGTGTTGAACACCGTTCCGAAGCATCGCTGTGTACCGTACATTGCGGAGACAGCAGCACAGAAGGTCCAATTGACCACACAAAAGTATAGCGTTCGAAGCGAAAAATACTCCTGAAAACATAACAATGAGGGAAGTGATTGTTAGGGGTCTTCAAGCTACCAATATCAGGTCAATATCCAAGTGGTTCACCTTGGATCGCAGTTAATTCTTGTTAAATTCGACAAGCTGGGCCAACTGATCCATTTTCATATTGACCTGTCATGGCTATCATCTTTCGCTAATATCATACTATATTCGTTTATTAAAAGAAATATTGACTTGATGACACCCTAATAGCACCATCCTCCGGGGGAAAAGGATTGCTAGTAATGGAGTCTAACAGCCCCATTATTAGCAATATGACCTACAGGTATATGTTTTATTCAATATGAAATAAACAAAGTAAATATAGATAGACTAGTCCCCTCAAGTAGCACCCGTTCACGGGTATGACGGATAGCCCAGCCTTCATTGCACTCAACCACCTTTTAGGAAATTCAACGAACCGGCCCACTACACTGTCACTAGTCAGAATTTATTCCATTGTGATAAAAAAAAGCCATAAAAACACAATATGAAAACACATCCTCGAATGCTTAGCTTGTAGAATAATCTTCCGACCGAAGTTTTCCCTACACTAAACTACAGCATGGAATTCTTAAAACAAGATGTAATAAGGTTTCTTAAGGATCGACAATGAGCGCGTTATATCTTTGGTTTTACAGGGCCTTTAGATAAACAGAAATCGAATTCATCGATGGTTAGTTAGAATGAGATAGCAATGTCAGATGTCTCATTCCAACTCAGGAACTCACATTCGAAAACGATTCCATCAATGCTTGCAACTTGATTAGGGGCCAAATGTCCATAAATTACGATAACTCCATTTACCATCAGACGAGCCGTATTTTTGTTTGTCACCTCAAAAAACATGTTTATAAAGATATGTTTTTGTCACAAGAACAATCAATCATGAATTGAAGATAATACAAACCCAACTGGCCTATAGCAAGCCCCATAAGAACCTGGGCGAAACACTGTCGTAGGACGACAATTTCGGAAAACGGTGGTCCGCTCGCGTCCAAATAGATCCAATGTTCCAAAGGTTCCCCTTTGAATACTATAAAAAGTTAATTATTTTAAAAGCAGTCAAGTTTTAGGTCTTATACTTACATGAGGTATAAGACCTAAAACTCGACTGCTTAACATAGTTCTACGTAAAAATTACAAAGTCCAGCCAACGCCAAGTCCTAAAATAAATGTATTTCTAAACATCGAAGGACCTTTCGCCATCGGCAGGGAATCTATTCTCACACCTTAGAACCACAATGATCACGCCTAGTGCGGTTTCAGAGGATCTTCCTCCCGCGAACATTCAGGTCGTAAAATGATCTTCCTGCCAAGGCTTTCCCTAGAGTTTACAGCATGTGGCTTAAGGTTTCTTAAGGGTCAACACCGTACGCGTGACAACCCTGTTGTTACAAGCGTCCATAGGCTACGGCAGCCCCGTTTACCATCAGTATGCTTGTCTGCTATCATAATAGTAGATATATAAAACTGCAAAAGTTTGTTCGGATGTTGTTACTTTAATCAAAATAGAAACATTTAATGGATTTGCTTGAAATTCTGTACACGCAGTTATACTCTATTTACTATACTTTTATCCCAGTTAAAACAGGCAAAGCCGCAGGATTTAATAATACTCAGCTATTAAATAATACTCACAGTTGATAACATCTGGTATAACATAGATAATTACACTGAACATGGTGCAAGCAGTGTAAATGTAAGCAAAATGTTTTGCCGTCTCGTAGCTTTTCAACATTGTCATGTTTGTTAAGCCATACGCCGAATAATACTCAAAATGTCCATTCATATAGTTTACTAATTCATACAATTCTGATTTATACACACCGAAATAACTGACGATGATTATGGACACAAAAAACGGAAAGCAATCTGATACTTTATGCAGGGACAACATAATATCTCCCCATTCGGTGTATAAATTGACAAACAACGTAGCCGGGACATTGGTCAGCAGAAATAGCACCATACACAGGTAAAAGTTGTTAATTATCGTGCAATAATCATTGGCCGAGTTGGGAAACCAATCCCAACAGCCCGCTATTTTCAGCGGCGTCTCTACAAAATGGGTGTAATTCTTGACCTTTTCGGTGTTTAATGAAGTCACTTGTTTTTTCAATTTACGGCCGAACATGTTGATTAGAAAATTATATACTTTTTTTTAAATTTATTTATTTGAATCAATTGGCCGTGTGGTCCCGGCATATAATAGGCTACCCCTTCCTTTCCCGTAAGAGTCGTAAGAAACTAAGGGAGGACAAGGGATGGACAGCAGCGTCCCTCTTAAAACATCTCTAATGCCTGACTGCGGTTGCCAATTCGACTGCCAAGCGTGGTAATTACTGATAAAACCAATCCAAGGGGAGGCTTATGTTCAGCAGTGGACGGTAAAAGGCTAATATGATTTGAATCAGTTATGACAGCTGTATTTGTTTTTTCGTTTTATTCCTTTCACGGTTTGTTTGAATAGTTAAAATGTAATATTAGTTTTTCCAAAAGCACTTGTCACCTGGCATGACAATAAAGGAGAGATTGAAAAGGCCTTTTCATATGCCTATCTATATAATGTAGATATAGCACTATATCAAGCACGCAATAATATAAGTATATTATGTTAAGGAACGTATACATTCACGATGGCCTAAGCTTTAAGTTACCACATTGCTTAGGCTCTAAGCAATGTGGTAACACAGAGACGACAAAAGGGAAGGTGAAACAGAAGTACCCAAATTACATACAGATCAATTAATCCTGCTCCAATATGATTCGTCAGGGGGGAAAGGGATTGTTAATAATGGAGACTGAGAATCTCATTGCTAGCAATATGGTATACCCAACCAGGTCGACCTCCTCGCGGTACTCCCTGGAAACTATCATGGTTAATTCCTGATGAATTCATCATGATGGACTAACTGTTATGTCCATGGTACTGCTCATGTCTATAGGCGACCGTTACCACTTTCCATCAGGTGGGCCGTCAGTTTGTTTGCCATTCTAAGTTGTAAAACAAAAACTGGCCTGTTTTCATTCTCATCTATCACCCTTCACTGGTGCTCCGCCAGCGTATCCCGTTAACTCAGGCGGGGTTACCAGACCATTTTCACCCATCAAATATATATATATATATATATATATATATATATATATATATATATATATATATGATTTGTCACATACTTCTCGCTTCCAAAGACACGTAAAGCCGTCTTCCGGTAAGCCATGTGAGAGGCGTTCATGTGTAACGAATTCTTCTAAATTCTTAACACCAGAGGGCGCCATCTTGGTAATAATTGACAAAGGATATACAATTTTGAGGAACAACCGTCGGCGTCGATTTTCGGTAAAGGCAAAACTATTTTAAACCTACAGCGTGTTTTTAAGAAAACCACATTCAGATCGCTCTAAGATTATTGTGCACAAACACGCAGAGAGCCAAACCAACAAACAGACACACACAGATAAAAATCTATAAATTTATTACCTCTATAACAAAAGTACAAAGTATCTAAATTTTTTTTAAATATATAATACATACATACATATATATCTGTCACGCCTGTCTCCCATTAGGGTAGGCAGAAACAATGGAACGCCAAATGCTTCGATTCAAACAAACCTCTTTCGCTTCTTCCACATTCATCAATCTTGTCATACACGCTCGCCGGTTACGGGTACTTTTAATTTGGCCCTTCTTCAGCACGTCGCCTATTTGGTCGACATACGTCCGTCTAGGGCGGCCTCTACCGACATCTCCATTCATTCTTGCCCGATAAATCTCTTTCGTAATTCTTCTTTCATCCATCCTCTCCAAATGACCAAACCAACGTTTGGTCATTTGGAGAGGATGGATGAAAGACGAATTACGTTGGTTTGGTCATTTAAATATATAATGTACTGACGTAATTATAAACAGGATAATATTAGCAACTGAGGGAGAAGGGATTGTTAGTAATGGGGACTAGCGAAGCATTGCTAGCAATATACCCTGTCAGGTTGACCTCCACGCAGTATCCGCTGGAAACCATCATGATAAATTCCATCCCGATGTGCTAACTGACCTGCCTTTCCAAACTCATCTGTCACCCTCCGCTGTTGCTCCGCCTGCATACACCGTCATCGCAGGCGAGGTTACAATTCCATTATCATCCTTATCCGTCCACTGCTGGACATAGGCCTCGCCCATAGACTGCCATAAGGAACGGTCCTGAGCCTCCTGCATCCGCTGATTCCCTGCAATGCATTTGAGGTTGTCTCTCCATCTTATGGGGGGTCGTCCTACACTGCTTTTGCCCGTACGGGGTAGCCATTCATTAAAATATACATTAGCATCTCGTTATTGTAAGTAAAAGGGTAAAAAATCACAACTAGATGTGTCTAAAAGACCCTTAAATAACTGTAGAACAACTTTGTCATTCTAAACGACTATTGTTTCAAGTAATTAACTCATAATTATCATACGCTAACTAATAAATGAGAGTCATACAGAACTTTGTTCAATGTAATGACATTCACTTAATAATCCTAAACTAACTGTTCAATTAAACTTTACCGTTAAGTTGTTAAGTTGGTAATTAGAACTAAAAGAAGAGTTAGAAGAATTAATCGTTCTTTACAATAATTAAACTGCCGTAAAAAATGTCAAAATTTTAAACTGCTCAAGTACATTTTATTTGCCAAAAAAAAAACAAAAAAAAAAGAAAATTCATAAACTATAGATAAACTTTTTTTTTTGCTATCATTATGGCACACAGTGTATCCATCAAAAATAAAGTTTGAGTAAATATATAATTTAGTAAAGGGAGTTTTGGATGACAGAATTTAATAATATATATATATATATATATATATATATATATATATATATATATATGACGTTATTTATTTATTATATTCCTTTCCCGTGGGTGTCCTAAGAAGCAAACAATGGAGCGAACAAGAGAACAAAGGTCAAGTAGGCAACAGCGTAAACTAACTAAGCGTAAAAAGCCTAACTGCAGTTGCCTGCCAAGCGTGGCAACTACTGATAAACGCTCTCTTATGAGGGAGGCCATGTTCAGCAGTGGACAGTTAACGGCTGATATGATGATGATGATCAGATCACATGTAGACATCTTTTATTTTGTAAAATTCTGTACATTGTAGCATTTGGCTCTACTTGGAACAATTATATTTTTGTATATCTAATATATAAAATTCTCGTGTCACGGTGTTTGTTACAAACTCCTCCGAAACGGCTTCACTGATTTTTATGAAATTTTGTGTTCATATTGGGTAGGTCTGAGAATAGGTCAACATCTATTTTTCATACCCCCCAATGATAAGAGTGACTCACCCCTAAATATTATTTTTTTATTTTTTTGCACTTTATTTTTATTTTATTATGATTAAGCATTGAAAAATACATACAAATTCAAATTTTCACGCTTTTACGATCAACCCCTGTTTTTTAATCGCGATTTATATATTCTCGCAATAGGATTGCAAGATGGCAATCGAATATAATAATTGTAGTACGATATATTTTCATGCATAGTTCTCGAAATAATATATATGGTAAAACAACGTTTGCCGAGTCAGCTAGTTTTTATACAAAAAGTAAAATATAACAAAAAAAAGCCATTATTCTATTAATCTACCAAATACAAAATAATGAAAAGTGCTTTCATACATTTTAAAACTTTATTTTTATAAACTTGAATTACAGATTTCTGTACCACAGTGTTGAGACGTTATGCATATATTGACCTTGGTATAATGTTCTAATAACATGTTACTAAGCAGTATGAATTGATTCCGCGTCCCTGAAAAAAAAAATATGTAATGTAATTTGTTTTTAAATATATTAAAGGGTAGACTTTTGCCCAATAGTGGAATACTGTTGACGGCTTTGTAGGTTTTAGCAAAATACCAATCTGTAGAGTTACTTTTGAAATAAATTCCAATAGACTGATATTTTTTTTTGGTGGATGAAAATGGAATGGTAAACCCGCCTGCGCTAAACAGAATACGCTGGCGGAGCACCAGTGAAGGGTGATAGATGAGAATGAAAACAGGCCAGTTAGCCCATCATGATGAATTCATCAGGAATTAACCATGATAGTTTCCAGGGCAACCGCGAGGAGGTCGACCTGGTTGGGTATATTGCTAGCAATGGGATTTTTAGTCTCCATTACTAACAATCCCTTTCCCCCCAATAGGTTGATATTGGAATTGAAACATTCCGCACTCTCGAATTACAATACTCATAATGGTACCATATTGTTCTGACAGATGCATACTAGTGCAACTTGCCAATGCAAACTATTGCAAACTGATGCCAATTTTTACTTAGTTCCTAATTGTTATTTCATGGGTGCAGTACAAAATTATCATAGATATTTGATTTTATTGGTATTATTGGTATATTAAATTCAACAGTAGGCCTGTTGAGTTGCTGCTTACAGTAGATTAAAAATTTATATAGAATTACAGGAAATAGATAGCCAGGCCGTACAAGTATATACTAGAGCTTTAACGTGACAGTGGACCAATACACATTGTAGATAGTTCCTTTTTAATAATAATCAAGCTGACGGCCCACCTGATGGAAAATGGTAACCGTCGCCTATAAACATGAGCAGTACCATGTACATAACAAAGTATACTGTTTCGCCCATGGTACCCCTCCTACGTTACCATTTCTAAGCACGGTGTGCTTATATCTCCATACCTACTGATTTCACTGCCCTATCCACATTAAAATTTAATTTTTTTAATTTTTGATGGAAAGGAAAGATAAAGAGCACAGTTCAAACACACTTCTCCTTGGATCTTCTCTGAGCGATCCTGTAAATTCTCCTCAGCTCCAACAGCGCCCTCATAATGACGACCAGCTGCTGTTCGAAGTCGGAGCTCTTCACGTCGATGGGCAGCCCCTTCTGCTTGCAGATCTTGGTGTAGAGGCTCCAGATGGCCGAGCGGACGTGACACAGTTCCACATGCTTCTTTGCTGCTGTCTCTTTGAGGCGGTTGAGAGCCAACTCCCATTTTATGACGCGGTTCCTCACTTTGTCATAGCGCCACTGTTGATGTTTTTACAATTTATTTTATTTATTTGAACGCGTTTTTCTAACTGTAACCAACGAAAGTATATTTTTACTTTTTATGATGGCACCACTCACCATCGAAAGGGAATTTATTCTCACACGCTAGAACCTATATAATCACGTACAGTACAGTTTCAGAGGAATTTCTTCAAGCGAACGCTCAGACTGAGAAATGAGCTCCCTGCCGAGGTTTTTCCTAGAGACTACAGTATGGGATTCTTCAGAAAAGATGTATTAAAATTTCATTAAGTTTGGAATCCCGCACGTATCACCTCTAGTATTGGAGGCGTCTATAGGCTATGGTGATCGTTTACCACCAGACTATATACTAGTTTGCCACCTCTGTGATATAAAAAAAAGTATCAGTAATTCTAGATCCGAAATCTGGGTACCAAATTTTATTCAAAATCATTCAGTTATAATAATCCAGCTACTCTAACGGTCCAACCCAAGTCCCAGGAACGGAAGTGAGATCTCATTACTAAATGTTCTTCTTTAAAAGGCTTTAAATTGAGGCAAACTAGATTAATTCTTTATAACAGTTTAGTACGTAGTCGTTTGGAGTTTGCCTCTGTTTCCTGGAATCCAGTCTACAGCTCTTCATCTCAAAGAATAGAAAATATCCAACGAGCATTCACTAGACACCTAGCTTACATAACCCGTAACATATCGCATAGGCGACCTTATAGTCAGAGAATGTCCTTCTTTAACATTACCTCTCTTAAGACGCGTCGTATGATTGCAGACTTAATGTTTATTCATAAAATTCTCAATAATAAAATTCATTGTGCAGATTTACTGAGTTCACTCCAATTAACGGTACCTCTAAATTATCCTCGACACCCTATAACTAGAACATTTAGCTTACCGCGCTGCAGAACAAACCTAGGACTGCATCAACCTCTGGCCAGGATTAGTGCGTCATACAATGAAATTAATGCCAAATTACCAGAAATTGATATAGTGTACGATAATTCGAATTCCTACAGGAATAAATTGCTGAAGCACTTTGTACAACAATCTTATGAACATTAACTCTAATTGTCATAATATATATATTTTTTAATATTTTTTTTAATTTAATTTACTCATAATCTTATTTTCTGATTTTGCTCACAACTTAGATTACATGTTTATTTCTGTTATTTACTTAAATTTCTTACACTGTATAATTACGTTAAAGTGAATGCTGTGAATACCTATAATAGGCATGTGCATTAATATTGTATTGTATTTAATGTTGTTATACCTATATGTTATAATGCAATATGCTGTTGGTGTTCCTTAAATAAATAAATAAATAAATAAATGAGATCTTGCAGTCCATTGCTAGCAAACTAGCAATATTCTCTATCAGGTCGTTCCCTGGTTCTCCCTGGAAACGATCGTGATTAATTCTTGTAAAATTCGTCATGATGGGCTAACTGACCTGCTTTCATCCTCACTTATCATCTCTCACTGGTTATTTTTCCATTTTCACTCTTTTAACATGCCCTCTTCTTCTCACCGCACTGAAAAATAAATATACTAAAGACATTACCCTCAGATTGGCAAGCGTGTTGTTTAAGCCCATGATGAATAGCTTCTTCTCTTCGGTGAGAGCAGCGATCTCTTGGCGTGCGTTCTCTAACATTTCTAGGTCCCGCTCCTGTCTTTCCGCCAATGTGTTCTTTGCAGCAGCTGTGTATAAAGCATACTAAGTCTATTTCAACAAAACTTATTGAAAAGCTTACCAAGTTTGTTTTTGAAACTTATGTTCATTTTTTTAATTGGATACCTATATACATATATGTGAGCCTCAATGCGAGGCGAGACGCCATAACTTCCGGATGAAGTCGAAACAAATATCGGAAACGGCAAAACACGATGAGCTCATTAATTTCCCATATATGTATATGTATATTACCAGAGGGAGACTTTGTACAAAAGTCGTTTGCTTGAGCACCTCTGTCCCATTTGTGTTTCTACCGTGAAGCAGTTGTGTTTGCATGACTGTGTTTCGGTTTGAAGGGTGGGATATGGCAGTGAATTTATTGGTTATATATGTAGACTATAGTCCTCCAAAAATGGGAACTCATGAACGGTATCATGGACGACACACACTGTACATGGTACTGTTCATGTCTATAGGCAACGGTTACCACTTTCCATCAAGTAGGCCGTCAGATTGTTTGCCATTTTAAGTAGTGTAAAAAAAAATACAATTTTATTAACCCTCGACGACAAAGTATTCCTCTGGTTATATTTAAATTATATAGGTATAGGTATGGTATGGTAACCCCGCCTGCGCTAACGGTATACGCTGGTGAGGCACCAGTGAGGGATGAAAGGTGAGAATGAAAAAGCAGGTCAGTTGGCCCATTGTGATGAATACATATAGAATCCAGCACGATGATTTCCAGGGAGAACCGCATGGAGGTCGACCTGACAGGGTATATTGCTAGCAATGGGGCTGGTAGTCCGCATTAATAACAATCCCTTCCCCCCCCCTTCTATATATATCTATTAGTAAGACAGGTACTTACCTAATGCTTCATATCTGTTTAAAACGTCCAGAGGTTGCTTAAACTCGGGATAATTATGCACGACCGCCATCAAGTAGTCCTGAAATGAAAATTATTAATAAGGAAATACACGTATATTAATTTATTCGCCGTGTGGTCCCAGCATATAGTGGGCCACCATTTCTTTTCGCATGGTTGTGGCAAGGCGAGGCAACTAAGAGAACTTTATGATCGAACTAAGGGCAGCAGCGTCTCTCTTTAAACATCACCAAAGCCTAACTGCGGTTACTAATCCCCCCCCATCCCCACCTAATGGTGGAAGCTTATGTTCAGGAGCAAATACAGTGAACGCTCTATATAAGCAAGTCATATAAACCAAAAAAGTTTCTTATTGGGAAAAGTTGCTTACAGGAAAAAAAGGTGTATAAAATATAAAAAATGTTGCTTATACAGAGGTTGCTTATATACAGCGTCCACTGTATATGATAATAATAAAATATATATTCACGGCTGGTTTACTTTAATATACTTCCATATATATATATATATATATATATATATATATATATATATATATATATATATATATATATATATATATATATATATATATATATATATATATATATATATCGTAATACCTATTCAGCTATCTGTCCTTCACCTACCAATATCCATTATAAAGCTTTTCTGTTACTTATCCCAAATTCTGTCATCCAAAACTCCCTTTACTAAATTACATTTACTCAAACTTTGTTTTTGGTGGATACACTGTGTGCCATAATGATGGAAAAAAAAATTTATGAATTTTCCTTTTTTTTTTTGGCAAATAAAATGTACTTGAGCAGTTTCAAAATTTTGACATTTTTACGGCAGTTCAATTATTGTATATATATATATATATATATTCAAAAATGTCATTATACTTTTGATACGAGTCTAGTATTGTCCCACGACCTGTAGCTACGAGTATGTTATGTTATGGCAACACCAATTTAAACCAATTTACTTGACAAGAAGTTTTTCGAACGTAATAATATTTTTTTTATAAGCTCGATTTATGACCAACACTAGATGGATTGATATATAAATCCATATACTATATATAGCTTTTTGCCTGCTACTTCGTACATGTAGGTTTCAGAAGTAGGAAAGCTAATGAAGTAAATCACTTGTCTAAATCAATATTATGATAAAGATATATACCAGATTTTCAGTTAACCCTTCAGGAACACAGTTGGGAAAATCGTATCCAATTTTATGCAACAGTTTTTGCGTGATGCCACCACAAATATACAGACATACACAGCGGCGGCCTTAGGGGGTGGCGAACAGGGCAATTGTCCGAGGCCTCGCCTTTGTAGGGGTCTCGCGTAACAACCCAAGCAAATTTTAAACAACCAGTGAATGGCATTTTGTTTAGTGGTAAGTCGCGAAAACTTTCTGATTTAGGCATTTTAATTGCGAAAATTGCCAACACTAAAATATACCTACCTACCTACCTACGATCTACCGCCCGGAGCCTCGCAATGGGTAAGGCCGCCGCTGGACATACAAACGTCATATAGCGTGTGTGTATGTATAAATATATAATAATGAGTAGGGATAACAGTTTATATAATATTTTTTATTTGTGTATTCTTTTATTTCTTTTTTTTTTTTTCTTGTGTGTGGGAAATATTATGGACTGTATATTGATGTATTTGATGTAATTAAACAATGTGTTTAAAGGAAAATAACTACAATAAAGAAAACTATGGAAGACAGACTACGAAAGCGACAAAGAGCAAAGAGACAATTGTAAAAACTAAAAAAATATAAAATTAAGTATAAAAATACAATAAAAATAAAATATATAAAAGAACTAAGAAGAAGTTTACAACATTGTGTATGTCTGTCTACGACTATGTCTTATTATTTGTGTGCTGTAAGTAATAGAAATATATATCTATGTATACCTCGTATATGGTATAATCCTTGACTTGTTTCTCCATCAGCCGCTTCACTTCCTCCATCTCGACGACTCTCTGGCGCATCGCCTCCGTCTCTCGGGTCTTCCGTTCCAACACCTCCATATCTGCCACCATTTTGCGTTCAGCACGGTCACGCTTCTCCTGGTTTTCTCTGATGAACTATTTATTTTATTTTAATTTATTTCAGTAAATAGACATTACAGAGAATTAACAATGTTATTTAATTTATACAGTACAATAATGTTTTGTTCAAACGTTAGTTTTTACGCATATTTTTGGAGAGTTATCTTTTTTTTTATACAACTTAGAATAGCAAGCAAGCTGACGGCCCACCTGATGGCAAGTGGTAACCGTCGCCTATAGACATGAGCAGTACCATGGACATAACAGAGTATACTGTTTCGCCCATAATACCCCCCATGCGTTGCCATTCCTGAGGATTCAGGTGTTATTCCTCTATACCCAGTAAATTCACGCCATTTCCCACCACTATATATATATATATATATATATATATATATATATATATATATATATATATATATATATATATATATATATATATATATATATATATATATATATATATATATATATATATATATATATATATATACATAGTTAAACAAGTATGTAATCACAATATAATTTATGCAGCAAAAATAAATTCACTTACACATTTACAACTATAAAGGTAAATATATAAACATATACACATACTAGGATAATCATACATATATACGTACAATTCAAAATAAATTTCAAAATAAAATAAAATACAACACAACAATAATTAATTAATTTGACACCTGAGTCCTCAGGAATGGCAACGCATGGGGGGTATCATGGGCGAAACAGTATACTCTGTTATGTCCATGGCACTGCTCAGGCCTATAGGCGACGGTTACCACTTTCCATCAGGTGGGCCGTCAGCTTGTTTGCCATTCTAAGTACATAGTATAAAAAAAATTTAATTAATAATAAAAATTACAATACTCTTAGTACGATTTATTGTAGGATTTTTTTAAATATTAAAATCAATGTTGTATAAATTGTACAATTACATACATTCACGTCGATAAGTTTGTATTATATCTAAATCTCAGTTCCCTAATTAATAAGTTTTTTTTTTGTTTCTCTTCTCAATTCATTACAGTGAAATACAATGCTTATATTAATCAAATTATAAATATAATTGTGAGAGACTGGTGCCTGAGATAGGTATAAGAATACCTGTATTACAGGTCACCAGGGCCTAGACTTTTGTCATAGAAGTTTACGAGAGTGGGACTGTACAAAAGCTGTGCGCATGAGTACCTACCTCTATTTCGCTCGTGTTTCTATGTTAAATAGTCATGCTCGCATAGCGGTGTTTTTTTTTAAAGATCATAATGGAATGGTAACCCCGCCTGCGCTATCGGTATACACTGGCGGGGCACCAGTAAGGGATGATAGGTGAGAATGAAAAGGTAAGCCAGTTAGCCCAACGTGATGAATACACCTGGAATTAAGCACAATGGTTTCCATGGCACCGCGTGGAGCTCGACCTAATAGGGTATATTTGTTATTAATGTGACCGGTAGTTCGCATTATTAACAATCCCTTCCTCCGCTGCGTTTCTTTTTGGAAGGCAGGGCATGGCAGTATGAAATTACATGTTATAGAAACATGACATTTTAGTTCTTAGGAAAAGCAACGCATGGAAAATACCATGGGCATAACAGTATATCCTTTAATGCACATGGTGCTGTTCATAACTATTGGCAACGGTTACCACTTTCCATCAGGTGAGTCGTCAGCTTATTTGCCATTCTGGGTATCTTGAAAAACAGAATAAGTATTTTTGAAGCATGTTAGTAACCTTATTGAAACTAATGAAAGACTCCTTGAGTAATATTTCTTTAGTGCGCAGCTCTTCCCACTTGGCGTCCATTGCTGCTCTGTTCTTCTTCTCTTCCTCCCGCTTGAGGGCGAGCATCTCGTCGGCCTCCATCAGGTCACGGCGAGCCTGCTCCATCAATACTTGAGGTGTGGGCCGCGCCACGTCCCATACTGGATACTTTCTGTTTGATACATCTTAATATACAACCGCTGAACATGACGCACAGCGCCATCTAGTACCAAACTAAACAAAGCTTAGAAGACTTTTGTAAGAGGTAACTAAGGAGTTTTGGTCAAACCTCCAAATCCTAATCGCCTGCCAAGCGTGGCAACTACTGACAAAACCCTCCTCATGGGGAAGGCCTACATTCAGCAGTGGACAGTTTTTTTTTTTTATAGGATGATAATGGAGTGGTAACTGGCGTACACTGCCCCGCCAGTGAGGGATGATAGGTGAGGATGAAAAGGCAGGTCAGTTAGCCCATCATGGGGACTAACCTCTACTAACAATCCCTCCCCCATAAGCTTGTACTTTGCGTACTAAACATCATCATATCTGTCGTTAACTGTCCATTGCTGAACATACCCCATATAAAAGATACATTAATTAAAAACTGTACTGTGACAGTCAACGCCCTCCTCAAGGCAGAGGCGGTGGCGTTTCAGTAGAATAATAATAAAGTAGTAATAAATAAAACAAGGTAAAGTTAGTCCTAGCATATTGCATGTATATACGGCATATATATATATATATATATATATATATATATATATATATATATATATATATATATATATATATATATAATATATATACATACCAGAGGGAGACTTTGCACAAAAGTTGATTGCTTGGGTACCTATGTCCCATTTGTGTTTCTACCGTGAAGCAGTTGTGTTTGCATGGCTGTGTTTCTATTTGAAGGGTGGGATATGGCGTGAATTTACAGGGTACAGAGGAATAACATCCGAGTCCTCAGGAATGGCAACGCATGGGGGATATCGTGGGCGAAACAGTATACTCTATTATGTCTATGGTACTGCTCATGTCTATAGGCGACAGTTACCACTTTCCATCAGGTAGGCCGTCAGCTTGTTTGCCATTCTAAGTTGTATAAAAAAAATATTACGCAAAGAGACTCCGAGCATAGCCCTCTCCATTATTGGGTAAACACTAAAACTAAATATCAGACAAACATACTTGACCATACTCGCGCTCTCCATCAGTGATTTGTAATATTCCTCGACCGATTCAACGGGTGGCCCATGGGGAATGGCTATAGGTGCTAAATCCTTCATAATTTTCTTCATCTTTAACAAAAATCTTAAAATAATTCTTCTAAAATACTAGCCAACTAAATGAATTATGGAAAGTTTCACAGATTATACCGTTGCTTAGCAACATATTGCTAAGCGTCGCCAGAGTACTGGCTGAGGAATAACATAGAAGGAATGATAAAATATATGATAATTCATATGGTTGCCTTATTTTTTCTTATGCAAATGTAATTAGTAAAAAGAGAACGAAAGATACACCATCAGTAGCTATTTTTCTCAATTCATAGCAGGAAAATGTTTTATATGTCAATTATTTATCAACGACAAATTTTACATTACCAGATTATATATTCGACATAGTTTATGTAGAAAGTATGCAAGCAGGTTGCATCTGAATTTGGTAGGGTTATACGGCCGTATAACATTTTCTATACACTGACCTGCTATGAATTGACAATTTTATCAATCCTATGTAATTTCTTGTTATTAGGTTTGACTTTACAGCATACCAACATATGTAGATAAAGCTGGCAGCCTGTAGGTATAATTCATGAATTCTATGCAATACCTAGGTAATTCTATTCGAATGATTCTATCGTTATAAATGCGAAAGTTTGTAACGATGGATGGGTAGATGTTTGTTGTTCTTTCACGCAAAAATCTGTGCCTCTAGTGAGAAGGGGTATAACTCAAGTTATAGCCTTTTTCTTTTTTAGGCTACTTTAAATAAGCAAATTTTTCTCTTTCGAATGGTATAAGAATCGTAACGATATCTTTAAAAACAATAGAGATAGTAAACATGTAAAAGGCTACAATTAACAAAATATTTGTGGTAAAAAAGTCATAATTAGAAATAAAACTACAATATTTTACAAAAATTATTTTTGTAAAATGAATCAGTTCGATTTGAACCCTTTTACACCATTTAATAGCGATTATTTTTTATAGCGTAAAATACACAACATTGTTTTTCTTCAATACTTCAATAAAATAGTTTTAATTCAACTTAAAACTATTTTCACATCATAATTTTAATATTTTTGTTAAGTGTGATTAGGTATAATAGAATTATTTTTAAAACTATAGGTTTTACACAAAAACCGACAATTTCATAAGAAAGAGGAGAAAAAATTACTATAAATGCAATCATTGACTTGTTCAATTAGCAAATAATAAAAGCAGCAGAATTTTTTTTCTTTATTTAAAATAGTTTTTTGGCTCTCCTGAAAAGTGACCATTTTGAATTGAACCCTTTCTCACTAGAGGCACAGAAATTACTGAACAGATTTGAATTAAACTAGGTACCTACATGGATATATTGTACCTAATCTTAACACTAGGATACTGTATGCACTGATTCACGTGAGCCAAGCCGCGTGATACAGCTAGTGTTTAAAATAACTGGAGCGTCCTGGCAATGTATGAAATAATATTATAAATCGTATCGTATTCTATCAGCCGTTAATTGTCCATTGCTGGACGTCAGTCACTCCCATAGGGGTGGTTTTACCAGAAGTTGCCATGCTTGGCAGACGGATTGGCAACCGTAGTTAGCCCTTGACAATGTTTTAAGAGGAACGCCGCGGCCCATTTCTCGACCCTTAAGTTTCCTTAGTCGCCTCTTGCGACCCACGAAAAAGAAGGAAGTGCCCCATTCTATGTCGGAACCACACGGCAATTATTATATTTGTATTATACCTAGATCAGCCGTAAGTCCTGTTACAAATGAAAATGCATTTTTTTTTATAAAGTAATGTAATATTACTAAAATTTATACCTACATTTTATTAAAGTCTCAGCAAAAAATAAACAAATATTCTATTCGAAATGGCCACCTTTGGCTTTCATATAGGCCTTTAATCTGTCTGGCCACGAATCTATGGATTTATGCACTGTTTCCAAGGAAAATTTCGCCACAGCTTGCTTCAAAGATTTTTTAAAAGACTCAATGTCGTCGTGTCGTTTAGAGCATACCCACTTTGTGCAAGGCGATCACTGCAATCCTATTTTCTTTAACACCCCATTCCATATTGTAATTTTATAATGAACACGAAAAAATTTGTGGAATGGCGCGAAATCGAAAGAACTTTTTAAAATAATAAACATTTTCCAAATTCAAAATAATTAAAAAGTTGAAAAGGAAAGTTTCTATGGAACAGTATTTATGGCCAGACTAGTTATTATTTATTTATATTGTAAATGATATAATTGCATATATTGCCCATGTATACATTTCCGATAATTTTTATACGTTACCAAGAATATCTGTTATATAAAATACCTGTCGATCCATCGACAGTAAGGTCGAGCCTTAAAAGCCATTTATTTAAATCTATCTCGTTTCGTGCTTATTATTACATAATCACCCACTCTACCTTTAGCAAAACAGAAATGTAATTATGCAGTGAAAAACCATCAGTATCACCAACAGGTTTCGAGCCATTTACTGATAATATAATACTATTACAGTAGTAATCTATTAAAAAATCGTTACATGGTTCACCTTTAACTAAATTTACTTTTCTAAGACAAACAAATAAACAGTTGCTATCTGGAGACAATTCGGCAATATATATTTTATTAAAATAATATTCATAATATTTAGTCATTTTAGTTCCTAAATCGTTCGTTAGAGGCAAAACCAACGACTTTTTTTTAACTATGTAACTGTTCATTATTATAGGGAATTCTCTCCCAAATGTAATTGTCGGAGGAAAATACATCTAATTCTTTTAGGGGTTAGACAGCAATCGTACTAAATAATACTATTTGTTATATGTATAAGTAAACAAAATTTCAATTGTGAACGTGTACGACAGCCTTTTAAATAAATTACTCTGTACAGGTCTTTGGTCCTGGGGTTCTCCAAATGCCTCCATTTTCCTCATCCATATTGTATGTATGTTTAAGTCAAAATTTTACTTGTAAGATTTTAACTAAATAAACATAAATACTTATACATACAAGTGTAAACTAAAAAAGTAACTGTAATACCGATAAAATTCGCGTTCAGCCTCACGTCACAGCATTATTTGATAAAAGTTTTTTTATTATTATTTTTATTATTATTATTGACATTGTTTTTATTTTTATGAATTATTATTAAACAACAACTTTAATTAATCTTATATTGTACACGCCGATACGGTAGAATGTGGAATAATGGACTTCTAAGAAATATGTTCATCTAATCTATGTACCCATATTCGTGCAATAAATGATTTTTATTTGAACTGAAAAAAAAAACATGTAACATCAACTCTTTAAACTGGGAGCCTTATTCAACATTCCCGCCTCATGCCTCTGACGGATTTAGCCCGCCACTGGTTGTACTGTGACCAAAAATGATTTCTAATACATATATTTGACGATATTAGACATCAATCGATACTATCACGATAATATCACTATTTTGTAATTTTACGAATTTGGAAAAAAAAAACATTATTTTGATAATATTTTAATATAATAAATGCATTTTTTTTTGCTTTAAGGAGGGACCCCAGTACTAACAATCTCTTCCCCCCAGGTCAAAGATACTGGAAACCCTGCCTGGGTTATACAAATGGAGAGTAAAGACAGGTCGTTTTACTCATCGTAGCGAATTCACTAAAAATTAACCAATATAATTTCTAAGGGAGGCTACGTGAAGGTCAATCTGACAAGGCATATTACTAGTAATAACATCGCCATTACTAGCAATTCCCTTTCGGGGGGAAGGGATTGTTAGTAATGTAAAGGTTAGTTCCCATTGTTACCAATATACCCTATCAAGTCGACCTCCACGCGGTTCCCCCTGGAAACTAGCTTTAAATTCGTCATTTGTCGTTATTAATATACAATGTATTCTATGATTAACATTTAAGTCACTAGCAGAGCATTTTATTTAATCAATAGAAACATTAAATATTGACAAATAATTACTACGTTGCTATATTTAGTTATGAATACTCTTTGAATTGAAAACGAAACACGTTCAAAGAAGAGTATGTTATTTACCAGAGGGAGACTTTGTACAAAAGTCGATTGCTTGGGTACCTCTGTCCCATTCGTGTTTCAACCGTGAAGCAGTTGTGTTTGCATGGCTGTGTTTCGGTTTGAAGGGTGGGATATGGCGTGAATTTACTGGGTACAGAGGAATAACACCTGAGTCCTCAGGAATGGCAACGCATGGAGGTATCATGGGCGAAACAGTATACTCTGTTCTGTCCATGGTACTGCTCATGTCTATAGGCGACGGTTACCACTTTCCATCAGGTGGGCCGTCAGCTAGTTTGCCATTCTAAGTTGTATAAAAAAAAATGTATTCCTAACTTCCGTAGAAACTTTACGCAACTTTCACTAAACGCACTTTTCAATCTAAAAATACTCTCTAGATCTTCAATTTCAAAACGTGTTAACTAAATCGACTAGTCATGAAAGATAGTGCTACTATAGCGTTCTTTATACTGGCGCTCTAGACAAATGGCAAGCGAATTCGTCGATGGAAACGACATCGCTAGCAAGTCCATGAGACAGAATGAGATAGTAACGTCGGATGACTCATTCCAACTCACGGACTCGCTAGCTATGTCGATTTTGTTGACGAATTCGCTTGCCACTTGTCTAGAGGCCCAGTGCTTTTACAACACAGATTAGAGAATCAAGAATTGCAGGTTCTTAATCTATAACTGATCATAACGCTATTACGTCTAGATACTCCTACTGTGCTCTGTACACTGACAGTGTACAGAGCACAGTCTTAGTTAGAATTAGTCTACTGGATAACTATATTTATTACTAAGAACAAGAAATTACATAGAAGGAATTATAAAATAAAAATTGCAAATCATATAGTTGCCTCCTTACTTCTTATGCAAATATAATTAGTAAAAAGAGGACGAAAGATCATCAATTTCTGTTTTTCTCAAATCATAGTAGGCTAGTTTATAGAAAATGTTTTACGGCCGTATAACCCTACTAAATTCAGATACAACTTGCTACTATACTTTCTACATAAACTGTGTCGAATATATAATCTACTAATGTAAAATTTGTCATTGACAAATAATTGACATATCAAACATATGTATAATACACTAGATTACTATGAATTGAGAAAAATAGCAACTGATGGCATATCTTTTGTCTTCTTTTTACTATTTATATTTCCATAAGAAGAAAGGAGGCAACCATATGATTTACGGTTTTTTTTATCATTCCTTCTACGTAATTCCTTGTTCGTAGCTAAGATTTATTATAGTCAGCAGTGTGACCATTTGTGGCAGATGTCTTGCCAATTTGGAAAATTTCGCTACTTAATTTTTTCTATGGCAGATCATACTGATGCTTTACAAAAGTGGCAGATTTAAATGATTCCTTAATTTTTTTTCCGTTGCAGTGTTTTAAAGACAAATATTTGATTAAAATTCTTCTTCAATAGTTTGGATGACAAGATATATAAACTGTATTTTTATGTCCTGGATTATATATTGCAAATAGTCAACAAACTAAACTTTATATTTCAAGGCAATTACACAACAGACTATACAGCATTGAAAGACATTTCTAAAGTGTATGCATGCCTTAAAGTTGTTATATGAAAGGAAATTATTTGAAAACCACGGATGCACTTTCAATTGATCCAAAATTCACTGTGAAATTTTTGTCCTTATATATAGATATTTAGGCGTTAACTTGAGCACTGAAATCGATCGCTTATCCATAGACGTGAGTTTGAAACCTGGAATCCAAAACATTCCTTCAAAGAATTCAAACATTTATAACTGAACTTTGTACTTAATTAAAGACATGTTTACCACTGAATAATATTTTCAAAGATATACAATTCTTGGATCCATAGCATGTGATCTTTTTTTTTACAACCCAGGGGGCAAACAAGCATGCGGCTCACCTGATGGTAAGTGACTACCGCCGCCCATGACCACTCACAAGACCAACGACATTGCAGGTGTGTTACCGGCTTGTTAAAAAAGAATATGCTCTTTTCTTGAAGGTTATGATATCGTATCGGTTCAGAAATACTGCTGCTGGAAGTTAATTCCAAAGAGTGGTTGTGCGTGGAAGAAAGTGCCGTGAAAAACGCACGCTGAAAGACCGCCTTTCGTCCAGATGGTTTTGATGAAATTTTAGTTTGTGGCGGGTTATACGGTGGTGAAAATCAGCAGCAGGTACATTGAACAATTCCTCAAAGCACTCCCCATGATAAATTCGGTAGAAGATGCATAGAGATGCAACATCTCTACGCAGTTTCAGAATGTCGAGTCGGACAGTAAGGCGCTGAACGTCAATAATTCGAGCCGCCTAACTTTGAATGCGGTCTAACGGAAGGAGCTGGTGCCTTAGCGCTCCTGCCCATAGGTGAAAACAATATTCCATATGTAGCCTGACTTGAGCTTTATACAATTTCAGGCTGTGTTCTGGCGTGAAATACCGTCTCACTCTATTAAGCACTCCTAACTTTTTGGAAGCTATTATTAAGATTAAGAAGATTATTATAGCTTTTTCCTCCAGATGACCGCAAAACTGAACGTTGCTAGATATATCAACGCCAAGAACCCTTAAATTCGACTTATTATCAAGGGAATATTACTGATCTGTAACATAGTATTAACATGCAGAAGAAAGTTAATAATAGATTCGTAAAAGTGTAAGAGATCTGTTAGAATTAGGAGAAAGTAGCACAACCAGCACAATTTTTAGTGTAGACAAATTTTGGGGAGCGATTGGAATAATCCAGGATGTGAATAGGGCTACAAAGTTACCAAATCTCCATCTCATCATCAATGTGCCCATCTCTCAGGTGGGCAAGAATATTCTCTCAGGTGAGTCTAAACAAAACAAAAATAAGGAATAACTTTCTAAACCAACATGTTTAAGCTATAATTACTACAAAAGGGATAAAGGAATATGGATATAATGTTGTAAAACATTGAATGTGCTTTGCACGCTTAAATAACTTTTCCTTGTAATAAAAAAAACCGCTTATAAATGAAAATGCACTTTAATATAGGACGCCATGACAGAGAGAAGCCATGTTACATTTTTTGTTGCTAACCTTAGGCATAAATATTTTTAATATACTGAAATGGAGACTGTTTCTCCTTTAAACCAATTAAAAACATGATCAAAAAGATCTCTTGAAAATGTATGTACTTGAAAAATAAAGACGAAAATTTGGAAGCAAATATTGATACGTAAATATTTTTCATAGAATTTGTTGTGTATTTTTTTTTTTTGCATTTTATTGTAGGCATATTTTTAGCATTTTTGACAGCGAATGTGGCAAATTTTGGCAGATTTTTTTTCCAGTCTGTGGCAGATTCGCTATTAATGAGATGATCACACTGTCAGTTTTTCGGAATCCGGTCTAAACATTGTGCTTTTGTATTTTGGAATAATTCGGTGATTGAATTGATGGTCCTAAATGCAAACTGAATGCTGTTCTGTGCCCATCTGCTACAGTTAATGTTTGAATAAAAAGTGTATTGCAGTGAAGGATTTGCTGTGGATGGTTCTGGGAACATAGGTAATGAGTTATCATTATAGTTTGTGGAAGTATTTTAGATTTATAGAACATATTCTATAGATATCAAAATAATTTCTGAATTAAAATGTGGTTTATTTAATGTGGTGGTGTAGCTGATACGGTAATGTGGTTAAGTTGGTTCGATGTAAACCGTGCTGTTTTATTATTTCGTTTATTTTGTCATAGTTACAAACGAAGAACTAATTAAAGAAAATTTCCTAAAAAAAAAAAGATGTGTGTGTATAAAAAGTTATTTTCTTTAAGTCTTGATTCTATTATACTTATTTCAACCAAGAGTTCTTAAATTTTTTGTGGAACTAAAAGAATTGTTACAGGCTAGGGTTATGGGCGATTAGCCTTATTATTCGTTTAGATTTATAATTAAATAAATAAAAAAATCAAAGAAATTACTTATTAATTGGCAAGAAGTAGTTTTTTTTTTTTTTTTTTTTTTTTTTGTGGCGTTCACCCCGATATTAGGGTATTTTGCCAAGAACAAAACGGGGAAACGATAATAGTAATAAAAATACCTAACACAAACGAATTTAGAAAGGATAAGGATTAGGTCTAGGATATTTATAGGATATGAAACATATACTTGTACATATGAGAATATACTTATAAATATATAGGAAAAGCAATTGATGCAACTATAAATGTATTCATGTAATATAACTAAATCTTAATATTGTTATCATATATATATGAAGATAGTATTTTATAGATAATAGGATCATTGGAAGAAAGTAGAGTAAGAATAGAAGTTGGGAATGGAACACGGATGGATCGGAGATGATTAAAAAGGGAGGTGTGGTCAAATTTAGAACATGAGAAGAATATATGATTCAAGTCCGCCACTTCAGCACCGCAATTACACGACGAACTTTGTACAATACCAAGCTTGTATAAATGAGAAGGTGTTGACCTAGACGCATACGAGTTATAATAGTTGTTGCGGTCTTTCCAAGCTTTAATTTACAAAACCATGGTTTGAAAGGAATATCGGGTTGTATAAGGCGATAAAATCTTCCTTTTATTGTACTTCAAGAAGTAGTTTCAAATAATTCATTGCAGACAAAATGAAAAATCAAAAACAAAATGGCTGTTTAATAACCATAAATTTTTCTATATTATCTATTATTAATATTGATATATAAAAAACCCAAGATACACAATCTCATACAAAAGTTACATTAAAAATGTATCTTTTATTTTAATTTAATTTGAATAATAAATATGTAATTATTATGTTATTAGTATGTTAATAATATAAGATTAAATACAAATATTTGCTAGATAAGAGTGCAAAATTTCATTTCATTCTCTATTTTCCATGCCATTTTTAGAGTAATTTATTTCTAGATTATTTTATATATTAATGATTGATTGATGACAGAACAAATATTATATAATATAATCAATAATTTATTTGCATAAACAAAAGCACAGTTATATTAAAGATTTTGTATTTTATGCAAAATACTTATTTGTAATGGGTAGTGATGGAATGGTAATCCTGCCCTATCATGCCCTAGCTGGAGGAGCACCAGTAAATAGCTGAGAATGAAAACAGGTCAGTTGGCTCATCATAATAAATTCAACAAGAATTAATCACCATGGTTTTCAGAGGAAACAGCATGGAGGTTGACATGACAACATAAATTACTAAATATGCCAAGATTTAGGAATGAGATTGTTAATAACAGACACTAGCAACATCATTACTATCAATATGTTCTGTTGATTCCTACTTGTTCCCCTTTTTAAAGAATTGTAAATTCTTGATGAATTAATTAATAATTGAATGTCACCGGGCACTGGATATCTTCCAATAATCAAGTTATCCTCTAGTGTATAAGGAGGCACAGTAGGTTTTATAGTAACAACGCTGCAGGTGAGCTAGCTAAAAGGTGTTCTAGAAAGAAAGTGGTAGGCTCTTATGCACTTCCTTTCCTTTCTTCTTTTCCTTTTCAGTTCTCATACTTTCAAATCTGAATTCATCAAAGAGTTAATGATATATAAAACCAAAAATAGACACAGGCAGATGCTGATGACAGAGGTTCAAAACTGGCTGTGTCAACATTGACTTGCTTGCAATGTTGACAAAAACTTGACTGTCAAAATGTTTTTTATATTTACATAGAAAAGACCTTAAAATGATGATAGGGACAATAATAGCCCTTAAATAAACATTTATACTGAATAGGAGCTACAGACAGCCCTCTATGTTGAGGATATTTTAATGCCGAAGAAATGGCTGTTCACATAATCCTGGTATATGTATCTGTGGCCCCTTAAAGTTTAGGAATCTTCTGAGCAGTGATGTTACTCCATGAGGTCTGTGAAGATCCCTGGAGTTTCTATCCTTCTGGGCGGGGCTGGCCTGGCTGTACTAGCCATGACTCATATGCACAATGGCACAAATGAGAAGCTTAGTGCAGAAAAGAGTCCAAATTACATTTACTGAGGGGGGGGGGGTTGTTAATAATGCACACTATCAGTCTCATTGTTAGCAATATGCCCAAAAAGGTCAACCTCCACATTGGACCCCCTGGAAACTCAATTGCTGAATTTCAAGTGAATTCATCATGATGGGCTAATTGACCTTCTTTTTCATTCTCACCTATCATCTCTCACTGGTGCCCCGCCAGTGTATACCGATAGCGCAGGCGGGGTTACTATTCCATTATTCATAAAAAAAATTACATTTACTCAAAGTTTGTTATTTGTTTTCATGGATGTTTTGTTATGATAGACTAAATAACCTGCTTTCATCCTCACTTATCATCCCTCATTTGTTACTATTCTATTATTATCCATTCGAAATATGTTTATAAAAGTTGTGCAGGGATAGATTATACTTTAATGTAAACTACTAATCTACTAATATTTTATAAGTGAAAGCGTGTTTGTTTGTAAGTTAGTTACCTCTTGGTGCTAAGAGTGGGAAATATATAGCAATATCTGTCTATATATTGTAGTTACACTATCTATACATATATTAGTCCAATAACATATATATTAGATATTGTATATCCATTATATAAAATCGAAAAGGAGAATCCCTTAATAGTGATTATGGACTTTATTTAGTTTATCTTTAACTGTACGGTTTTTACTCTTGTACATTCTATAGTTTTCATTCAGCTTCTCAAAGGTTGACTGTAAGAGATCCCTCTATCTATGGGATAAGTCTGCCATTATATTATATTGTATTAAATATTTTAGTGTATCCAATATAAATTATGTACAATAAAGATTTTACAGTACAATAGATATCTGACTGGTATGGGCGATATTGCAATGGGTGGTAGTCAATGTTTAATATATATAGATAGTGCATGTTATTTATCTCTACTTGGTGCTTCAATGGTTTAATCAATTGTATATGAGATGAATGAATTATGAAATGTAAAAGAATATATGTTACTTATTTATCTTTAATTATTTTCTAAATAAAATATAGCCTATGTTTCTCACTGTACATTATCAGTGAGAAACATGGGCTATATTTTATTTAGAAAAGCTTTATTGGGTAATAAATTTACAATACAATTTTTTTTTCAGGCTTCCCGCCATTTGCATAATTTCATTTTCTCATCTCTTGATTGATCTTCCTCTTTTTCTAAGCTAAAATGGAAAAGGTTAGAGGAGAGAGACTTTGTACAAAAGTCGTTTGCTTGGGTACCTCTGTCCCATTCGTGTTTCAACCGTAAAGCATTTGTGTTTGCATGGCTATGTTTCGGTTTGAAGGGTGGGATATGGTGTGAATTTACAGGGTACAGAGGAATAACACCTGAGTCCTCAGGAATGGCAACGCATGGGGGGTTTCATGGGCGAAACAGTATACTCTGTTATGTCCATGGTACTGCTCATGTCTATAGGCGATGGTTACCACTTTCCATCAGGTGGGCCGTCAGCTTGTTTGCCATTCTAAGTTGTATAAGAAAAAAAGCATTTACTGATAAGCAATCAAATGATGAGTAAATTTAATTGTAATAATCTAAATAAAGGCTAATAATAACATTAATGTAGTTATCCATAGGTGAAAGAAATTTTAAAAATGCTTAACTATTTTTGATAAAGAATTTCATACCTTCATGTCCACAAATTTCGCTTGTATAGAAAAAAGGCCATTCTCAGATAGGCCGAGAGGAACTGTACATCCATGCTGGAATAGAGCAGCATGGGATAGAAATTATTGGAAGGAGTTGGAGAAGGTCTTTACCACAAGGCACTCTATGATATGTCATATAATAAAGAAATATAGTTGATAAATTTTAATGTAGCACAGTATAATATCATAAAATAGCCTTTTATTTGCTTATCCTTTTTTAAACACAACTAAATAAATAAACTAAACAAACAAATTGAGTCTTATTTGTGTTAGTAAATTACCTTAACATTTAATGTTAGTACTTGATTCCTTAATATTTAATACTAGTTTTGTATAAGTATTAAATACTTTTTTTATTGTCCTTTTCTTATTTGGTTAGATAGGTATCACTTCTCTGGTATAGGCTTTCTTGAGTTTGTTACATTCATATTTATCTTTTGTTTGTGTGTTCCAGTTTTGTCCTGAGTTGGCAACAGGTTGGTATCATCTACCTTTTTTAAGGTCAAAGGATTGTCACTTTTAACAATTTCCTCCAGTGCCCAAAATTTATTCCATGTCATACATATTCTTCGATTGCGTGCGTGCCTGTGTTTGTGTGTGTTTGTATGTAGGTAAGTGATGATAGAAAAAAATATTTCAGGTAACTGGACCATCCACAACGCAGATCCACGACAACATTGCCTAAAGAGTGTAGCTAGTTTATGCTGGATTATCCTAAAAGAGGATTGAGTGTTCAGGTAATTTTATTTTCTTCCTGGTAAGTAATTAATTTTTAATATTACTGATTTTTTTTAAGTGCATCCTTGTCGCCCCTTTTGACTAACATTTTTGAAAATTGTTTCAGCCATCATGTCGTCAGGTGACCTGAATAACATCAATGAATTGTAAGTATAAGTAAACGAGTCCCACTGCCCATGTTACATAGTGTCATCTAATTTTAAACTAAGCAGAGTTTAAAATACTAAGTATATTAGATTATTGATATACATATTTGTCTTTGTAAATACATGTGTTATACATAAAACATCTAGAATATTATTTATTTTTATTTATTTATTTATTTAAGGATAACCAACAAAGCATACATTTATATCTATATAAAATACATTATAATATGATTACATTATAAAATGCTGCCTCAATTAAAGGCCGCCACGACACGCGTATTCATGTTATATATAATTATAAAAATAAAAAATGATAATAACTACAATACTAGGTATAATACGATATTATATACTAGGTATATAATAAATAGTTAGACTACAGTAATACTTTTGATTTGAAAGATTTTGTATGCTATTATTGTTACGAACAGACGTGCTCATGAATACAAATATTTGTATTAAGGAGGGCTAATATACATAAATATTTATATATTTTGTACATTTACATACCTCTGTCATATTTTTATGTTATCTGTGTATACAATAAAGTATAAATAAATAAAATATATTTTTATTACAATATCTATACACTGACCAAATAATGGATATATTAAATATCGCTAATGCAGTAACTAGTATCAAAATTATGAAATCCTCAGTCCTCAGGAATAGCAACGCATGGGGGCTATCATGGGCCGAAACAGTATACTCTGTTATGTCCATGGTACAGCTAATGTCTATAGGCGACGGTTACCACTTTCCATCAGGTGAGCCGTCAGCTTGTTTGCCATTCTAAGTTGCATAAAAAAAATGAAGAATCCCATTGAAATAAATGTGACTGATATGTTATACGCTGGCAAGGCACCAGTGTGAGATGGATGATGGTGATGAAGGATGGGGATAAAAGAAAGTCAGTCGGGCCAATGTGACGAATTAAAAAAAATCAACCACAACACCTTCCAGAGGGACACTTCCATTTTTCATGTATTCCAGATGGGCCACTTTTAGGTTGACCTGGTGGGGTATATTACTAGCAATGGGACCATCAGTCCCCGTTACTATTAATTCCTTCCACTCTATATTTTTTTTTTTAATTTATCTGTCATCAACCGTTTGTAGCTATAATCAGATCTACTGCATTACAAATTGTGGAGATGCATATCCAGAGAGATGTCATCTCAAAAAAGAAAAGTTAAAATTTTGAATGTTGACTAGCCGAGATCTTTTTAGTGTAGATAGGCAGGTATTTGTATCCAATAATGTCATGGCCCACTTGTTTTTATGACATTTTAATCTCTGTGTATAAGTTCCACAGGCTCTTATATGTTCTATGTTATATAACTTATTATTTACATCTTGTCCTATCTTTTGTTACAGGTTCTTTCAAAATCATGATGAAATTAAGATGTGGACAGATGGACAGAGGTAAATAAATAAAAATCGGGTGCATGTAATATTTTAATACACCGAAAAATTTTATTAAAGTACATTTTTAAAGTTTAGTTTTAAACATTTAAAGCAGAGTTTTTCAACGTGTGTGTCATGACTTCCTAGGGGGTCACGAAGCCTCTATAAGGGAGTCGCGAAAAGCTTTTTTTTTTATACCACTGAAGTGGCAAATAAGCATACGGCCCACCTGATTGTAAATGGTTACCGTAGCCTATGAACGCCTGCAAACACCAAAGTAAAAAAACAAAATATAAAAATAGATTTATTAAAAATAATGATAATTGAAACATTTGTATGTTAATACAAATTAATAAAACAATAAAAACCCTGCAAAACAACTTTTTTATTTTTTTATCTGTGCATACAGATATAAAAATAAAAAAGTCCCTACAACATCTTTGTGACATTATAAAGTACATGAAATAAAAGTGAAGGGCGGGTGTCGCGAATTATTTTTTCATACGGGAGGTTGTGTCATGAAAAAGGTTGAAAACACTGTTTTCTTATACCACAGGTGATAAACAAGCATACGGCCCACCTGATGGTAAGTGGTTACCGTAGCCTATGAACACCTGCAAACAGCAGAGGTATTACGCGCGCGTTGTCAACCCTGAAGAAACCTCTTTACCCCCCTTTTGAAGAACCCCATGCTGTAATCTCTTGGAAATATAGGATTCACATGGATTTATAGGATGGTGCTACTATATGTATATTAATTGAAATACTATTTTGTTCCAGCGATTTTATTGAACTCTCTCCATCTGATTACGAGCAGAGCATAGATATAGGAGACAACGGTGGCAAAGCAACACCATTTAGTGATAACTATAGTAATAACGTAAGTTGAAGATTTCCAACCGACTTCAAAAAGGAGGAGGTTCTCAATTCGCTTTTACAGTAAACGCTCTATATAAGCAACCTCTGTATAAGCAACCTCTCTATAAGCAACCTCTCTATAAGCAACCTCTCTATAAGCAACCTCTCCATAAGCAACCTCTCCATAAGCAACCTCTCTACAAACAACCTCTCTATAAGCAACCTCTGTATAAGCAACCTCTCTATAAGCAACCTCTCTATAAGCAACCTCTCTATAAGCAACCTCTCTATAAGCAACCTCTCTATAAGCAACCTCTCTATAAGCAACCTTTCCATAAGCAATCTCCATAAGCAACCTTTCCATAAGCAACCTCTATATAAGCAACAATTTTTATATTTTATTTATTCTACTCAGCTTAATTAGTAAAAGCAATAAGTAAAAATATTTTCCAGACGATAAGTATTTTTATACACCTTTTTTCCCTATAAGCAACTTTTTCCAGTAAGAAACTATTTAGAGCGTTCTCTGTATTTTTTTTTTAATGTGAAGTTAATGACAATGAGGTGATAAGTTTACGTTGTGTTTGCATGGCTGTGTTTCGGTTTGAAACTAAGTTGCACAAAAAAAAAAAAGATTACGGCTAAGTAAAAAGGTGGTTTTTGGTTGGACTGTCGCGTTTACTAGTCTATGATTTTTTTCCAGGACACACTCGATGTAATAGAACTACAGACGTCCAACATGGAATTTCCTGTAAGTGTTTAAACTAGTACATTTATTTATTTATCCACAGCTACAGTAATAAATTCACATTATCTTATATATAAAATTCTCGTGTCACGGTGTTTGTTACCAAACTCCTCCGAAACGGCTTTACCGATTTTCATAAAATTTTGTGTGCATATTGGGTAGGTCTGAGAATCGGCCAACATCTATTTTTCATACCCGTCAATGATAAGGGTGACCCTCCCCAAAATATGTTTTTTTTATTTTTTTGACAAATTTTTCCATTTTTATTTTATTTTGATTTGGCATTGAAAAATATATACAAATTAAAATTTTCACGGTTTTACGATCAACCCCTGTATTTTAATTGCGACTTTTATATTTCGCAATAAGTGGTAAAACAACGTTTACGGGGTCAGCTAGTATTTACTATAAAAATCTTTATAACTAAATAATTGTTTTAAAATTCTACACCAAAATAATAAGGGACAGATCTTCGAAAAGGCTCCTCGTTTCATACATATTCAAAATATTGTAAATTTATATAGTTCAGTTGCTCATATATTAAAATGATATCCAAAATAACAACAAATTCGTTATTACTGCAAATCCAGTAAAATAAACAAACCAACGCACACATGCCCAAATACAGCATTCAATAGTAGCTTTATAAATATCAACCGCCATATCGATTTATTATAATCAGATACAAAAATGTTTATTTGTAATTATATATACCAAAATGTATATATTTTTATTGTTGCTTATAGAGACATTTCCCAAAGGGGGTTGACGTCAGGCAGACGGCCGGTCGTAAAACTAAAAAACCAAATCTTTTTCTAATATGGATAAAAAATATATTACGTCGACCCCAAATAATAATTGGGATAAGAGTAGGAAGATGATGACTTATAGAGACGTATTTTTTTTTTTTTCGATTTTAAATATTATATAACTCCGTCAGTTTTAAAGTAATCTGGAAATATCTTTTTTTTTATCTCAAAGGATATACTTACAGATTGGGATCATGGAAATTTTATTAAATGCGGTTTTTTTTTTAATACCACTGAGGTGGCAAACAAGCATTTGACCCACCTGATGGTAAGCGGCTACCGTAACCTATGAACACCTGCAATACCAGAGTTATTACGCGCGCGTTGCCGACCCTGAACCTGCGTTTGTTTAGACCTAAATAGATGTTAGACACTCTTTTCTAGTAAACCTCCTGAACATGTATTGAATATTTGTTTATGCCAAGATAAAGTTTATTATTTTTAATATTATTCAGATATCACTATTTTGGCGGCCAAATCACCATTTTGTAGTTAAATCGAATAGTGGCACTTGGAGATACAAATATAATAAAATATTGGTATACTAAATGTAAAGATGCTAACAATGTATTGAATATTTGTTTATCCCGAGAAAAAGTTTATTGTTTTTAATATTATTCAGATATCACCATGCGGCCCACCGAATAGGAGTTGCTTCCCGGGAAAGTACAATTTCCAAGTGGAAATAAACAGCGCTGATACACATAAGAAGAAATATATGGTGAGTTTGATATTACAACTGTCCATAGTTGATTTTTTAAATGACTATAAATATATAGGAGGTTCTCAGTTTATATGTCTTTTTTTTTTTTGTTTATTTCATCATTTATAAATCGATTTGGGAAATTCTTGTTTTTTTTTTGTATTTAATAGGACACACTCAAAGATGTCCCCTAGCAATTTATTTCACTCTCTCTCTCTCTACATTCAGTACTCTAGTTTGTAATCAAATTAATTACAATTGTTTTTATCAATAAAATTGTAACTTTTGGTATCATATATGCAGTCCTAAAAACCTGTCGTTCTATATTTCAGTCTACTGATAAATCCACCGCTGTAGGTACCTCACAACCATTGTTTGCGACAGTTTATTGAGCTATGGCCAGCTGTTATCAGTTAACGGCTGAAATGATGATGATGACGATTTCCATTTAGCTGTATCAAAATAGAGTAATAACTTGACCTGGCCGTCGTTCGGTTGGCAGTACTCGACGGTGGTGGAGCGGCTGTACGTGGACGCAGGGTGCGACTTCCCCATCCACTTCCGGTGGGAGGGCGCGGGCCCGCTGTGGGTGCGCGCGTGCGCGGTGTTCGTGGAGCACGAGCAGGCCGAGAAGCGCGTCGAGACCTGCCCCAACCACGACCTCACCAAGCGCGAGCCCGGACACGCAGGTCGGCAATCCTGCTCGCCTATAGTGCGGGGGGGGAAATCAGTAATGGGCTCTAACTGACCCATTGCTGGGGGGAAGGGATTGTTAGCAATGGAGTTTGACAGCCCCATTGCTAGCAATATGCCCTATCAGGTCGACCTCCACGTGGTTCCCCCTGGAAACCATTGTGAACAATTCTCGTTGAATTCGTCACGATGGGCTAACTGACCTGCTTTCATGGTCATTTGTCATCCATCGCTGGGGCCTTGCCAGCGTATACCGATTGCGCAGGTCACTATTACCACCCATTAAAAAAAATACCTAGTGCATACGCCACAATGGGTCAATTGATCTGCCTTCATTATCACCAATACTGCAGGCGAGTTGCTATTTCATCACCTTTTAAAATACCCCTAACGACCACGAAAAAAATAACACCTTTTTTACAGATGTGCTGATGAAAAAAAGCCCTCAGGATCCCACCCACTTTGCTTACTGTTTGAAATTTTACTAAAATAGTAAATAATTCTATGACACCTCTCAGACCTAATTGCCTCCCTTAATTCTTTCCATGTACTGTGTCTAAAATTACTTGTTCGTTAAAAGCCTATGCATGATCGACTAATAACCGTGCACATTTGTCATTCAAGTAATCGTTTACTGTATAAATAGGGGCTTGGTTCAATAAGTATTTTTAATAACAATTTTAAACTTATTAAAACGTAGATATAAAATTTGCTTCAGTCTCTTATTATAACATTTAATAACACTGGGTATCTATAGGCCCGTTTGCCATGTGGTCCCGGCATACAATAGGCCCACATTTCTTTTTCCGCGGGTGTCAATAATAGTTTTTAATTTAATAAAAGGTAAACCCATAATATCCTTCGGTATCTTATTATAATATTTAATATCCATTCCCATAAAAGATCTATATATAATTATGACTATACAAAATACTCGATATTGTAATATTTTCAGAATGGCCGCCTTTACAAGATGGCGGGTGATGTATATTATGTCAACCCTAATATGGGTATCGAATGACTTGAGGAGTAACGTTAAATTACATCATTTAAAAATGGCCCACAATTACAAGATGGCGGATTACATAATAAAAGTTTGTTTTTAAACCGATTTACTTTTAAAATAACCGCAGCAACTAGATGATGGATTTATTTATTTATTTCGTATATCGACAGATTACAAACAAACCTTTTTTCTAATAGCATACAACAATAGCGTTATATTTATTATTATATATATATTTGCAATCCAATTATAGTTGTACGCAACATTAAAACAGCATATATTGATTATTAATATTTATATAAAAAAATGTAATGAAGGGAAAGACTTGGAGGGGCAATGCCCTAACTTAAAAGGCCGGGGGGAAAGGGATGGTTAGCAATAGAGTTTGACAACCCCATTGCTAGCAATATGCCCTATCAGGTCGACCTCCACGTGGTTCCCCCTGGAAACCATCGTGCTGAATTTCAAGTGTATAATAATAATATCAGTAACACTCCGATATCTATATATTCGGTTTTTTCTGAACAATACTGCTTGTAAAAAGTTCATTCTGAACAAGATACTAATCGGATCTCCATAATTCATTTCGAACGGGCTCTTCATTTGATATTATGTATTTATTAAACAACCAGTATTTATTATAACCATTGTTATGCATTATATATAGACATTATAACTTCAATACATAGATATTACTATAATTATGTTATTTCTTTTTTTTTTGCGTATGTATATCTATATCTGTTGTTATGTGTGTGCCGTAAATAATACGCAAATATATTATATATCTATCTATCTTTATTGCTGTATATTACACGCCTATAACAATAATTATAAATCTTTTATTTGCATGTAGTTTACATTTATTGCGATTTTAATTTACTTTGTAACAATTTGTTTTATATATATATATATATATATATATATATATATATATATATTAATTATATATATATATATATATATATATATATTTATATATATATATATATATATATATATATATATATATATATAAAATATATATATTATATATAAGTAGTTGAGAGAAAGGCTTGTGTTTTTTCTTTTGCAGTGACGCCCCAATTCATAACAAAGTGGAAGAACGTGCTGCACTCGTCCCGCAACGACGACACGGACGGCGTACACTACTGCGGCGACAAGAGCTCGTGGTACTCGGTGGTGGTGCGCTTCGACGACGCTGCCGACAAGCGCAGCCACGCGTACCGCTTCGTGTGCAAGAACTCCTGCCCCATGGGCATCAACAGGCGCTCGCTGGCCGTCATATTCACGCTCGAGGATCTCAGGTGAGCGTTTACAATATAGTTTCTTAACCGTATGAGTGGGGGCACAGAGATTGTTTGTAATGAGATCCAACAGACCTATTACAAGCAATATACCCTAACAGGTCGACCTCCACGCTGTTCCCCCTGAAAACCATCATACTAAAGCCTGCAATCTCTTACAGCAGTGAAAAAATCAAGCTCCTAAATAGACGCAATCAAAAGATAAGACCGTTTATGTTCCATTTATATCGCATATTTTGACATTTACAAAAGGAATCAAAACCTGTAGGGTACTTCCCGTTGACCCAGAATCATGAAATTTGGCAAGAAGTAATGTCAAGGAGCACAAGTAAAGGAAAAAAATTAAAAAACCGTAAATTTGTAGTTACTTCACAAAAAAAATTAAACTTGATGATTTTGTACGGAATCCTCGTTGCGCGAGTTCGATTCGCGCTTGGCTGGCTTTTTTATTTTCTAGAGTCCCTATCTAAAATGTACCTATCATCTGTCTCTTCAATCGCTTTAAAAAAATAAGGTTCTCAATCGATTGTAAGTCGATATGGAAAATTCTTTTTTTTATTTATATTGGCTCAACAGTTTATAGTATATATACCAGAGGGAGACTTTGTACAAAAGTCGATTGCATGGGTACCTCTGTCCCGGGGTGGGTCCCAAGGGTGGGATATGGCGTGAATTTACTGGGTACAGAGGAATAACACCTGAGCTCTCAGGAATGGCAACGCATGGGGGGTATCATGGGCGAAACAGTATACTCTGTTATGTCCATGGTACTACTCATATCTATAGGCGACGGTTACCACTTTCCATCAGGTGGGCCGTCAGCTTGTTTGCCATTCTAAGTTGTATAAAAAAAAGTCTTTAAATTAACCACATGTGAAGTTGATTTTATTTTATAGAACATACCCCCCCCCCCCCCCCCCCCCCGCTCTTTCTGCACCATCTCCATAATGAATGTGTCACTCTCCTCGGTACTCCCCCTCCTCTTTACACTTGCATAGTATTTTTCTTATATTTCACGTTAACCAAATCTGTAACCCAATATCCGCAGCGGCACAGTACACGGGCGGCAGATGGTGAACGTGCGCGTGTGTGCGTGCGTGCGTCGCGACATGCACAGGGACGAGCAGGCCGCGCTCACACTCAAGCGGGAGCGTGAAGCCAACGACCCCGCCGACCCCGCCGACCCCGCCGACCCCCGCGAACAACACAAACCGCCCAGGGGCAAGAGGATCAAGACCGAGCCGCTCAACCCCAACGATGACGACAAGGTTGTGGAACTGCCCGCTGTGAGTCTATTCGACTTTTTACAAGCTTATATTTAATTTGTAACTTGTATAATAGTTATTCAATTGTTGTTTAGATCAAATCTTACAAGCTGAATTAAAACCAATTTTGCATACATCTTTAGTGTTAGTGGTCCTATTTAAAATTTTAAGCGTGTAGTCCCGGAATAGAATGTGCCACTTCTTCAATTCTCATGGGTGTCGTAAGAGACGACTTGGAGAACTTAATGGTCGAGCGATGGGCAGAGACGTCTCTCTATAAACATCACTAGTCTAACTGTGGTTACCAATCCGCCTGCCATGCGTGGGATCTACTGGCAAAACTTCTCCCTATGGGGGAGGCTTATGTTCAGCAGTGGACAGTTAATGGCTGGTATGATGATGATTCTAGATTTATTTTTAGTATATTTATGTAACTGACCATATGGTTCCGGCATAGAATAGACCACCCGTTTCTTTCCCGTGGGTATCGTAAGAACCGACTAAGGAAGGGCGAGGGATGGACAGCAGCGTCCCTCTTAAACATCTCTTAAGCCTGACTGCGGTTGCCAATCCGTCTGCCAAGCGTGGCAACTACTGGCAGAACCCCCTAAGGGGGAGGTGTTCAGCAGTGGACAATTAAAGGCTGATATGATGAATGTAACTATAACATACAATGTGTTTTTTACATATTATTATCATTATAAAATTACAAACACGTTTGTTTCACTCTTCAAAACATTTATTATTTGACGTCGTATTTTTTACAAGTGTTTACACAGTAATTATGTAACTCACAGTTCAAAGTTCGCGGTGTGGCTGCCGCCATCTTGGGTCTCGAAGCGATGACCAACATGATGGAGTTATACAAGAGAAAGACCACCGATACACAATTGATCACAGAGACAGAGAAATACATCACTAACGTTAAGAATATTATAAATAAGGTGAAAAATGATTCCCACACGCAACCGAACCCGTAATTTGCGGTGCTCAAATTGTTTTTTATAGATTCTTTTTTATGACATTTTAAATTTTAAATCGTATTGATTAAGTTTATGCTCGGGACTGATTACGAGAATAAAACTATAGTTTTTTTTTTTTTTTGCGCATTAAGCTAATTCAGCTTTTATACAAAGCTAAACTATGCTCCAATATCCGAGTTTCTCATACTATATTTATATATCATGGAATCGTAATGATCACTTGTAACAAAAACAAACTTACAATTATAATTTATCATCGATATTATGACATTTTCAATAGTATAGTCATGCAATAAAACAAATCGAAAGAATCAAATAATCGATTTTACATTGATTACTACCATTGGCATCACTAGATTGTCTATGGTCCAGACAATTTTGTTTACTTTTTAATTCTATTGAAGCAAAGTATACAATAAACGTACATACTTTTACATTAATAATATTAGCAAAAAACCTCGTTGTTGGTCCTGAGTATGATGATCATCATGAATATGATGATGGGGTCGTTTCTGAAGTGCCATTCTCTTAAACTTCTCTCTGAGACTAATATTTTAATTTGATAGTTTCGGGATAATAAACTTATAATAATGTTGACTTAAATCTATTAAAAAAATTACTTTATATCGGCTTTAGAATAAAGATGTAGAGACTACAGTATGGGGTTCTTCAAAAAGGGTATATTAAGGTTTCTTCAGGTTGACAAGGAGTACGTGAAACCCGTAGTGTTGCAGGCGTCCATAAACTACATTGACCGTTTATCGTCAGACAGGCTGTATGCTTGTTTGACATTTTATCTTAATTTTTAGAGAATGGCGCCTCAAAATCGGCGCCAATGTTGTTCATTTATTCTTTAAGGCATATTCATAAAGTAGATAAATGTAGATCATGAATGAATCTATTTTTAAGGTTATCGCCTAATGATGATTTGTAACAAATTTGAGATGGAATATTGTAATGTAATCACGCCGCCTTATAGTTTCTTGTAGTGGACTCTGGAAAGAGATCATTTTAGGTATAAGACTGCCATTGTATTCTTTTTTTTTTTATTATGACTGTTACAATAAAGTATTACAAATTTACAATAACTATATATTAGGTATTAGGCATGGGTAATACGGATATCGATCCGATATATATATATTAGGTTTCTCTGGATATTGATGGCGAAAAAATATCGTCACCCATTTCTTTATCACTTATATTGGTCGGATATCTTTTTGAATATATTAAAAGTTATACAACATTGCTTTTCGGATAACATTAAATATTCGTTCTTGTACCAGTATATAGATATTGTAACTAAAATATATAGATATTGCTATATATTGCCGACTCCTACTACATATCTATAGTATTTAAATGGTTATTCATATATTTTTCATATCTGATAACGAGTAAAACAATTCATTTTTATGTATAACATATTTGATGCCATTTATAATATTGCAATATTACAGATCGTAAATAGATTTACAAAAATTAAGATATCAAAAAAAAAATATTGAACTTTCTCCTGTTTTGAAGTCGCTTAAAAAATGTTTGACGTTATTGTGCGAAATTATTGTTAACATATTTTATTAAATTAGGTATTATTTTGCGGTAAACCATCATCAAATCACTGGATTGATTACCATTATAGTTAGTAGAACTTCTACAAATAATAATAGTGATCAATCTTCGAGTGTTAGCATACTATACTAACGGTAACGGAATCAAACAAAATAATTACTATCAAATAACCAGTGATAACATATCAGAAATGAAACGAAAATCATTGTAGTCGTGAATAAATATTTTTATTCCTTAGCAATGATATAGTATATAGTTTTGTAATGTCAACTCAAAACTACATTATATATTGGCCAGTGATTTTTAATTGTAAATGAATGTTGTTTAAACATTTAGTCATATATATATTAGTAATGAAGCTCAACTATGTCATTTAGTCCCCCTTAGTTTTATTATTACCATAGATTGAATGTACGAAACATTTTAGTTTTTGTTAAGCTGTTTTTGTTAACTTGAACTGCCTCGTAGAACGTAACGTAATGTTTACATTGTATTTTGCTAATACCACATGAGTCTAAACTTATTTCTGAAATTAAAATTTTTATTTGATATTTTATCAAAACTATTAGGGGACGTTCGAATATTTCGTAACGAAATTTTTGAAGATTTTTGACCCTTTCTCCCACCTTGGAACGTGCCATAATGTTTCCCTATACCCCCTCCCCCTCAACAAACGTTATGTGTAACATCTGAGTGACCATTTTTGCCTAAAAGTCACAACGCTAACGAATACTAACAACGAAAATAAAATAAAACTGACATGCGATACAGTCTAGGGATTACCCGTAGGACATAAAGGACAATGATTGCCAACTTGTTAGATTAATTACCCTAGTTCTTTATTTAAATAAAAAAAATCAGTCTCCCTCTCCTATAATGCTTCGTATCGTTGTACAAGACCTCCACACGCCCAAATTGCTTTACGTAATACTTGAACGCCGCCTTATTGTATTGAACGACACAGTATACTCTGTTATGTCCATGGTACTGCTCATGTCTATAGGCGATGAATACCATTTTCCATCAGGTGGGTCGTCAGCTTGTTTGCCATTCTAAGTTGCATAAAAAAAAAATAGTTAAATGTACAGTAGTTGTGACGGAATTCTATTCATATTAGTGCTGCTTCTTAGAATAATTATCATTTCACTGTAATGTCAAATTGAAGATTTAATTTCGGAATCGAATCCATTATAACCAGTTACATTTTTTTTATACAACTTAGAATGGCAAACAAGCTGACGGCCCACCTGATGGAAAGTGGTAACCGTCGCCTATGGACATGAGCAGTACCAATGTCTGTTTTGCCCCTGATACCCCCCATGCGTTGCCATTCCTGAGGACTCAGGTGTTATTCCTCTGTACCCAGTAAATTCACGCCATATCCCACCCTTTAAATTGAAACACAGCCATGCAAACACAACTGCTTCACGGTTGAAACACGAATGGGACAGAGGTACCCACGCAATCGACTTTTGTACAAAGTCTCCCTCTAGTAAAATTATACAATTTACTAGAGGGAGACTTTGTATATTACATAAGTACAGCTTGTGAGATAAATTGTATAAATTTATTCTCATTGATAAATTTTTATGTTAATTGCTACTGTCGTGTCATACACATCTCATGCAAGTCGCAAAACAGCATAACCTTTTCAAAAGGCCGGCAGCACACCTGCAATGCTTCTGGTGTTGCGGGTGATCATGGGCGGCAGTAGTCACTTACCATCACGTGAGCCGCATTCACATTTGCCCCTTATGTTATAAAATAAATTTTGAAAAACACTCAGTTGAATTTTTGAAATTTTATGTTATAATTCAAATTATATGAGTTTTAAATTTAAATATCTAACGTAATTATAAAAAATTCTTATTTAATTTCAAAATAATGACACTGGTAGCGCGTAATTCATGTTTAGATGAGATGTCAAGATAACTTTAATTCGTGTGACACGGCAGTCTAGCTTGAAACATCTATTTTTTTTTTTATTATAAAGTAAATTCTATTTATAATTATAAATTAATAAATGAGTATACTTTATTTGCATTATACAATATTGGAAATCTGGAAGACAATTAACAAACACAACGATACGATTGTATAAGTACATATATTAAGATTTTGGAATGTCATAATTTAAGAAGTAATTATGTAAAACAATGCTTAATTTTGTAAGTCTTCCTTTATTAAGTGTAAAAATAATTTAATTTTTGTATTGACTTGTTTCGTCGAGAATGCTAGCAATTGCTCGGATACATTCTTAGAAATACACGCGAGTCAGTACGGTTGTTTTTACATTTAAAATACGCTTAATTTGTCCACCATTCCACGTATGTGATTCCATTCAATATTGTCTGTGATGAGTTAACCTTTAACATCAGAATTGTGTACGTAATTAAGCTAATATTTGTAATACCTTTATGGTGCTATGTAGAAAAGAGGTACTTTAAGTGCTGTAGCACTAAAAACTAGTCAAGCACTAATTGGGGCTTCAAATTTAAAACGTGAGGTAATCCGACATAATTACAATACTTAAAAATAGTTAAGTAATATATATATATATATATATATATATATATATATATATATATATATATATATATATATATATATATTAATAATTAACTGAACTACCGTCCAGTATGGACGTGGTTTCCACAGCAAATAAATATTTATATTTTTTATTAAAAAATAACTGGTAGATAGTAATGGAATAGTAACCTAGCCTACGCTTTCGGTATACGCTGGCGGAGCACCATTAAGGGATGATAGGTGAAGAAGTGAAGAAGAAGTAAATAACATGGTATGTTTACAATTCCTCATATGATTAGGCGTCAGCCTAATAATAATAAAACTTGGAATAATGGGGGGGGGGGGGGGTTATATAACTGCTTCATTCTTAGCAGTAACTCTTAACTGACCCAGGATGAAAGCACTTCACCTTTCATCTCACTGTTGCTCCCCATCCCATCGTATACCGAGAGCTCAGGCGGGGTTACCATGCCAAATTCAGCCGTTAAAAAAAAATAAAAATAGGACCTTTGGTGCTTTAAAGATTAGGGCTAAGAATAATATTGGTCCAATATGTTTAAGAAAAATTTGAATTTAAAATGTTTAAATATTGACTATACTTAAGAATTGTGCTTCCATTAAATACGTAAATATTCGGTTGGCCATAGCAGAGGCATAATTAAAATAAATTTTGAACTACTAAACATTTGGGACCTATATATTGGGATGTTATAAAAAGCATACATACATATCTTTATACTTTTACATTGACATTTGACTACTGATATTATTTAAATATTTATGTATTTTGTTATATATAAATATAATTATTGTATTAAGAATACGCAGGGTACATCATATAGTAATAATGTTATTTTTGTCAAAAGCATTTAGCAATTTTGCTTTAAATGTAATTACGATGTTAAGTGTTCATATCAATATCTAGCAAGTCTGTATTTTTCCTAAATTATCCATTTTTTTTTTATTTCTATAAAAATCTCTGATAGCAAACTAAAATGTTAAACAAAGATGTATATAAAACTAGTTGCACATAGGTTGGTCCCTAAAAAGTTTGCAACTACATAAATTTTCAATACTTTATACCAGGTTTTCCCTACAGACTGCAGTATGAAGCTCTTAAAAAAGGGTCTATTAAGATTAACAGACAATTAAGATATTGCAAAACTATGATATGAACGCTCTTAATTTTAGTAATCAATAACAGAAACCCACTGTAACTACCCACTGGTACATTACGGCTTGAATAGACGAGGAACAGTCGTCGCCTTAAGCAATAGACAATTTTATTCCACGTGGATAAAAACAATTCTACTGTCAGACACAAACTTGCATTATGAAATTTTGTGTTCTATTTTAACAAACAAAAAACATACACCGAAGACACCCTAGTCTGTACAAGCCCTTTAGTATTTAAGTTAATGCAGACACTTATGTTACTTTGTTATCTATGATAATGTTCAAAGAATAGACACAAGTTTATTGAAATGTGTCTATCTTCTAATGTACCGTCTATAATAATTTGTTGACTGTTGTAGCAGTTGTATTGGCTATTTTACTTACTTTATTATTTAGGTATTTAGGTTATTTTATATTGTTTTACTTAATTTGATTTTAACATTGGCAATTCATAATTTTTATAATGTCTTGATATAATTAAGTATTGCGTGTTTATATTTAGTGAAAACGTAATTTTGAGTAATTGTTGTTTGATTTTTAAAAAATATCATGAATGATTTTTGATGATAGTAGGATCATTTTGAAGAATGTATAATGGTAAAATTTATATTTTCTGGTTTATGATCCTATAAGCCTTAATCTTGTGCCTACAATAATAATTTGAGATTATTGAAACCACTTGTTAGAATCTAATGATATGAAAATAAATTATGGAAAATAATGGCAGTATTTTTATTCTTTGTATCTATGATATCAAAAAGAAATTTAAGTCTTTTAAATCGACACTTTAACAATATATGCTAATGCACCAGTGAGTGTTAATGGGGCAGAATGAAAGGACAAATTCATTAGGAAATAAACCACAATATTTTCTATTAATATTGCTAGTAATGGGGCTAGAAGCCTCTATTACTAGCAATACCAGAGGGAGACTTTGTACAAAAGTCGATTGCTTGGGTACCTCTGTCCCATTCATGTTTCTATCATGAAGCAGTTTGCATGGCTACGTTTTGGTTTGAAGGGTGGGATATGGCGTGAATTTACAGGATACAGAGGAATAACACCTGAGTCCTCAGGAATGGCAACGCATAGGAGGTATCATGGACGAAACAATATACTCTATTATGTCCATGGTATTGCTCATGTCTATAGGCGACCGTTACCACTTTCCATCAGGTGGATGTCAGCTTGTTTGCCATTCTAAGTTGTATAAAAAAAGAATGTTACTAACAACTTGATCCATTAAATAGAAGTAGTGTGGAATGAATTTATACTTTACCTTTTCCATAATGTTCCTGATTTTTATCTATATACCTACTTACTACAATGTGGAATTTTTACTGACAAGTTTCATATTGAGCAATATGTTAGGTACAATTTTTTAGGTAGGAAAGACATTGTTGGTTATAGTCTGATAGCCCCATTGATAGCAATATACCCTCAGGTTTAGCTCCATGTGATCCCCCAGGACACCCAGGAAACCGCTATGGTTGATTCTTGTCAAATTTGTCATGATGGGCTAAGACTTATTTTGTTTTTACTGGTGACCTGCCAGAACATGGTTGACATTTGATGTTCACCCATTAAAAAAAGAAAACAAAAGTATTATTTTAGGTTTATATTTATTACAACAGTTTTAAATGTCCTGTCACTTTATCAACAATATCTTTTGGTGCTGGTCCTACACCCAGCACTGTAATAGAGTTTGGTGCTATCTGTGTTCTACCAGCGTCCCTAATAAGAGATGTGATCAATCCCATCTTCTTAGCATTATCAGCTATTTGCTTAATTTCATCTACAGAGTCAGTTTTAAGAGCTATTTTAGCTTGACCAGTAAACTGCCACAATTTTAATCCCTCTGGATCCTTCCTCTGAGCCTTTTCAAATGCTCCCACAGCAGCATGACCACATTGTGCGGCAATTTTACCTTTACTCATATTCAGATCTGTTCTTACAACTAATACAAGTTTATATTCATTATTTGATGCAAACTGAAAAAAAAATTAAATTAAACTAAATTTTTAACTAAATTCAATGATGTTACTTATGTGAAATAAAGATGGATATCCTCTGGTGTATTTAAAATTATTTTCCAGGAGGGCTGACATATATACTCTCAAACATGTCTTGGCGAAATTTCGCACAAATCATGGAACGAGCAATAGTCAATTCTGGGGCAGTCACGGCTCAAACAAATACATTTACAAACTTTTTTATTAAAGCATTTTGGGATTTTCTAACATATGTAATGTACTAGTAAGAACGAGTGACGCTACATGAAATAGCTGCTTAAATTATTAAGTTAAAAGCGGTTTAGATTATAACTTACCTTTTTTATAGCTTTCGCGGTATTAGCAACAGAACCTGCAGAACCAAAGTACTTCTTTAGTACAAATACGGATAACCCAATACAGAGACCGCATCCCAAACCAGCCCAAAAAGACGGGTTTAAGTCCATCTTACGTTTGCTGTGAATGATTACAATATTTTATCTATATGTTATTTTATTGAAAACTTTTGTTATGCACAAAAAAAAGAAAATTTAATATTTTCCTAACCTATAGGTTTTTCAAAAAACATTGTAAGTAAATTGCTTAATCGCATACAATGGTACAATTGTACAATGTTTGCCAAAGTAGTTGCTGTTATAAACTGTCACTGTCAGTCATGACACTTGTAGTCATACATTAAAATTAAAACCATAGATAGACATTAATTAATTTTACAATTACGCTAAGAATTTTTAACAATCATAAGTTTCTTGATCGCAGATACTCTTCTTTGAAATGAAATTCAATGAAATGTTTTCCAAAATTTCGGGGTCGAACGATATACAAATTTGATGTTAAAATTACGTAATACATACCGTATGAAGTATTAAAAATGTTAAAATATCATTTCTTTGAATTTTTATAGTAGGATTTATGAAGTATGAAATGTTAACCTCCATTTACTGGGCTTATTTCAGTATGAATCTTTGTTTACTTGGTATAAAAAAATCTAAAACATATGTTGCTGTCAAGAGGCCAACAAAATGTTATTATCAATTAAAAGGTCAGCTAAACTGCTAATTCGTATAAAAATTATATTAAGTAGAACGACTGCTCTTATCTGGTATCTTAACATATAATAGTATATTTAGTTCCTCCATCCCTCTGTAGAAGCTGCAACAATGTTTGTTTACTACACATACTATATGGGACGAAGGAGGACATAAGGCATTTTATCTCGGTCACGCAAACAAAGTTACTGGTAAAAGTTTATATAAAATATGACAATGAAGATTGACAGCTAATATTGTTTAATTTTCAGCAATCATAAACTGTTCCCTTTTAGAGAGCTAATGACAATCGACCATAATATTTATGACAGCTGTTTAATAGTGTGATTCATTCATTCTTTCAATATTCTTGATACTTTATTACAATCATTAATTCATTATACTTATTATATTTATTGATTATAATATATTACTATTTTCATTCAAGTTTGCATTCAATGGTTTTCATTTTAATTTGTATATTGTAATAGTTATTAAATACTTCCTCAATATATACTTAATCAATGATTTTTGATAAAAATGATTATGATATTTTACCACGATAGTTAAATTTGGGGGTTCAATGTACAAATAATATCCAAATAAAGAAATTATCCTATAACAAATACCATTAATGCGTGCACTTGAAAATTGAAATGAAAGATAAATTTTCTTTCATTTCAGTCAGCCAATAATAATTTAATATTTAGTTGGAATTAATTTAAATTTATTTTCAAGCCGAAAAGATATATTCAATATGTTTATTGATATAAATATTGTTTCGACGTACACTTTTTAAAGTTCTATTTTGAAATAAGTTGACGAGACAATAAAAATGGTACATCACTAAATTGAAAAGAATGAGAAAAAAAATAAATGAACTCCGTCTTCAGTGCGCTTCACTTGTGTTTTTTTCTGATTTTACTGTCATTAAGCACATAATTTGATGCATATTTTGTATGCAACAGTTATTTTGACTATATATCGTACTCTATTATGCTCCAAATTACTACGGGGAGTGCTCTAAGTGCTTCTAATAACTAAAATCAATAACAATCAGTGACCAACAAAGGTACGCTTGTGTTTGCTTTTACTGGCCTTATAACCTGTGTTTTGTACTAGCGTCCGGTTGGCGTCTGTCATAATTTGCAAGAAATTGTCTATTATGCGTTATTTTGTTGCAATATCGGTGCGGAAATGTGGTTTATAGTGTTTACTGTGTGTGCTTTATATTACGGTTTCTGTTTTTAGTTACCGAGATGAATTATGAAGCGGATAGGGCTATGAATCAAAAGCGGTTACGAATGGAGGGCGAACCGGGCCACGGTGTTGTCCAAGGAAACGGTTTGCCGCTAAATTATATAGGTAAGTTGTATAAGTCTAATTTAATAAACTGTGAATTGTAAAAAAACAAAGTCTTAATACATCGCATTATTGTTTTGATAAAGTTTTCTTAGAGTATAATATAACCGCGCAGCATTTTCCCCCAAATAAATGTTACAGTTATATATTTACCATTACAGTGTTTATGTGAACTGAAAAACATTTAAAAATGATTCAGGATTTTTTCATATACACAATTATAAATATATTTATAATATTTATGAGTTAGTAAGATTGTTTGGAATTTCATTTTGGTCATTTTATAAGTAAAAGTATAGAAATATAAACTTAATTGCACTCTCAAACTGTTGGTTAATTTGTTTATTAATTTATCATCATTAAATAATCATAGTTTCAAATTTCATAAAAATATTAGTAGTGGCTATATCAAATAAAAATTATCAAATAGTATTTGAAATAAGTGGAAAATTAACTAATTGTTATAGATTGTCTAAATGGTACCTTCTAAAATCCAAAGAATTAAAAATGTGTGTCTTGGACCACCATCGGATTGCTATTGAATATGTTTTGTTACAAACACAAACAGTACCATGTCTGTATATGGTCACACACATTGAAGTAACAATTTGGTGAGGCGTGCCATGTTAAAGTAGACAATCTGTACCTCAACTGTTACTACAAGATTTTATATCCATCTTTCTTTCTCTTATTATGGCACATTATGTTTTGCTTAGTCGATTAGATTTATATTGTATACTTCCAATGTTTGCTATACACATTACTATATAGAAAATTCTAATTAATTGAACAAAATTTCTGTTATATGGGAAGGAAAAGGATATAAGAAGTGGGTTCCGCGAAACCTAGGCGTTCCATAAAAAAGTCACCAGGGTTCTGCAAAATTATTTATATAGTGAAATAATTTCAATCTTCACATTAAAAATTAAAAGAAACTGGTATTATAGTTTTAAAATATTTCTAATAAAAGCTTTAGTTTATATATTATTTAAATTACAGTGTTTTTGATTTGTAATTGTTTCATATGGGGTTCTATAAAATAAAAGGTATTTGGCTCCCATTCTATTATCTTAAACGTTTAGAAATCCCTGCCATATAGGTAGTATGCATATACTAAATTTTGTTACTGTTAAGGGACTATAAAGTTACAAATAAACAAACTCACTTTTACATTCATAATATTAATAAGGATTATACTTGATGTTTTTGCCTTTAGGCATTCTCAATGGTCAGACAAATGTAATAAAATTGATAAGATGAAATGCCATGAATAAATGTAATATGTAATGATTTATTTACTATTTTATTTTTATCACACACATCAAGAAACATAAAAGTAATTTTAGTGACTTCTTATTAGAATTTATATCCTGTTCCTCTTTCTATCACTTTTTTTTATTATTTTTGGTTATGAGAGGTTTTTGTAAGGATAAAGGTCTTTGGTAGTCTGCCTTTCTTGCAGTTGTTGTGAGTTGAAATCTGGATGACACGAGAAACTTACTGTTAATTTATATTTTTGACTAACTCTCTGGGGATGGAAAAAATAGGTGACAAATAAAATTACTATAGACTTGTTTGCTTAAATGATTCTGACTATACCATTAGGTATTATAATTTCACCCGTTACCTGACCACTGCGGAACATAAGCCTTCCCCATATGGGGACTTAGTATCCACCAGGTACCAGTAGGTAGTTGCCACTCTTGGTAGGCGGGTCGTCACCAGTTTTTTTGAGATGTTTTAAGAGGGATGCTGCTGCCTGCGTTCTTAGTCGACTCTTATGACATCCACGGGAAAGGAAGGGGTGACCTATTCTATATCGGAACCACGCAGCTGCAGCAGCAACAACATTAGGTATTATAATCATGAAATTTTTTTCTACACATTTTTTTCTATTGACCAGATTTAAACTCATGATTGTTGCACCTTATAAGTCAGCATCATATACAACTGGATACTCTTAAAGGCTTATTGTCGAAAAATAGGCCACAAACTTAATACCCAGCATATTAGACAGTTCTCTGAGGTTTTAGTGTTACACATTTTTTTGCCTGAAAATGCAAATTTCCCCGTTCTTCAATAATTCTTGTCACACTCATATAATTTTAACTAAATAATGTCGTACATCAGAGGTATTTAGGAAAAATTTATATGATTGCCCTAAATAATAGCAATAGAAGCCAAAACTATAAATTTAAGAATTTTAGTCTGTCTGTATGTTTGTTCAGTGTTTGTTCATGTGAAAATTATTCCTGAAAGTCTAACATAAAATTTGTTGTAAGTTTTAGCTCGATATGTCATATGGACATGGTTGCTTATTAAAAAAATTTATGTGTATCAAAATGCGGATTGCATAATAAGCTCTCACAATAATTATTTATTTATTTATTATTTTTTTATTTATTTATTATTTATTTATTTATATATAGGATTACCAATATAAGATACAGCTAATCATTTCAATACAATACACTGGTAGTAATCTACCTGTTCTTATATTTATAGGCATAAACATTAAAATAGAATTAAATTATTAAATGTAATTTAATATAATATAAATAATGGAACTTGTAAATTTATTTTAAATTATAAATAAATATAATGTAATGGTAAGGTACATCAAGGAAGTTTACAGTTATAATAAATTAATAATTAATTATAAATGAAAACAAGAATCTAATTAGAAGTTACCACATATAATTAACAAAAATAGTATTTCAGTCTAGATAATTAATAATTTTGAAAACACAGGCCAAATGTCATTAAAATCAATTATTCAGTAATTTATGATGGTTTTTCTTATAACTGCTGCTACTATTAAATATACCTATTTCGTTATCCCTACTATATAAATTACTAAATAATACTAAAGAAATTTTATTATTAAACTATTTATTGATTAATTTTACAATATGAATATAAATAATTAAAAACTACAGAATATATTAAATAATACTAATAACAATTACGATATGAATACATACATACCAATACTTAAATAATGAATAATAATAATAAGAAAATACGTACTTATCGTTATATACTATTTCGAAAGTGAAAAAAGTGTTGTCCTCCTCTCTCCTACTCTCTCCTCTTGCTGTGCCCAACAGGGTCCATAATTGAAACCTTATGTACTAATTATATTATGGAATGCAATAAGAAATAAATAAATAAATACATAATTAATATTAATAATAAATTTATTTAAACAAAAATGCGGATACACGATTTCGTTATCAGTAATTACTATACTAGGCTCACTTTTTTAGGCTTTATTATTATTCGAATAATCCTATTTAGAAGAATTTACCAGAGGGAGACTTTGTACAAAAGTCGATTGTTTGGGTACCTCTGTCCCATTCGTGTTTCAACCGTGAAGCAGTTGTGTTTGCATGGCTGTGTTTCAATTTAAAGGGTGGGATATGGCGTGAATTTACTGGGTACAGAGGAATAACACCTGAGTCCTCAGGAATGGCAACGCATGGGGGGTATCATGGGCAAAACAGACATTGGTACTGCTCATGTCCAAAGGCGACGGTTACCACTTTCCATCAGGTGGGCCGTCAGCTTGTTTGCCATTCTAAGTTGTATAAAAAAAAAGAAGTAATCATATTAATGTTAATCACGGTTTATTACAGACAATGGTCACCAAATACCTTACCAGCCGTACGCAGGAGCGTACAACACGCACTACCCGCCCCCAGACGCGTTCGCGGCGTACGGCCCGCCGCCGCCCGGCGGCTACGCTCCCCAGAACCTGTCGTACGCGCCGCCCGCCCACCAAAACTATCCCCACCACCAGACCTTCCCCCCACAGCAGCCCCAAGCACAACTTCACATGCCACAGTCACACATGGGTAAATATAGTATGTAGACGATTTGATTTATTTATAATATAAAAAAAAATATGATGGAGAAAAAAATAATATATTGTTTTTTGCTATGGGTTTACAGACAGTTAATGAATGTTTAAGGAAAAAGTTATGAAATATTTATTTAAAATTATTTGAATTGATTTTTTAGTAAATAGCATTAATAAAAAAAGAGAAATATGGTGCCAATATTTCTACTTTTAAGTAACTTAAAAAAGTTTGACGCGATGCCTTTGCGAATTTGTGTCGATTTTAATTATTATTTTTTTATTAATCTGTAAGGTTACTTCCATATTAATTCCAAATGATTTTTTATAAAATCTTATTGTAAATTATTTTATGTCTCGAACGCTTTTTAATATTTTTTTCTTTATTGATATTTGGATTTAATTAATAATATTATTTTTGTATATTTTTCTTTTTCTACTACTCAGTAATTCACAATCGAACTTGACAAATTTATTAGACACTTTCACGACAGCTTTCACCAAGCTGAAATAGTGTTGTTCAAGGTGAACACAATACTTAAAACAAATGTAAGAAAAAAGAAATATTCAAAAATACGATTTTCTAATTAACTAATTCATAATGTTGACCCTCTAGTGCAAGGCTACGGCGACGTAGGAGTGCACAAGCCGGCGTGGCCGCCGCAGAGTCACCTGCTGCCGCCCCTCGACACGCAGAAGCCTCTCGACGTGAAGCAGCTCAAGCCGGAGATCAAGTTGGAACCGGCCGACTCGCAGAAGAGACCGCATCCAGAGAATGAGATGATGGTGAGAGGATATATTTTTTTCTTAAAACAAATTAAACTTTATTTGAGATTTCCATAAATGCTCTTTTATATCGTCACTTTTTTGTGATTCTACTATAGTTTCCGAAAGTTATCTCTAGGGTAAACTATAAGAAACTTAACAGCAAATTGTCTTTTCGAATCTCTGTTAATATTTAGTTTTTTTTTTTTTTTTTAATAAACACCAATAGTCATTACACAGTGCTATCTAACTTGACTAATAATAATTTAAGATTGGGTTTCATACAAAAAATTGACTTTGACTGTGCCAAAACCAGTAATTTTAATCTAGAAACGAAACTACTGAAACGGTTTTTATGAAATTTCTATGGGATCAATGTATAGGTATATCCATTCAGTTAAAAAAGAACTTTTCAACTTATGAGGTAACAAACATAAAAAAATACAACCGAATTCTTTTTGAAGTCAGTTGAAAATTCTTTTTATATTAAATACCATTTTTTTTTCGATGGGTGAAAATGGTATGGTAACCCCGCCTACGCTAACGGGATACGCTGGCGGAGTACCAGTGAAGGGTGATAGATGAGAATAAAAACAGGCCAGTTAGCCCATCATGATGAATTCATCAGGAATTAACCATGATAGTTTCCAGGGGGAACCGCGAGGAGGTCGAACTGGTTGGGTATATTGCTAGCAATGGGATTCTCAGTCTCCATTACTAACAATTCCTTTTTCCCCCTTGAGGAAGGTTATAGGTTATATGGTTATAGGTAACACGATATGAGCACGGGCGAAACCGCAGGATACAGGTAGTAGGGTGTATGGCTAGATATCGGATCACTACCCCTGTCACTTTCTCCCCAATCTAAGAGTTAAAAATATGAAATGTTGTTTTTTTTTTTAATTATATGTTGTTTTAACTTTAATTCGCTCTGTTGAAGGGTGGCGATATGGATCAGCCTAAAATCAAGATTAAGACAGACATTTTTAAGCCTGACGACCTGGCCCACAGACCCGCTGGCGAGAAGCCACTCGGTGAGTGTAAATGGATCATTTTTTTTGTGTCGATCATCGATCAATTATAATAAGATAAAGTGGGAGTATAAGAATAAACTGCGGGTCTAGCATGAAATGAAATTCCGAATTTTCGAAATCAATTTCGTATTTTTGTTTATACCAAAATCGGACCAATGAATGGAGTTTAACATTTCGTTCGTCATACATCCTATTATAAAAGTCCAAAGGAATGATATTTTAACATTTTTAATATTTCCAAACGGCGTGTATTATGTCATTTTAACATCAAATTTCTATTTTGTATGGTTCCGAAATTTCGGAAAACATTTCATGGTAGGCCCTCTGTGCTTTTTTTTCTGAAATAAAATCTTATGTTACTGAATTTTGCTGTCTGTACGTACCTAGGTATTATGTAGGTGGGTGCCTATCTTTATAATGTATCTTTCAATTTTTTGTTTCGTTTGGCCCCGAAATTTCGGAAAACATTTCATGGTAGGCTCTCTGGTCTAACCAGATATGTACATATGCTTTCTTTTGTAAATGTACATATGTTGTTTTTGTAAACTTATAACAAATATACAAACATCTTTATATTTTTTTTATACAACTTAAAATAACAAGCTCATGGCTCATCTCACTATACCATGGATATAACAGAGAACATTGTGTCACTTGAAATACCAAAATTTTATCGTTACCCGCGGAATCAGCTGTCTAAGGTCAATGCCACAAACGTACGAAACCTACCTACGAAGAAGTTCTATCGACCGCGCGCTGTATATATCTCGCGTCGTGAGTATCGTAAAATTTGAAATACATTGCGCGGCGTCAAACTGCGAATCGTTTATTATATGGTTGTGATGCATTTCTGGTAGGAAAATAATCCGCTATTCGATTCAGACAATTAATTTGAATCGACTGTTTTCGTTTTGGCAAACTTGTTCTTTTCACCCTGTATAATTATTATTATAGTATGAAGTAGATAGCAAATAAAACAAAAAGCTATAAATCTTTGTGGATAGAAGTGATGCGTTACAGTAAAAAATCTCTGTTACAGATGTTCAAAAGCCCTTGGAGCCCCATAAAACAGATCAACAAAATAAAGGTGAAGTATTCATATTTTGGTCCCAAGCATATCTAATGGAAAAGGCATGGGCATCAGCGCCTCTCTTAAAATATTACAAAAGTTTAACTGCAGTTGGCAACCCGCCTGCCAAGCGTTGCAAACTATTGGCAAATAATAAATTTCCTACTGTAATCTTTAGGAGGAGACAATAAAGAGTACCTATCGACCCAATATCGAAATTATAATCAACATGTCCAAATTTATTCGTATTTATTTGTGAATTGGCTACTACAAACCAGTGACTCCATATTAAATGTAAGATTTGATCATTCCAGACGAAGGTCATCCGGGCGAGGTCAAATCCGGGGACAAACCTACAGGTATGTTTTGTAATATATCAAAGACTCGATTGTATGCGGTGAGTTCGAAATTAGTATTTTTATGCAACTTGCAGTACAAAGAAGTTTACTGTCAAAGCTGATGAAGGATAGAACCTATTGTTTATAGAAATAAACAACAGCACTATGTTTTAATGTAATAACTACTGGTTTACTTTACGTGTAGCCGTTCATGATTAAAGATCACGATTTGATTCCAAAACTAGTAAATTTTTCTCGATCTAATTACACGTAAGTTAAACCGCTAGTTATTACTTTACGAAACTTTTATATTTTAAGGACTAAGATGTTATGTTTCAATTCGCTGTTAAGAGCGTTTATAACATACTGTGGCAAAGTTGCAATTGTCTGTCGTAGCCGACCCCCTATGGGGGAATCGTCAGTTTAGAATCTTCACAAGTCTTGGGACCGAGCTGGGTGTGGATCGTGGCGTGTTTGGGCGATAAAAAGTAACTTATTTACACTATACACGAAAGAGGGTATCGCGATATGTACATGAATACAGTCATTGACGATACCGCAGCGAAGTTTGTAGTCGACGCCGGGTACGAGTGAGCGCGTGCGCATGGCAAGCCGCAGCCCGGAAGACTGGCTATGCGTGGCGGTATTGGCGGCGCGGGGGGCGCGGTAGCTAGGGATGGGATCAACCTCGACTGTTATATCTACTGTCAATTTTCGAAAATAATTGATCATTTCTTTATGTTTCTGATTGATTATTAAAAAAGTGCTCTGCTAGCGAACTAAAATGATCATCATGCAATAATATTAAGTAAGCTATCACTGAAAATTTGAATTTCATTTTTTAATAAAAAATTTCAAAACAAAATATGAAGTAAGTGCAAAGAATGATAGATGTATTCTATGATTAATGTTTCAGATCGCTAGCAGAGTATGTTTTAATTAAATCGTCAGAAACATAAAAAAATGTTAAATTGTTTTTTTTTTTTAAATTGTCAGGTAAATGCGACGTTGTCACGCTTCGTTATGAAGCAAAAGTTATGAACGCACTTAATTGACAGCTTGGTGGTACAAACACAAGTACAAAGTCCTCGAGTAATATTGTAGGTGCTAGTTATAAGTTAGTTATATAGAATTTGAAGTGAACGGTTCGCGTATTGCAGAGACGTGCAAGTCAGAGGCGTCAGCGGAACGCGCGGCGGACGACCAGCGGCCGGCCGAATCGAAAACCCCTACAGCTGATAAATCGTAAGTGAAGATTAACTCCCCTATTCATAAAAACTTAAATGTTTTCTGAACTAGGTGTTAAATTAGGGAAGTCTATATCGTTGGTTTTTTTTATTAGTATTATTTTGTTTAATTCCGCTAACATTAGTATTTGTGTGACAGCCGAAACTAGAAGATTGACCACCACTATTTATATTATATTATAACTCATATTGTTAATATCTTTACTCATATAATGACATTTAATAATTTAATTCTATTTTAATGTTTATCAAACACAAGGCACGCTGTGGTTGCCTATAAATGTAAGAACAGTTAGATCTAATCTACCAGTGCATTGTATTGAAATGTTTAACTGTATCTTATGTTGGTAATCCTATAAATAAATAAATATTAACCATCAATCTTCGACTGCCATTTTGTTCACGATGATGATGATGATATAATGTACCATAGTTCTAAACAATTTAAAAAGAGAAGAAACTTCTCAATTTGCTTGTATTTTTTTATGTTTGTTACTTCATAACTCCGTCATTGATAAATCGATTTGGAAAATTATTTTTTACCTGAAAGGATATTAAGGGTATACTTTTTGATTATTCCCATTGAATTTTTATCAAAATCGGTTCAGTAGTTTAGGTTTTAAATAAAGGATATAATTATGTTAAATAATAATTTGCTAAATCGGTTTATAAATGACAGAGTTGTGGTGAAAAAAAAAAAACAAATTGAGTATCTCCTCCTTTTTTGAAATCGGTTGAAAATATTAATTAAATTTTGTTTTATATGTATATTGTATCCCACTACTGTTATATTTTAGAGTGGAGGACAGGAAACCGTTCAATAGTCCAGATATAGCAAAGTCCGCGAGTACGCCAGGCAAGACGCCCACCCCCGGCTCTGAGGTGAGTGTCATATGTTTATAAATGAGTTGTCGCACTATAATCTCGATTATCCGGACATCGATTATCCGAATATTCGATTATCCGGACTTATTTTTCACAGCTCTAATTGCCGATTTAGAAATGGTATTATGTATTAATTGGGTAAATAGGTATTATGCAATCCATCATCTTTATAGTTCCTATTATTTTTTATACCGTATTGTCTATATGACGTATATAAAACCTAGTGATCTGAGTTGTTCATTACATCCTCCACTGATCCACCAATGATGGGTTTAGATAGATAACCTTTATTACTAGTATCAAGAAAATAAAAAATTAAAACAACAAAAAAAAAAAAAAAAACAATTAATGTTGCTGGTTGCTAGAGCCACCTCAGCTGTTGCTTTATATGTACAGCTCCAGCGAGATGTACCTATATAGCGCTGATTTTCAGGTGGCCCCTCAACTCCTTTACCTTTAGCATGCGTGCGGGTCGCCAATACCTATTTCTCGGATGGGAGACTCAACACGCTTAACGACAAATACACAAAACATTACAACCAAAACTGAAAAGAACAAACTCTGAATATATTATCCCGCCTCACAATGACAGCATCATAAAAAAAAAAGTTTATCGTTGTTACCGTATACAATTCGATTGTCATCCACCCTCGAGATCAAAGAGTCGACAAGCTAAGAATCGGTTTAAACATTTTTGAGCTGAGTTGTGAAGTTCTTCAGCCAAAGAAGAGAGGGCGGCCGAAGGGGTCGACGAACAAGCCGAAGCCGGCCGGGGCGCCGCTGCGGGCCGCCGCGCCGCGCCCGCCCGCGCCGCGCCCGCCGGGGCCCGCCGTCCCCAGCGGCCCGCGCCCGCGCCTGCCCGGCTACCAGTACGCCGTGCGACCCTTCAGGAAGGACTTCTCCGGCATACAGTTCAGGAGGTCGGTGCTAATAATCAATCAAACAGTATACTTTCTGGCAATCCAATGTGGAAATGCTGCAAGTGTTGTGGGGGACCTTTGGATTAGTTACGGATTATAAATATTATTTTGACTAATTAAAAATGTTAATTTTTTTTTTGATTAAAACATAAATAAAAATGTAACAATACAATTTGAATGAACTGATCCATTACAAAACGATTTTAACTACATTTTAGCGAAATTTGTCACTTTTATTTGTACGAAAATTTAAGTTAAAAAGGCAATAATTAATAGTTAAAATAAATTTATTACATGTTTGATATTATTAAAGGAATTTTGTGAATGATATGCATATTCATTGTATTACTGTTGCCTAATTGAAACTTTTTATGCCAGGCGATGGAGTGATGATTGTCTCGACTCGTCACACATACCCAACGAAGTGTATTTCGGCGACGTGCCGGTCTCGATGGAGGTGCTGTTCAACTATTACGACGCGAACGCCGAGAGGGAGAAGTTGGCCACACAGGCTGCCCTCATAGCGGCGCAGAAAGCGGCCGCTGCCAAGCTAGCTGCCGCCAAACTGCAGGCCAGGGGACTGTTGTACAATGAGGTAGAATAAATAAATATTTTCTCTCATAGTTAATTTCAAACTTTCGCGTTGTTTACACATATTTTAAATACAAAATCGGTACTTGACATGATGCAAAAGCCTTTACAAGTAAATGGTATCTACATACCTGTTTCTTTATTGTCGAAGTTTCGACGTAGATTGCACCACGTTCTGGTCACGACAGGACTGAAGGTACTATTTGTAAATAGTACCTTTAAAGGCTTTTATATCGTGTTAAGTACCGATTGTGTATTTAAAATATTTTCTCTCATATGTATAAATCTTAAAAAGTAAAAGTGGCTCACAAAGCGGCCGCTGTTATGTTAACTGCCGTCAAATTTTAGGCCAGGGGATTGTTATAGAATTAGGTAAAATAAATATATGCCGTCTCTATATCTGTAAAATGAAAATTTTATCAGCTTACTTTATTTTTTTTTTTAAATACTTAAACAAATTTCAAAAATATTTTACAGAATTTTTAAAAATCTAATAAATAATTTTCCATTTTACACATGGAAAATATAGCTGTAGACATTTAGGCCAGGGGATTGTTGTATGATGAGGTAAAATATGTTTATGTGCGTGTTTGTAATACCTAATGGTGTAGACAAACGCGTAGCTCTCACGACACAGCAAGCGGCAGTTGCCGCCAAACTTCATGGGAGGGAATTTTTAGAAAATGAGTTAGAATAAATGGCGGCACAGAAAGCAAAATATCATGTGACTGTTAAATTTTTAGTGATTGATTTATGTACAACTTATGTTTTATTATAAAACTGGATTAGCTTAGGTGTATTTTAGTCGAGAATGCTCGACTAGTTTCGGGACCATCCGGGACCTTTAGTCGTGGGCAGGTGTGACGCGAGCCGTTATTTTATGTCGTAGTTCGTTATCAGATCATTTTGTTTTTTAATAATCAATCAAAAATATCGAGAATTTATTTTGAAAATTGACAGATAATTGCGGTGTTGCTAGACTACGGTAAGCTTCGATATGAACGCTCCTAAGTCCTTTGTTCTGTCAGCAGGTGACGACAGTGGACTCGTCGTCATCAGAGGACTCGTCCGGCTCCTCTGGCAGTGATTCGGAAGAAAGTGACGATGTAAGTATCTAGTATTAGGCAGTTGTATAAAGGGTGTAGCCGTGCTTCGTTATGAAATCTTCACTGCCGTCTTTATTGACATTGATGCCTTTAATATATTTTTGACCAATTATCAAACCCCTAACTTTATCCGTTTATGGAAAATGGGGGTTGCAAACTGTCATATATATTGATGTGGGTACTTTTATATTTTGTTAAATAATAAAGTGTACTAATGTAGGTAGAACATGTTCCAACATGACATAAACTGATTCAAGCTACACAGCACGTTTTATTTCACAATATTATATAATTAGAACATATTACAAACCCATACTTTAAAATTATTTTCCTACGAAACTATGATAGATATTTGAATAAAACAAAGGCGACATGGAAGCTCCTAACTAACTTTTCAATATATATTTTTTTTATAATTTTCTTAATAATTTTAAAGTCGCAAAAAAATATTGAAGAAAATAGGGGTAGTTTTTAGTGGCTACTTTTTTGGGGTACATCTACAAAAAAAATACAAATATTCAATATATATCTAACTATAAGACAAAATAATTGCATAGATGTGTGATGGGTGGAATTTTTATATTTAAAAAAAATATAAAAATTGTTTGTAAGTAGTCGTAATATGGTAAAGCTCCTTTCGTCAGTTTTTCTCTTAGTTTTTAAATTTATTTGTTACAAATATATAAAAAATCTAATATTTCGTCTTTATAATATTAGTATACATGCTTTATTTGCATTATATAATATAGGGAACAAGCAAGACAATAAATGTAACGATACAGTTGTATAAGTACAGTGAGGCGGCCTTATTGCTGAGAGCAATCTTTTCAAGACAACCTTAGGGCAATGGACTAATTGTTGTACAATAGATATAATATAAAGGGATCTTAAGACAGTAAACTAATTAGTTATGAATTAACTTGTATATGAACTGCCCTATGTGTTAAATAAGGAAACAACCTATCTACAAATTTCATTAAAATCTGTACAGTCGTTTAACCGCGTGACTGACTATACAAATTTTCGTATTTATAATATTAGTGGGGTTTCGACGGTTAACCATCAATACTTCCTAACTTTAAAAAGTAGTTGTAGACATTTTCAATTTATCTATTTTTTTACTTGGAATAAATTAAAAATTAGAATGATTTCCGTGACGTCTGCAAAATTTCGTCCATGTTAGTTAGTAGTTGTTGGTGGTTAACTGTCGATTTGTGTTATGATCAATACGTAAATATTAATATGCTAGCAGGATACGCCGTTAAAACGTGGCCCCGGCCGGCCCAAGGGTTCCAAGAACTCGAGCAGTCCGCGCACGCCCGGCACCGGCAGCACGCCCGGTAGCGGGCGACGTGGGAGACCTCCAGTGCCGCCCGAGTTGCGGCAGCCCGGTATAACGGACATGAAAAAGTTCTGCAAAGCCGCCGGCATACGGTTCGACTATAAGAAGCTTGTTGAAGGTCAGTTATTAACATAGTGCAATAGTAATCTGTATGTATGTGTGTAAATATATATATATATATATATATATATATATATAATAAGGATAGGTTTATTAATATATTTACATAACATTATCATCGTTATCATTTCAGCCATTATCCGTCCACTGCTGGACATAGGCCTCCCTCATATATAACATAACATTATGCAAATAAAATATTCCATTATTTTTATATATACTCAAAGATGTACATTCTGAAACGGCACAATTTTTATTTGCTGTGTTTTTGTAATAATGATTCCTTCTATTTTACTATGTCAAATAACTAATTAAGGACAGAATATGTTGGGGCTTACATGTCTTTATAGGATAAAAACGGTTTTTATTTAATAATTTATTAAAATTATGTTGAAGCAAATCGTTTTAACAATTTAACTTTTTGAAATTGAATCTTTTTGAATCTTCTATCTGTGGTTTCAATTACACTGTTTGAAAATGGAATGCTTAGTATACACACATTTGCACATGTCCATACGTCATATGTTTATGTAGTAGTGATCACGCTGATTTTGTGTGAACCTTTCAAAGTGTGGTAATCCCTTTCGAATTATCTCCTATCTTTAATTTCAATTAGACTGTTTGAAAAAGGAACGCTTGGTATACACACATTTGCACGTGTACAAACGTCATATATTTATATAGTAGTGATTAAACAGTTTTGTATGAAGTGTTGAGAGTATGGTAACTAATTTAATTTGAAGTCCTAATTCAAATTTTAATATATTAGTTGTTTTTGTATACAAATATAGTGAGATTTACATTAGTAACCGAATAACTGTATAATAACTATACTTGCCGAAATGTAGTTAAATGGACTTAATAAAATTTTAATGTACTTAGGGATCTATGTTTAAAATTTATAATGAAATTGTTTCAGGTTGCACAAAGAATAAGGAGCGAGTGGCCAAAATGTTGGACCTACTAACGGCAGCGGGACTCGAAGGGAAGCCTACGTTAGAGAAGTGCAAGGCACTGAAGCAGGCGAAGATGGAGAAGAAGGAACAGGAGAAGCAGTCCAAGAAGGAGGCTAAGGTCAAGCACAAAGAGGAAAGAGGTCGGTGGCATTGTATCGATTTGGAATTTATAGGATTTTTGTTTTTTTAGGGTCCAGTAGTTGTACAGTGTCTCATAAAATTGAGTTAAATACCCAGGATTATTGGGAAGATTGAACAGAATTTATTTGCTAAGTACATAGTTTTTTTTAATGGGTGAAGATGGAATGGTAACCTCACGTGTGCTATCGGTATACGCTGGGCGGGGTATCAGTGAAGGGTGACAGGTGAGGATGAAGGCAGGCCAGTTGGTAGTCCATAGTGACCAATTGAACAAGAATGAACCATGATGATTTTCAGGGGAAACCGCGTACAACTTGATCTGACTTGAGTGTATAGCTAGCAATGGGGCTGTTAAATTTTATTACTAACTAGCTTTCGCCCGCGGCTTCACCCGCGTGGATCTTTGTTATCGCAATATGCAATTTTTGGAAATAACTCGATAGATTTATTTGGATAAGGATTAATACTGGAGTATGAAAATACCACCCAGATGGCGACCAGCGTGGTTATTCGTAATTTTAGAAAGTAAAGTGATTATTGTGACCTAATCGTAATAGTTAGACATATGCTATCGCGAACTTATTTGTAGATCTCAATGAGTACTTTAAAATCGTAGAACATTGTTTTTCATTATAAGCAACTATTTAGTCAGTGCGCGCAAGATAAGCGAATTTTATACAATTTTTCTTCCGACTTGCTCGACATAAATGGTCAAAGGATGTAGCTATCGATTGGTGAAAGAATTTTTGAAATCAGTCCAGTAGTTTCGGAGCCTATTCGTTACAAACAAAAAAACAAATGCTTCCTCTTTATAATATTAGTGTAGATTATAGCGACCTGCCCCGGATTCGCACGGGTACAATGCTAAGCGCAAAAAATGCGTTAATTTACGACATCACATTAGAAACCTGATAATTATGCACAGTGGACCCGCCCTCGCTTCGCTTCGGGTACCATTTTTACCCCCGTAGGAGTTACTTTTCAAAACATCTATGTCCTAAAAGTTAAAACTTACCTACCTATACCATACTGGTACGGTGAGAATTATGAAGTTTTATTTAACACGCCTCGCGCGCTAGACCTCTAAAATTATCAGTGTTTCTCTACCTCCCCTCCCGCACGCGCACCCTTGGTGACGCTCACTTCGCAACGGGCCGTGTAGCAGAAATCGTAATATTTTAATTTCGCCATAATTTCAAAACAAACGTCCGATTTTAATTCTTCAAAGACCAAATATTATCTACATAAACTGTACTTAGTGATGAAATAATTTATTTTGATAAGGATTAATAGCACGAGTAAAATAAAAACATTTAAATGTAGTAAAAAAAAATCAAGATTTTTAAATAAAAAAATGGTTGTTGTGCCTCACTCGACATAGATAGGTATAGTGTGTCGCGGACTTTTTTGTAGATATTAATAAGATCTACAATTAATTAGGACATTTTATGGTTCTATCTTTTATAGTTTAGGCAGCGTATGCCAATAAGTAACTTTTCTGGTTGATTTTTTTACATTTTGTGCCTGATAAACCTAAATATTTTACGGAACCCTATTTTTTTTCCAAAATAAAATTTAGCCTATGTTACTCGTGGATAATATAGCTTTCGAATGGTGAAAAAATTTTTAAAAACGGTCCGGTAGTTTTTGAGCCTATTCATTACAATCAAACAAACAAAGTTTTCCTCTTTATAATATTAGTGTAGATAATTCGATTTCATCAGCTGAGTAATTTACTGGGACAGATACAGTATTGATGGCTAAGTTATTTAGTTAGTTGGGGTGGAGGGAGAAGAGGATTGTTAGTAATGTGAATTATACAATATACCCTGTCAGGTTGACTTCCAAGTGCCCCCTGGAAACCATCGTGCTGAATTCCAGGTGTATTCATCACGATGGGCTAACTGACCTGCCTGGGGGGGGGGGAAGGGATTGTTAGTAATGGAGACTGAGAATCTCATTGCTAGCAATATACCCAACTAGGTCGACCCCCTCGCGGGTCTCCCTGGAAACTATCATGGTTAATTCCTGATGAATTTATCATGATGGGCTAACTGGCCTGTTTTCATTCTCATCTATCACCCTTCACTGGTGCTCCGCCAGCGTATTTCGTTAGCGCAGGCGGGGTTACCATACTATTTTCACCCATCAAAGAAAAAACTGACCTATTTTTTCATTCATCCATCATCCCTCAATGGTGCCCCGCCAGCATATATCGAGTGTAGCGGGGCCACCGTTCCATTATTATCCGTTAAAAAAAAAGTTTGCTAGTTTGTGTTGAGAGTGAGTATCGGTCGGCAGAGGGCGGGTCGGGCGGCGATGGCGACGAGGCGGGCGTGCCGCGACGCATGACGCGCGGCGCGACGGGCGTGAAGCCGCGCCAGCGCATCGTGATCTCGTCCGACGAGGAGGACGACACGCCCGCCGCGCGCCGCACGCTCTCCAAGCTGCGCTCCAGCGTCAACGACCACTCCGACTCCGACTAGGTACAGTACACTACACGCACCCACACACCGGCACACCACTACACTACACTACACTACACAGTACACTGATCGATGCATCGTGATCTCGTCCGACGAGGAGGACGACACGCCCGCCGCGCGCCGCACGCTCTCCAAGCTGCGCTCCAGCGTCAACGACCACTCCGACTCCGACTAGGTACAGTACACTACACGCACCCACACACCGGCACACCACTACACTACACTACACTACACAGTACACTGATCGATGCATCGTGATCTCGTCCGACGAGGAGGACGACACGCCCGCCGCGCGCCGCACGCTCTCCAAGCTGCGCTCCAGCGTCAACGACCACTCCGACTCCGACTAGGTACAGTACACTACACGCACCCACACACCGGCACACCACTACACTACACTACACTACACAGTACACTGATCGATGCATCGTGATCTCGTCCGACGAGGAGGACGACACGCCCGCCGCGCGCCGCACGCTCTCCAAGCTGCGCTCCAGCGTCAACGACCACTCCGACTCCGACTAGGTACAGTACACTACACGCACCCACACACCGGCACACCACTACACTACACTACACTACACAGTACACTGATCGATGCATCGTGATCTCGTCCGACGAGGAGGACGACACGCCCGCCGCGCGCCGCACGCTCTCCAAGCTGCGCTCCAGCGTCAACGACCACTCCGACTCCGACTAGGTACAGTACACTACACGCACCCACACACCGGCACACCACTACACTACACTACACTACACAGTACACTGATCGATGCATCGTGATCTCGTCCGACGAGGAGGACGACACGCCCGCCGCGCGCCGCACGCTCTCCAAGCTGCGCTCCAGCGTCAACGACCACTCCGACTCCGACTAGGTACAGTACACTACACGCACCCACACACCGGCACACCACTACACTACACTATACTACACAGTACACTGATCGATGCATCGTGATCTCGTCCGACGAGGAGGACGACACGCCCGCCGCGCGCCGCACGCTCTCCAAGCTGCGCTCCAGCGTCAACGACCACTCCGACTCCGACTAGGTACAGTACACTACACGCACCCACACACCGGCACACCACTACACTACACTACACTACACAGTACACTGATCGATGCATCGTGATCTCGTCCGACGAGGAGGACGACACGCCCGCCGCGCGCCGCACGCTCTCCAAGCTGCGCTCCAGCGTCAACGACCACTCCGACTCCGACTAGGTACAGTACACTACACGCACCCACACACCGGCACACCACTACACTACACTACACTACACAGTACACTGATCGATGCATCGTGATCTCGTCCGACGAGGAGGACGACACGCCCGCCGCGCGCCGCACGCTCTCCAAGCTGCGCTCCAGCGTCAACGACCACTCCGACTCCGACTAGGTACAGTACACTACACGCACCCACACACCGGCACACCACTACACTACACTACACTACACAGTACACTGATCGATGCATCGTGATCTCGTCCGACGAGGAGGACGACACGCCCGCCGCGCGCCGCACGCTCTCCAAGCTGCGCTCCAGCGTCAACGACCACTCCGACTCCGACTAGGTACAGTACACTACACGCACCCACACACCGGCACACCACTACACTACACTACACTACACAGTACACTGATCGATGCATCGTGATCTCGTCCGACGAGGAGGACGACACGCCCGCCGCGCGCCGCACGCTCTCCAAGCTGCGCTCCAGCGTCAACGACCACTCCGACTCCGACTAGGTACAGTACACTACACGCACCCACACACCGGCACACCACTACACTACACTACACTACACAGTACACTGATCGATGCATCGTGATCTCGTCCGACGAGGAGGACGACACGCCCGCCGCGCGCCGCACGCTCTCCAAGCTGCGCTCCAGCGTCAACGACCACTCCGACTCCGACTAGGTACAGTACACTACACGCACCCACACACCGGCACACCACTACACTACACTACACTACACAGTACACTGATCGATGCATCGTGATCTCGTCCGACGAGGAGGACGACACGCCCGCCGCGCGCCGCACGCTCTCCAAGCTGCGCTCCAGCGTCAACGACCACTCCGACTCCGACTAGGTACAGTACACTACACGCACCCACACACCGGCACACCACTACACTACACTACACAGTACACTGATCGATGCAACGATACACCAGTACACCAATACACAGTACACTGATCGATGCAACGATACACCGGCACACCACTACACAATACACTGATCGATACAACATTACACCCGTACATCACTACATAGTGCACTGATCGATACAACGATACACCGGCACACCACTACACAGTACACAGACCGATGCAACGATACACCGGTACACCAGTACACAGTACAAGTGTTAATGCAACATTACACCGGTACATCACTACACTACACAACACACTGACCGACGCAACGATACACCAGTACACCAATACACACTACACTGACAGAAGCAACGTTACACCAATACATCACTATACGTCACAATACATTGACTTATGCAACATTACACCGGTACATCACTACACTACACAGTACACTGACAGAAGCAACGTTACACTAATACATCACTATACTTCACAATACATTGAATTATGCAACATTACACCGGTACATCACTACACTACAGAGTACACTGACCGACGCAACGATACACCAGTACACCATTACACACTACACTGACAGAAGCAACGTTACACCAATACATCACTATACTTCACAATACATTGACTTATGTAACATTACACCGGTACATCACTACACTACACAGCACACTGACCGACGTAACGATACACCAGTACACCAATACACACTACACTGACAGAAGCAACGTTACACCAATACATCACTATACTTCACAATACATTGACATATGCAACGTTACACTGATACACTACTACGCAAAATATTGCTCAATAGAATTTTACACTATTAGACCGCTAAACTATAAACATTAATGCAATATTTACATTAATTTTCAACTACACAATGCACTCGTTGATGTAATATTACACTAGTACACAACTGTATACCGTGTGGTCCTGGCATAAAAAGGGCCACCCCTTAATTTCCCATGGATATTGTAAGCGGCCACTAAGGTGGAGATTAATAGTTAATAGATTAATGGTCGACGGGTGGCCAGCACCGTCTATCTTAAAACACAAACAAAAAGTAACTGCGGTTGCTAATCCACCTGCTAAGCGTGGCAACTACTGGCAACATTACTTTACATTTTTTTATACAACTTAGAATGGCAATCAAGCTGACGGCTCACCTGATGGAAAGTGGTAACCGTTGCCTATAGACATGAGCAGTACCATGGACATAACAGAGTATACTGTTTCGCCCATGATACTTCTCATGCGTTTTTATTCCTGAGGACTCAGATGTTATTCCTCCGTACCCAGTAAATTCACGCCATATCCCACCCTTCAAACCGAAACACAGCCATGCAAACACAACTGTTTTATGGTACGAAGGGGACAGAGGTACCAAAGCAATCGACTTTTGTACAAAGTTTCCCTCTGGTAATTACATTATAGCACAGTTTATTAATCGATACATTATTACACTTAGTATACTACTACATTATACAAACGGATGCCCATTAATCAATTGTATGAAATTGCAACTTCGTATTAATAAAATCGAAATAATCGAATTATCGAATAAGCACATACGTAATCGATAAACATGTAAAATTAACATAATATCCTCTTATTTCGCAGGTAATCCTCGATTTCTCTGCCTGGTAAAGGTCGCGTGGGACACAACAGTGCCAGTTATCTGTTAGTGGGCAGTGAACGGACGTGCGGCCCCTAGAAAGTGCTTCGACGGGGGCCCTGAGGTACTGTTAGTGGCGTAAAATTCCTATTAATATTAGCTCGTCTATTTGTAGTGTGCGCGATGTGACAATAGCGGTTGGTTGGTTGCAGTTTTGTAGCGGTGTTGCCATCACGTGGTGAACGGTTTGATAATGTGTGACGACAGTGGAATGGCATAGAAATAATATAATTTAAAAGCTCTCTTTAATAGTAACATTTTTACAACGCTACCGTTGGGTTTGGATTATCACTGCGGGATCTTCGCAGCAGATAACGATTTGCTGAGAAGATCCTGCAGTGATTCTTTTCATTGTACTTTTGTATTATTTATTATTATTTGTATAAAAAAAAAGTCATATATTTTTTTCAGTAAGAATTTTTTATAGTATCAACTATAAACAAATAAAACATACACTATAAATGTAGAATAAAAAGCTACAAATTTGTCTATGATGTTTACAACTATAAATACCGTTTACCACGTGGTTCAACGCTTCGATTTTCGAATTGATATTCCTAAGAAATAAGCTAGTACCATAGTTTTACAGTCGGAAACTAAAGGCAAAGGTAGTTCATTTGAAAGTTGGAGAATTTAAAAATGAGTATTTATTTGATAATTATTGCATTATAAAATTTTATTTTGTTCATACATTACGTATGTTTTTTTTTTTTTTAATGGGATCGACATTAGTTTTGTGGTTAAGAGAATTAACGTCTCTTGTTCAGTCAACTTTTGCAATAGCAGCGTAGTTTTTTTTTTAAAGAATAAGTTAGAATATATATATATTTAAAAGAGAAATTGTTTTAATGTGACCGAATAATAAACGTTATTGCAATGGAGAATTTGATCTCTCAAATGTGAATTCAATAATAATAATTTATTTTGGATAATAGTAGTTATACTGTAGTACGGTATGGTATATTGCGATTGTATCGTCACGATATAATTATAGCGAAAAATGCATTAAATTGTATGGAGACGGTTTTATTTTTCCGTGATTATATAGAGGGCCGTGCTAGGAAATTGAAGTGTTTTCGTACATTACATAACTTCAGCTTTACTATTATATCGTGACGATAAAATCATACGATACCATGGCATGTTAATGTAAATAAGCTGGAATAAGATGGTCACTGTATTGTGAGATATTTATAAATAAATATTGAATGTAATGCCTCGACACAAGATGGATTGTACTTGTGTATTATTACTGTTATTGAATTAAAAAAAAAACATACTGTCTATTAATGTATATTATAATTTTTACAATACAAACATTCAGAAATGTATTTAAATATTTTTTTTTAATTGAAATTTATATATTAAAAAATAATGCATTTTACGACTTTGAAAGTCGCAAATATTTATTTACTTTGCAATAATTTAATAGTCGCTATAGACCAATATTATAGGTGTTCATTGCTCTTCCCTCAATGATCTATTTCGATACCAATAGCAGCTTTACATAAATGTAGCTAAAGTTGAATTTAGATTGCTCCCATAATAATAGTTTTATCGTCAAATCGATAAAAAATGAAAACCTTCAAAAATCTACTACTCTCTGTCACTTTCTTTCAAATTAAGAGTTTAACTCGAAAGAAAGAGACGACACTAGCTAATGTAAGTTTATTACATTATTGACGAATTTAATATTAAAGTTTTTTTTTTTAAATGAATCTATGTTTCGAGGCCTACATTCTTTTTTAAAATGAACAGTGTAATGCAAAAGTATCAATGCACAAAGATCTGCCAAAGGCAGAATATGATCTCTTCCATTGTTTGTATGTAAGTGATATTAAAAAAAAAAACGAAGTTTTCTCTCTACACATAAAAATTGGCAGCTTCGGTCTCAGCTAAAACTACTTGTAAAAGTCCTGTTGAATTTCGAACTCTACATATTAATTGATAAGGTCGCGTGTCGTGCGCGTATGATAAATAAAGGTGTGATCTTAATTATATAATTTTATCATATAATATTTTACGTGTGATTGATTGTTGGGATTCGCTCGAATCGTGTGATGTAGGACTAAAATCCCTCGCCTACTTTATAAGTAGTAGATGAATGATGCTTGTTGTATTGGCACTCAATATTGTTCATTTGTGCCTGTAATACAATTATAATACTAAATGTAACTAAAATGTGTGTGTGTGTGTGTGTGTGTGTGTGTGAGCCGTACATATATCTATATATAATTATCATTTCATTTATTTACAATTTAGTAGATGAATATTTTGAGTGAAGTCAAATTTTATACTCTAGTTTTTATGCAGAAATAATAATATTATATTATAATATCAATAATTGGTAACACCAAGACGTTAGGCTTAGGAACAAATAAGATCTTGTATATATCGAAAAAAAAAAATAAACATATTATTGCAGTGTCCTACTTTATTTTTGTAAAGTTTATATTTGGACGCGCGGCTTTGTAAATACGCGTCGGGTATGAATGACTGGAATGGAACGTAAGCCGTCATCGGATATGGAACGAAGAAGTGACTTTGATAGAGCGTATAATTTATTTACAATTTAATTATTATACATTTTACTTTATATTACGACGTTGGCACAACGAGGCACGCATTCTGCTAGTAAAATGAACAGTACCGCTACCATGAGTTTGTACTAGCACTTTACTACAGTAGACTACTGTCGAGTTTCTACAGCATTTGTAGTTACTTACCGCGTTTTTTTTTTCACTGCAATAAAACAGCGCTTTGACAACAAATAGCAGTACGAGTGTTTATCCATGTAGCAAGATTCTGAGAAAGAATATCAATCTACCAAAACAAAAATCGTTCGATAACAACGTCAATAAATATAAAAAATACGAACACGTCGAAATCGTGGGATGCTTGAAATTAAACTAGTAGATACTGCACGCGGAAATCGCGGGATGTCCAATCAGAGGGTTAACTGTACACTGTTGAACATAGCCTTCCTCATAACGGAGAGTTTTGCCAGTAGTTGCCAAGATTGGCAGGCGAGTTGGCAAACGCTGTGTGGCTTTTGGTAATGATTTAAGAGGGATGCTGCTGCCCATCCCTATACCATAAGCTCTTTTAGTCTCTTAGGACAGCCACGGGAAAGGAAAAGGTTGGCCTATTCTAAGCCGGGACCTACACGGTAACACATTTGTAGTACTCGATAGTTATACAGTAATTTATCCTACGAAAACGAGAGGCATTATAGTTTACGATAGTGGCATAACTAACGAATTACTACTACATCCCTCACCACAGGGAGACTTTGTACAAAAGTCGATTGCTTGGGTACCTCTGTCCCATTCGTGCTTCAACCGTAAAGCAGTTGTGTTTGCATGGCTGTGTTTCGGTTTGAAGGGTGGGATATGGTGTGAATTTACAGGGTACAGAGGAATAACACCTGAGTCCTCAGGAATGGCAACGAATGGGGGGTATCATGGGCGAAACAGTATACTCTGTTATGTCCATGTTACTGCTCATGTCTATAGGCGACGGTTACTACTTTCCATCAGGTGGGCCGTCAGCTTGTTTGCCGTTTTAAGTTGTATAAAAAAATACATGCACTATAGAATTACTATAGATATAGTAATCTACTGTAGTAAATTATCTGTACAAACTCATGGTAACTGTGGAGGTGTGTGAGGCCTATAAAATCAAAGACAGCTAAATCCAAAATTATCTATTAATAAATTATCTATCTATCTATCTATCCAAATTTGTCAAATATTTAGGAAATTATAAAAAACTAATATAGAATATGGAACGATATTCTATATTTTAAACCAGAATAAAGAAAATTAGAATATTAGTAATAATTCGAATTATAATTAATAAAACTTTTAATTAAGAGAAATATTTGAATACAGTGTAAAAAGGAAATTGATTTTATAGCGTTTAGCTGCATTTGATTATATTATAGGTCTCAATTATGAGAGATATAGTCAGATACAACACGCGCGCCACTTTTTATTAGTATAGAACACATTCTGATTTGCTGGAGATTTTCTTCTGTAATAAATCTAAAAAAGTATCCCATAAAATTCCATAATATTCTATCTGTGGTTTTGTACATATTAGTTTGCTGTCAGTCTGTTAATCAAATGAAATCAATACTATCTACGACATTATTCATTTTATTCGATCAATAAGATAAAAAAAAAATGTTTGAAAATGGAACCCGGTTGTTCGACGTTCAAATATTATAGAACGAGATGCACATTTCTTGCGTCGTTGTACCAACGGTGTTAATACAAGAAATAAACATGTGAATGTCTTGTACTAATTATGTCTATCATATAAATTATTTTGGCAAAATGATATCTATATTCTAAATATATATATATATATATATATATATATATATATATATATATATATATATATATATATATATATTAGTAGTAACATAAAGCCTAACACACATTGTGCTGCGGAATGCTGAATGTTATTAGTCTTTAATTTAGTGCAATTACAATAAAGATATGAAATTTTACGAATCTCAATTTTGTTTGACGACTTTGAGTTTTCAATTTAACAACTACGTAATGGTACACTTCGTGAGAATATGGCTTGTGATGCGAACGGAATGAGAATAGAAATGGTAACGAATAAGCTGTTAAGTTAAAAATTTGAAATACTTTTACTAAAATCCAAATTTCTGACAACACCGTAATAAGTATCTTATTGCGCGATTCAACTTTTATTCATTTAAAATAGTCAATCGGAAATTTAAATCAATCAATCGAAATTTTAAAATGGTTCGTCGTAAAAAACGTCGCAATATGACGGAAAGTAAGTTCTTTATCTCGTATGAATTGTACTATATAAGGGTACACTGAGAGCTGTACAGCTGTTTTCCTTTGAGTTTTGTGTCTTAGATTTAATCAATTTTTTTTTTTTATATATACAGAGGCCGATAAATTATTTTCAAGTGGATTTTTTTATACTATCTAAAATAAACAAGCTTTAAGCTCAATCTTACAAAAAGTGCTAACCGACTCTTAAAGTCAGATATTTTCTCTACACAATTTTTTTTTATACAGACGGTCTGAACGTATTATGCATCAAAATTACTAATAAATTACATTTTAACTGTGTTTTGTCTTTTTCTTTCTATTTAAGAATTTGAATTGGAAGAAAGAGACGAATACCAAAAATTAAAATGACTTTATTTTAAACGTTTGAATAAAATGGCAACTTATATTGGATTTACAATTGCGTCTCACTTGGTTCTTATCCGTGAATATTTAATATTGCATTTATAATACTTTTAAGTATTGAAAAAAAAAATAGATGTCACATTTATTTTAAAGTAGGTTTCATGAAGTTTTATATCTTTACCGATTACAGTAGAATCTTGATTATTTGAATCAAATAAAACTAGAACTTCCGTATAATCGAAAATGCGAATAATCGATTCTAAAGTCAAATCAAACAATTAATCAATTTTAATTTTTTTTTTTATAATGTAGAGGGTTTTATCTACGTCATTTAGACAATACCATATAAAAAAATATGAGCTATTATCATAATGGATTATATAACACCTATGTAATTTAAAATTTTGTTTGGAAATAACTAGTTATTAATTTATGACGTAATAAATCAAATCTTTTATGAGCCGTGAAGAGTAAGTCCGGATAATCGAGTTTCTACTGTATAATTTCTTTATACTTACTATATTTAGTAAACAGTCTTAGCATGTCTTTGGAAACAACAGCTGATAAAAATAGTTTTAATAGAAAGGATTTGTGTTAATTGATTTTTTATTTTTTTTATTTTTGACTCTTATTCTATACCTAACATAAATAAAAAAAAACGTGGCAAAATTGTTTATTGAAAGCAGTATACCATAAAAGTAAGCTTGAATTGCAATTATGATTGTATTATAGCAGTATTCGTAATGAATTGATGATTATGTGAATTCTTAGACATTACCCCTTCACCTGCTGCATTAATTCTCACGGGAGTTCCCAGAAAACAGCTGTCCACTTTATAAATTTTCACAATAAAAATGAATTCGCATTTCAGGTTTTATTTTAAATGGCTAAAGCCTTGTGTTTGTTGATCAATCATTCAATCAGGATCAGTTTCCGTTTTTAGAATTGTAATCAACGACGTATTTATTATATTTTTGCTATATCTCAACCCTATTTAAATTCAGTCAGTGTTGCCACACTGGAAATTTGTTTTTAACTTTTTTAACAGATTTATGTATAAAATACGTAGAATGATATATTCCGTCAGTTAAAGTATGGTGTGGACGACAGATTGCAAAAACCATAAGAAAAAAATACGTAAAGGCAGTTTATGGATTCAATCAGATGAGCTACATAGTTATGGTACAATAAAATTGCCAATAAGTTAGCTGTCATCCGCATCGTGCTACAGTGAACAGAGTATATCTGTTGCAAAAAGAATCATATGAATCGGTTCAGAGTTAGCGAAGGTGACGCGTAATTTTATTACAAAAAATACAATCTAATTGCAAACCTTTTAGAATTTGTTAGAAATGATGTTAATGCGGTTTTATGTGAAGACTAGAAAATGAATTAAAAAAATTGGCGTATGTGTCAACTTTTTAATATTTACCAATGACAAAACGTCATGTGAGTTATGTATGTGTTTTTATTGTATGGAAATGCGCGAATATCACAATATCATTTTATAATGTTAAAATCTTGTAAATATTAGTTCTAAATAAACTTATTGTAAGTTTTATTATCATTTTAAGATATAATAGATATTTGTATTTGTAAGATATGTTTAGATGTGTTTGTTTTACCATAATATGTCTATCGACCGGCTAATTTGAATAGGTGTTCTAGTGCATACGCACGATAAGCATTTATATACGCCTCTTTAAAATGGTCGGGTTTCATTAGTCATCTATATATAAAATATTGTAATAATAGTATATAAGAGATGATGCTTTTCACCGGCATATTTACTTTTTATTTAATAAATATTGGCTTACTATTTTCCTTTGCCAATATACGAGGCATTATTATATATATTTTTTTTAATTAAATATAAACGTTGAATAGATAACGCAAGTTTGTCGCTCTATAAGACAAGGCGGTGACAGGAAAATTTTGGCGGGAAACCACAGAGTGAATGTAGTTGAATTTTTTTGGTTGATATTGCAAATCTAAGAACAAGGAATTACATAGAAGGAGTGATAAAACTGTCAATTCATAGCAGGCTAGTGTATAGAAAATGTTATACGGCCGTATAACTCTACTATATTTAGATACAATCTGCTCGCATACTTTCTACATAAACTGTGTCGAATATATAATCTAGTGATGTAAAATGACAAATAATTGACATATCAAACATTTTCTATACTCTAGTCTGCTATGAATTGAGAAAAATAGCAACTGATGGTGTATCTTTTGTCCTCTTTTTACTAATTATATTTGCATAAGAAGAAATGAGGCAACCATATGATTTACAGTTTTTATTTCATGATTCCTTCTATGTAAAATTCCTTGTTCTTAGTTGCGAATACGCGGGTTTATTGAAATATAGACCCTGTTTTGAATAAGTAAAGGGTCGTGTCAAAGCAAATGGTAGGGAGTCCTTTATTGCGGTATTACTGTTCTAGTGGACTCCATTGTGATAAGTGCCTTGATTGGTTCTACGTCAAAATCTTGCATAAATGCTATATCAACATTCTAATAAAATTAAAGGGAGTAAAAAGAAATGAGATAAAGAGCATTATGGGCATTGTTCCTTTGCCTCCGTCTTATAGAATAAAAATATCAAAAAAAATGTGCCACATATTTAATTAAAAATAAGTTTTATTGAGATATTTGAGGAGGAAATTGCATGATAGTAACCGTCCATAGGCGGGTCAGTCAACCTGCGTTTTCTATTCGGCTCGAAAGCCCAGATTTTTGGGAAATAAATACGCTACAGTTAGCTACAGCTCTTTAACTGTCGATATTAAAAATAAATTTGTTTTCTTTATATCACTTACAGCAACTACATCGATTGAAAATTGTTTCCACTTGTTTGAATTTTGCAATATTTAAAATACTAAATAATAAATTTTAAAATAAAAAAAGTCTTGGATATTTTCAGGTCTTTAAGAGGCATAATATTTGAAAAGTCATGATAATATAAAAGGGCCTGTTTCATAATCAACAAGTAAATTGATGGAGTTACTTTGAGTAAATTGGTAGCTCGCGTGTAGCTTTGTTATTCAGTCATGTGAAACATAAATGGAGATGTATGAGGTAATAACCAAACAATTTCAGCTGATTTTGTAGTTTTATTCATTTAGTAACTAAATAAACCTTTACTTGTATATTGTAAAACAGGCCTGAACATAGAGGAATACAATGTATTTTATATTTTACTACTTATTTTTGTCGGAAATTATTTCTACCACTAAGTATACCAATAGTTAAAATTTTGTAATGTCTATCGTTACATATTTTATAGTAACTTAAGAGTCGAGAATTTAGAACGTTTTCTCCATAGCTTTATGACATGATTTAGAATGTAGTAATGTTATATTATTTTATAATTTAAACAATATTTACAGGAAACTTAGTCACGGATGTGGTTCAGTTTAGGTATCCCGTATTATTGGGGTCGATTCTGAGGCAAACTGTCTCTAAACTTATCTTAAAAAATAAAGATTCAATTTGATATTACAGTGAAATCTTTATTCTAAGGAGTAATATAAATTAAATTTATAATAAATTTTAACTAAAAATTTAGTTTATGATGGTCCTATAAAGCAGTAATGTCCCGAAAGTATTAAAGGTTGACTGGCAGAGACCGCTTCTAGGATTAAGTTCGCCTTGTACACACACGTGTACTAATAAAGAAATAAATTAAAAAAAAGTACTATTTAAATTAAAATATTAGGTTAAGTTTAGAGAAATGTTGCCTCAGAATCGGCCCGATTTTAAATGGGCGTCGATTATTTCATAAATTACCATGTAAATATCTCTGCTTAGAATTGTGATTGGCGAATAATAAAATTCTAAATTTATCGTACGGTGTAAATAATCGCGTAGTTGTTCCTACGACAAAATGACGGAGTGAATATAAAATGTCGGTGATTTATGCTGATATATTTGTTTGCAGTGAGCGAGTTTTGTATAAAAATATTTTTTTTGGACGTAGAATGCCATATTGTGATTAGTTTGTTAGCGACACGAAGTATTTTTCAAATAAAAATATCTATGTATACATGATAATGTTTTGTTTTATTACTGCTCCCGTGTTTTTTTTTTTATGGATGAAAATGGTATGGTAACCCTGTCTGCGCTAACGGGATACGCTGATGGAGCACCAGTGAAGGGTGATAGATGAGAAT